ATTCTTTATAGTTAAGTACTTCTTCTTCTTTTATAGATATTCGATAATCTTAAGGCTAGTATTCTAGAAGTACTACTTTACCTTCTTTTTCTATAAATAATTCCTTATATTTTATATATTCTAGAAGTAGCTCTTTAATATTAGTCTATATTAATATTCTACTTTTCGGTCGTATCTATATCGCCTTTATAAAGGAAATTTTTAAAGATAATTAGTCTTCTATTTTCGTTCTATAACTATAATTCGAAAATTCGAATTTTCTTATTTTCTAGTTTATTTAGAAGTTATATTTTTCTAGCTATTCTATTTCTAGTATAGCGTTATATTTTATCGCTATTATATCTAGAGTTATTTTTTCCTAATAGGTTCCTATTATTAGTTCGATCTATCGTAGTTCTTTTCTTATCTATTCGTTTTTAAATTCTATTAGCGACTCGTCTACTATTATAAGTTAATATAGTTCTATCTTTACTTTTATATAGTTTTTTAACCTTTACGCTACGTAGTATAAAATATAATTTCTATTTACTCCGAAGTCTACTATAAGTTATATAGAAAGGTTCTATAGAACGATCGTAAGGACTATATATTTCGCTTTACTTCTATTTAACTTATATAAAGTCTAAAGCTATTATCGTAGGTAACCTAGCCTTAATAGGTTATTTTCTCGTCGTTTTTTAAATATATATATAGTCTTAATTCTACTACGTAGGTACGCTTATCGTATTCGTCTATCGATCGATATATTATCTTACTAATTAAAATTCGAAGTCGATTAAGACTTATATTCTATAAGTATTAATATAGCTTAAAGTACTATTAGTAGCTTCTTTCCGCGTAGCTAAAATAATCGAATAGGTACGTCGAGTCTACTCGTCTATCGATATAAGATATATCTTCTTTTTTATTCTCCTATATCGTATATAAGTTTCGTATAGTCGAAGCTTCTATTTCCTAGATTTTCTTTACGTCTTCCTAGTCGAGGTTAACTATAATCTATTCGTAAGTTAGTCCTTATATATATATATATACTATTAGCGCTTAGCTATATTCATAATCCTAGTAAAATAATATATTAATTTTATTCTATTATTCTTATAGTTTTATTTCGAGATTATAATAGATATAGAAGTATCTTTCGGTTTCGCTAGTATATTTCGTATATTCACTATATTTCTAGTACTTTATTATAATCTTAATTTAATTTCTCGTAACCTTAACTATATAGTATTTTTCTTCTTTTTCTAACGATACGCCGAAATCTCCGTCCGATTCTTTAGCGTTTACTTCCTTCTATTCCTCTTCTTTATTATCGAGAAATACTAATTATACCTATATTCCTTCGATTATTTATACTAGCGAATCGTAGCGTACTACTTTATTCTCTACTATATCGTATAAATAGTAAGAAGCTACTACTAAATATTCTAAGTCGTAGTATTCGTTTAGACTAATCGGCCTTCGGATTAATTATCTTAATCTACTAGAGTAGAATATTAATTTCTTAATACTATTCTTAGTACTTACCTAGTAGTAGTTAGTAATAAATACTATAAGATAATATTTCGATACTACTACCTTACTTTCTTCTTCTATTAGTATAATATTATTAAGGTAGGTATATATTATTCTCTATAGTCTTATTTTCTCGTATTTATTTAACTACTATCGTAATTCTTCTAATTAATTATCGTTTCCTCCTTTTCTAAATAGGAAAGAAAATATATAGTCTACGTAGTCGTACGTATAGCTATTTTCTTTATCTTCGTATTTATCCTAGGTATATTTATAGATTATTATATAGATTCTTTCTTTCTTCGGTTATCCTAGGGGATTATACTATATTCCGAAGTTTTCCGCTAGTCCTACTACTTAGTAGTAGATTCGAATAATTACTAGGTCGAGCTTATTTAGTAAGATCTTATTCGCGAATCCTTTTTCTATTATAGATATATTATAGTAGAGCGGTAGTAGCGTTATCGTCCTTAAGCTAAATAGTCCTTACTTAAGCTAAACTAACTATCCTTTCGTATAGGTTATTCCTTTACCGAGTCCTTTAAAGGTTATAAAGTAAGCCTTTCTATTATATATATTATACGTATATTTAGCTTATAAGGAGTACTTCTAGTCGTTATATTTCTAGATCTATATATATTTTTATTCTTTCCTAAGAGTAGCGCCTAGGTTATATCGATATAGAATTTCTTCCTCCCTTCTATCCTAAAAATATATATAGAATTTCGTAAAATTCTTATATTAGCGTAATACTTCGTCTATTAATATTTATTCGTCTTCTTCTCGCTAGATTCTTAGTTAGTATAGTTCTCTATCTTTAATATATATATAGATATATTTATATTATTAATATTTTTAGGCTCGGTATTTATAGATTAACGTCGTTCTAAACGTTTTCTACGTTACTCTTTAGTTTAAAACTATAATTTCGTCGACTATTCTCTAGAATCTCGTTCTAATTATCGTATAGTTATCTATATTTATAAGTATCGTTTCTTTTTCGAAATCGACTATTATTATAGCTAGAGTTTTCTAGACCTTCTATTCTTATTTCCGAAGTTTTATACTTCCTCTATCCTTATATAGAAACTATTATTTTTCGGTCTTTAAAGCTAAATAGAATTAATAGTTATCCTCGTAATAGAAATACTATAATTTCTAAGCGTATTTTATAATATTTCTCCTCGTATTATATATTACTTCGCTCTACTATTCTTTCTTTAGAAGTTCGTTAAACTTTTCCTTCTTCTAAGTCTTATACTTAGGTTCTTTAGGCTTCTTAATTTAATAACTTAACTAGAATTCTTCTTCTAATTACTTAATATTTAACTTACTTAATTCTCGAAAGTTATTCGATTCCTAGTAGTTCTTTTATATTAGTTTATTCTTATCCTTAGTAGGTCTTTAAATTTTTTTAATAGTATCGGCCTTTTTCGCTATTAAGTTATCTATATTACCGCTCTATATATTTATTATATATAGTTCTTAAGCGCTCTTCTTTTCTAGATAATCGCGTATATAGTATTTAAGCTTACTATATTCGTAGTATAGATTTTCCTTTCTTTATCTTTCTTTCTCTCGATCTCGACTTTCTATAACCTTTCGCCCTATATTTCGGCCTCTATCTAGGCCTATTCGTCGAATATTATAATATTCTATAGCGTCTAGATTTATAGAGTTCCTATAGTCTCGTAGGCGTTTCGTATTAGCTCGAGAAGAATATCGATACTCTCGATACTCTCGTCTTCCTAAGCTCCTTCCTTAATTATCTTCTATATATAGTTCGTATAGTCGATTATTAAGTTTAATAGCCTTATCTACTATATCTCTATAGGTTTCCGGGCGCTCTATTATTTCCTTTTTAACTTCCTTCTTTAATCTATTATAGAATATATTCTTAAAGATATTATTATTCGTATATTTTAGTTCCTTCGCTAATTTCTTAAATTTCGAATAATAATTAGCTATAGATTCTATTTATTTAAGGGTATAGATAGTACGAGAGGCTACTATAGCTTTATTAATCGTACTATAGATTTATTTAATTATTATTTCGAACTATATAAAGTTCCTAAAGTATACCTTAATTTTATTATCGAGACTAGAGGATTCGAGGTAGTCGTTCTATATCGGTTTAAACTAATAGAACGCTACTCCCTTAAGGTATATCGCTACGAATATAACCTTATTCTCTATTCTAGTATACTTAGTTAAATTAAGCTTAAAGGTAGTCTTAAGTTATATAAGGAAGTATTCTAGCTTCTCCCTATTCCTATAGAATAGTTCTACCTTAATACTATTCCGAGATATATTAGTAAGTCCTAGTACGTTAACTATATTTACGTCTAAGTCTTCGTCGGAACTACTATCTTAAACGATATTAGTCTTTAAAGAATTATTTAAGGCTATAAGTAGATGTACGCTAGGTAGTAGAGATCTAATTCGAGATAATCCTACGTTAAATATCTAATACTAATTAAGTAGTAGTTAAAGTATTATAATCCGAGCTATAAGTAGTTCTAACTAAGGTAGGGTTCCTTAATAGAGTAGATACTAGAGTATTAACTAAGATAATAAAGGAAATATATAATCGTCGGACTATATCCTAAAACGTAGGTATAGAATTACTAACGAAGTTAACTATACTAGGCTATCTAGGTAAAGGAGCGTATATATATAATACTAATAGCTCTCCTAGATCTTATAGCTCCCTTCGGATTTCTTAAGATCCTAAGAGATCTAAGGGGTCTAAGAGATCTAGTCTTATCTAGTTACGTAACGTAGCCTCGTTCTCCATCGGCTAACTTCCCCCCCTAGGTAGGTGCCTTGATTCCCTTAGCAACCTTTTAAGTGACCTAGTTCGTAATAGTAAGCTATAGAGGCTTTATAGGTAACGACGCGGTTAATATCTCGCTTGCCTACTAGGAATACTACGTAGGATGGATAGTTAGACACTACACTCGCCCCTTACATACGTCAATATAGTATTAATGACGTTGTAGAGTAGATAATACGATTATATAGACTGGTGGCAAAGTACATTACGTGGGTCATTAATGGGGTGGGTCATTAATGGGGTGGGTCATTAATGGGGTGGGTCATTTAATGGGTGCCTGACTTATTCGAGTGTTTTCCAAAAGGGGCGTAGTCAACTACGCTAATAGGAACTCAAAAGGATTGAAATTTACTTGTAGCACGTGAGAGCCTAGCTGGTAAAGCGGCATCACGTATACGACCATTTTGGGAGAGCAACGAAAGCTTGGCATTCCCCGGTTCGAGCTCCGCAACTTCGACCGCAGTTAAACATGCGCAAGGATATCACCTTGAATGTACTTTCTGAATAGACTCACCGGTCCTGTGCCACCACCGCAGCCATGTCGAACAGAGAAGCAAGGTACATGACGCTCTAGCCGAAACGGCTGAAGCTCAAAATAGCTAATGACCACCCCAGATTCACTCAGGGCGTCCTAATCGACACGACGCCCATGCCCGAGCACATTCCTGCAGTAAAAGAAGTCGGAGCCAGCTCAGCCCCGCTGCTCAGTGCAGCTTATTTTATCGGCGGACGGTGCCGAGCCTATAACGATGACTACATGCAATGCAAGACCGAAGCGTACGGGCGTGGAGAGTTGGATTGTTTGAGGGAGGGCAGAAAGGTGACGAGATGTGCCTCGAGCGTGTGAGTCCGACGTACTCTGTCTTGGAGCTTGGGAGTTTGTGTAAAATGGGTGGATCAAAAGGACATCTGGATGGCCATGCTGAGATGGGATCTACTGACACAACTTACATCACAGGATCGACGATATCAACAAGAATTGCCTTGAAGAGTTCCGGGCTCACTGGCTATGCCTGGAAAATAATAACCACCAATTATGGCAGTGCCGGCGGCCAGAGAGACTACTAAACAAATGCGTTTTCAATAAAATTGTATGCAACCCTGGTCGAGACTTCACGAGACCGACCACTTTACCACTGGGTACTGACGCATGTTTTCTGCAGGGCCTCGAGAAGGTTATCCCAGAGACGCCCAAGGGCCAGACCCCCATACATTTACGCGACTGGCAGACTTTCGCAGACAACAGACTGATTCTTAAACCTAATGAAAAGGATGTTGGTGTTGGAAAGGATGGCCAGGATCTTCTGAAGAAGTCGGCATGAACCTCGATCCTGAGGTTGGAACACGACTGGTTTCTATATTCTTGCAAGACTCCCGCGTAGACACCCGATTAAGGTCGAAGCAAACAGCTCAATTGCAGCAGACAGGCGACGGGGAAAAAGAGCAAGAACCACTGTACATATTTTACCACCGGCATCAACAAAATGAGAGAATGGAGGGCGTTATGACTGATCGAATGCTGTCTCTAATTTTGACTCGAGGGGCTGTCGTCGTGTTCTCGTGATTCTAATGTCGTCAGAACAGTTTCTCGGTGGGATTGATGATGGAGAAGTTGGCAAGGTCAGCCTTCGTGAATGGATCTCGATTCCCCGCATGCAGAGGCTGGCTTGTGCTGCTCTTGGTATTGGACTGCTAATCTTATCTCAAATTCGGCGGCAAGTTCGATTGCTAGCCCTTAACACCTGAGGGAAGAAACTCTTGCGGCCAACGGCCAACGGCCAACTATTTGGCACTGTCGAAGCATGCAACACAGCACTCTCATCAGCAGGACGCCTTCCCGTTTTCCGGCGGGATAGGGCATCTTGAGGTACCGTCATTGCCACTCTCGTCATCATCGTACATAATTTCATCCGCCGTTATCTTACCGTCGCCCACAGATTTGAGCTGTTCTGTTAGCTGCTGTAAGTTCTCCAGTCCCATGCAACTGATCCGATCCATGCCCTCTGCTCTAGGAATGCCCTTGAGGCATTGGAACTCCTTACCCCTAGTTTGCTCAATGGTTTCGCAGCTCCTGTTTCACGAGTTAAGTCACAACTGCGTGCTCTTTTTGCGGGTTTTGCTGGTTGATAGCTTTGGCATCTGCCTTGTGTGGCATCAGCTGAAATATACCGACATTATTGTGATCCGTGATGTGAGCAGTGATACAATGGGCCACGTGACAGTTGGTCAATTTCTTGCCATGCTGACAATGATCTGGAATTTTGATGGCTCCTCCATATGCCTGGCAGGCCATGGCGTTCGCTGGTTTAGATGGTTTTGATGAGTGTGAGGTTTTCCTCTTTTTAAGAGACATGCTGTCTCGAAGTTGCCAAATTAGTGTCTTGGTGAGATAACAATATCAATTTGGTAGGTGAGACAGTTTTGAGCACGTTTTTTGAAAAGTGAGTCGAGTCTTTGTGAATTTGAACAGCATCTTGTCCTTGCTCCCCGTGATTTCAAAGGGCTGAGCTCGCTGGTGCTAGGGAACCTTTATTTTCCTTGAGAACGGTAAGGCTCTCCACAAAAGAAAGGGGCGACCTCAAATCAGCCACAGCAATCAGGCAAGGCAGGAGATCAAATCGCCTTTGAAGAGGGTAAATTGTTCTATGTGTCCATCATCATCTGGGCTGGCTTTACAAAGTCTGCGTAATACATGTCGCCACACAGAAGTTGCAAAAGCCAAGATGTATGCAAGGCTGAAGTTGTTTACACAAGTCCCGCTCCTTCCATTTACATCCTGCCGAGAATAGTATGGCGTCTTGGCCGGAGCGGCCCTTGCCTGAAAAGAAATACCAGCCGAGTCAGCCCAAAGGAATGCCAAGAACGTCACCTAAAGTCATCAGGTGCACTAAGAGTGCCCGCAGCGGCGACTCCCTTAGGCCTAGCAGTGCCTGGAACATTGGGTGAGGCCCCCCCAGCAACCCCTGGACTGGGAAGCAGAAGCCTGGGTAATCAGTTGAGGCCACTGGATGCTACCAAATCTAGACTCAAGACTCAAGCCCCTCGGCCAACTCTTTGGTGCACCGCCATCACTGGCCAGATTTCACCCTTTCCCGCAGCCATCTTGATTTTCGACCACCAGTAACCACTGACCACTGACCACACAACACCACCAACAGTTCGTTGCACTATCGCTTACAGTGTGTTCAGGTGACTCTATTCTTCTTGATGCCACATCTCTACCTCCAAGAATATTTTGCAGGGGTATAACATCCGGCTCGGCATCATGGCCAACTCGACTCTCTCCCCGCCACAGTCGCAAGACTCGTCGATTTCCTCATCCTACAGACCTGTACCTGCGAACCGCGCTTATACGGCGCCAGACAAGATGTCGGCCAATGGCCACTTTGCATCCGTTGGCCAAAATGGTGCCGAAAACTTTGACAACGGCGTCCAGGTTGTGGACGAGGATAAGGATTTCAAGTATGTTTCGTGCTCCTGAACAATGCCAGTACTGACGCTCGGCCTTCAGTCCCGACCTGGCAAAGTACCTGCAACACACCGGTGTGTCGCACGCAGGATTTAACTACCATCTGATCTCCGTCTTTGGCTCGCAATCGACCGGAAAGTCCACGCTACTTAATGCGCTCTTCAACACCGACTTCAGCGTTATGTCAGAGGCCGAACGACGGCAAACCACGAAAGGAATTTGGCTGTCAAAGAATAAATCATCTTCAGATTCCATGGCCGATAACATCCTGGTCATGGACGTGGAAGGAACAGACGGCCGCGAAAGGGGCGAAGATCAGGATTTCGAACGCAAGAGCTCTCTCTTCGCTTTGGCCACCAGCGAAGTGTTGATGATCAATATCTGGGAACATCAAGTCGGTCTTTACCAGGGCGCAAACATGGGTCTGCTCAAAACCGTCTTTGAAGTCAATTTGCAGCTATTCCTCAAGGATAGGAAATCCATGTCTCGGAGTTTGCTCTATTTCGTCATCCGCGATTTCCTAGGAACTACGCCACTCCAAAATTTGAGAAATACTTTAATGCAGGACCTCAGCAGGATCTGGACCAGCCTTTCCAAACCACCAGGACTTGAGAAGAGCAGCATCGACGACTACTTTGACTTTGCATTCACTGCTCTCCCCCATAAGCTCTACCAGCCTGATCAATTCAAGGCAGAAGTCGTCAAGATGGGCACAAGATTCAAGGATGGCCACCGGGATCGCCGACGAGATGCTTTATTGGGCGAATTTGAGGGAGGAATCTTCTTACCAGAATATCACAGGAGAATACCGGCCGATGGATTTTCGCATTACGCTGAAGGGATTTGGGATCAGATCGTGAATAACAAAGATCTTGACTTGCCGACCCAGCAAGAACTTCTTGCGCAATTTCGATGCGACGAGATTATGCGGGAGGTCGTGCTCACCTTTGACGCTACCATCTTGCCTTTCGAAACTCAGCAAGCAGATGCTACCCGACGTGGTCAACCGAAGGTAATTAACGCTCTGGGAGCCACGATGAAAGCTGCGAGATTAGACACTATCAAGAATTTCGAAACGGAGGCGAGCAGGTATCACAAGGGCGTCTATCAGAGAAAAAGAACCGAGCTCGAGGCCAAGATCGACTCAAGATTAAAGGCCCTTTACAGCGGCCAGCTATCTGCCGCACACAAAGACGGAGTTCAGCAGTTCTCTGATGCCGTTAGCGGCGCGGTCAAAGCTGGACAGAAGAAAGGTGCCTCGTATGATTTCGCCGAGATCGTGAAGGAACAAAAAAAGGTGGCTCTGCAAAAATTCGACACTGCCGCCAAAGAGGCCACTCTCGAAGGTTTGCCATGGTCAAATTATAAACAAGAGCTTATCCTCTACCAAAAAGACCTAGACAAGATCTCTGGCCAGCTTCGTCGTGATGAAATGCGCCGATTGGCAACCAGAGTGGAGAGATGGGTGAGGAGCAAATTAAACGACAGCATAGGCTTGGAGTTTAATGCACTTGGATCAGGGCGTGGTGGCTCTGGTGCTCCAGAAACTGGAGATAGGCCTGTGGAACGAGGCATCTGGGATCGAATCTGGGTCCTCTTCACCGAAACTGTACAGGAAGCTGAGCGGAGGTTCGCTGACCGAGCAGCATCCTTTGATGCAAGCCCGGAAGAAGTCGAAGTCGGTGTCTGGCGGCTGAGGAGAAAATCCTGGGGTGTTTTACGATCGAAAATTGACGAGGAAATGATGGAAGGGAACCTCCTTCTCAAGTTACGAGAAAATTTCGAAGACAAGTTCCGGTACGACGAGGCTGGCGTTCCTAGGATATGGCGACCCACGGACGATATTGAAGGAATCTACACCCGCGCTCGAGAGAGCACGTTGACTTTAATCCCTCTTCTTGCTCGTTTCAGGAACTCCCAGTCGGCCAATCCTCCACCACTTGACCGCTGGATCGGACCGGTCCCCGAAGCGGCTACTCCCGCTGACGAGGAAGATCTCATACCAATTGGTGGTGTGGACGAAGAAGAAGGCAAAAGCCTGGAAGAGGAAACCACAATGCTTAATGAAGCAAAGCGTCAAGATCTTACAGTTCGATTCAAGAAGGCCGCAGATGGGGTCTATGTCGAAGCCAAGCGAAGCGCGATTGGGGGGATCACACAGGTGCCTCTTTATTTCTATGGTCTGCTTTTGGCCTTGGGTTGGAATGAAATCGTGGCTGGTAAGTACTCCCTGCAACTACTACCCCGGCGTGTTCTTACTGACATGATTGACAGTCCTCCGAAATCCTGTTTACTTCATCTTTCTGATCATGCTCGCTGCGGGGGCATATGTCACTTACACCCTCAACTTGTGGGGACCTATGCTCAAAATGGCAAATGCAGCCTCCGTTCAGGCGCTCGACGAAGGGAAAAAGCGGCTCCGCGAGTTTCTTGACGAGTCTCCAGCTGCACGGCAGGCACTAGCCGCTGCAGGTGGAGAAGAGTATGAATTGACGAGACAGCAGCCATCTTCGAGGTCGCAAAAGCTTAAGACCGATGGTGCTGATGATGATGAGATCGAGGATATCTAGCGAGCAATTGAGCGAACCAAACGTGCTTCATGCATGTCAATGATTGTTTGATGATCGTATATCAATGGCGGACTGTTACAAATCTTCGACGCAACGGCGATAATGACTATTCTCTGATTTGGGAAATTGCATATACGAAAACACGGTGGATCAGGACCTCTGTCTCCCACTAGAAATCAGGTCCAGAGGAGACGTCTTATACATACGTTACCCTGCTTGTTCCATCTTTCACTAAGTATGTAGTGGTTTTCGAGTTCATCATATCCTTGAAATCCTACCTCAAGGCGGTACTCCTCCAGCATCAGACTCCTCGCGGTCATTCACCTGTTGGAAGCCCGACAAGGTACCCGACAGCCGACCAGGCAAGCTCCCTCCTTCAACCAGACAATATCCTTTGGATAAGGCATTGAAGCATCGTCAAGCAATCATAGTGCCTCTCCGCCAAAAGACACATTTGTGTACCAACCGCGCTAATCCCATGGGGTCGTCAAGGCATCCCGAAAGTCTAGACCTTCCGCAATAAACCTTCCATCAAGGTTCCGCCATGCTACAAGGCAAAATCATTACGCCCATCTCACGCTGCAGTCAAAATCCAGCCATTGTACAAATCAATCCCATACTCGCTTCTCCTATTCTACCATGTGACTCCCAAGGATGGCCATGGTCATCCCGATCGCATCTCAGATTCCCGAGCGGTATTGCGCACCCGCCCGCTGTTTCTGCCGTGTCCCCCGCCTGCGGCCGCGCAACTCGAATGGGCGAGCTATGTGAATCTACGTTGTATCGTAGCAAGGATGCTCGCTGATGCAAAAGCTTGTGTTTGCTTGTGGGAAGGTATGGACGGTGCGGATGCTCGACGTTGGAGACTGGGCAGTCGGAACCGTAGGTCCTTGGACGCAAAGATTGCAAGGGTGGTCTACTTCAGGCGACTTTTGGAGGATGGTGAGCAGGTCGTAAGGCGAGGAAATGGACTCGGTCTCAAACGGAAACAGAGCTCGGATACGGCTAGTATGGGTAGTGATGATGATGACGACGATATTGACAGGAGGTGTGGGAAGAAGCAAAGACGATGTGCTTAGGTTCAGAAGTCTGTCCATTGCTGTTACCAAAGGTGTTATTCTATGATGTGGCCGCTAACAGCCCTCACTGGACCGTGGAATTGATCAAAAGCGCATATCACCCAGGAAATAATGCCATAAAACATTTGATTCTTGTCTTTTCTGGCGAAAACGTTGGCCGATGCTAGGTTTAGAGCGTATATCGGAATTGTGGGTTCTAGGGAACGTCAATTTGATGATATGCGAAGGTGAAGCGAAATGAAGCGTCGTATGACGACTTACCTTTCTATCTGTCAAGTCATCTTCATAGGCATGCTCAAATCCTTCCGGTACGCCAGCTTTGTCACGTCTGTGATTCTCCCAGACACATATGAAGCGGTAGACGATTGATAGTCCGGCCGTGATGGCGGAAGTGATCACCACAGCTATAAAGCCTGGCGCATAGGCTGGGGCATCCTCAGGCTTGAAGAGAAGAGGACCGACAAAATTGCCTGTTCCCAAAATAAAGGGATAATCAGCCAATCGATTCTTGAAAAGACCAAAGAAAATATTAGATGCAAGTGACATACCCAAGCAGTACCCAATGAAAAGGACAGATGATGCGACTGATCTCTTGGTATAGCCCGCTGTATTCGCAATTTGCATGCCCATCAAGACTGCATAGGCACCGCCGAAGCTTGCCAGGATGTAAACACCGAACAGAAGACCTCCCTTGGAGCTGCGGGGTAAGAGCCACAACAGCAGCGCTGCGACGACTGTGCCCATTTCACAGATCGCAACGAGATATGCGCGCATCTTGGGATATTTGTATGCGATGTAAGGCGCCAGGAGCTCGATGGTTCCAATGAGGAGTCCTGCAGGCATGATCAGAAGGAGAGAGGTAAGTGTGTTGTATCCGAAGCCCGCGATGATGATTGGGGCGAAGGTCGAAACCGGCCCATTCGCGATCATCATCAAAAATGCCATTGCGAAGACAATCCAAAATTTGATGTCGATCATTAGCTCGAACACTTGCGCCTTCTTGAAATGGGTATTCCTGACGCCAGAGTTGTTCACTCGAAGCCTTGCGACCGCGATGTATCTTTCTCGTTCGTTGAAGCCTTTTGCCCGGATTGGGTCCGGAGGCATGAAGAAATAGATGACCACAGACCAGATGACCGTCAACGAGCCTGCAACGATATACATATAGCGCCACGGAGAGAGGGCGCCGGTGATATGGCCGAGACCGTAGTTAATCAGAGGAGACACAATAGACACGTAGCCGGTGCAGCAGTACCAGGCTCCCATGCGCAAGGCCTGTTCATTCTTTTTGTAGAATTGGCCGACGACGAGCATGAACATCGGGCTGATCCCCGATTCCAGGAAGCCGAGGAAGAACCGTTGGGCATATAGACCTTGCCAGTTGTGACATGCGCTTGTGCAGATAAGGCAGATGCCCCATATGCAGACGATGATTGATGCCACCCTTTCGATGGGGTATCGTTGTGCCATCCAAATGGCAGGGTATGCGCCCACTATGAAACCCAAATAGAAAATTGCCGACGACATAGAGTATCGGTTGCCTGTTAGCTCCAAGTCTGTTCGTAGTCCGAATAAAGCCTGTATTTTGTTAAGTGATTGTTCAGGGCTGTATATCGATATCAAGACGCTATACGTACCGCCTGAGAAATCATAGCTTTGTCATAGTATTGCTATTTCATATCAAGAAGTGTCAGCCACCGCGCCATTGGAGTTGAAAGAACAATAGAGTAGAACAGCCTCAAGCTTACCAGGCCATATGTAGCGCAGAGGATTGGCAGCAGTCTCTTATCTATCTTCCTCCTAACCAGCTTTTCCTCGTTTTCGTCCCAGGTCTCTTCCCCTGAGTATGTTGCCAGCACTTTCAAGGCCTCGTCTTGGTGAAGGGTGTCAATGGTGAGGGTCTTCTTCAAATCGGCCACATCGGAGCCAGTGGTAGCAGCCGTTACATTCTCCCTCAGCTCCTGGGGTTTCTCACTGTCTGCCATGGTACAAGGGAAGAAACGAAATTCAGGAGCCCAATTTGTGAGGCTTGACAAGCTTTCCTTGAGAGTACGCACCTAGCTACTGTAGAACAGTTTCTCCTTTCAAAAACCTCTCTGGAAGGGCATTGTCGGCCTTTTTGAACCCTCGTCTGTCGGTTACTGCTCGGCTCCCAGTAGGTTCTGCCAAGGGCGAGCTCAGAGCAAGACCGAGGGGAATACCCTTTTGAACCATGAAAGGCAATGGCATTTTGCGGGGAAGACATAGGCCAAGGCTGAAGGCGTCGTGAAAGTGGAGATGATACCTTCAGACCTCCAGGCGGCGACCTTGGCATGAGGAGCGAAGTGGGCAAGCAGCAGAGGAGTCTTGGAGGCTTCTCCGGTAGTGCAAAAAGGGTGCAGCCGTACACCAGAGAAGCTAGAGGTAATCTTCATCTGGTATGAATTTCGCGAGCTTGGGGCCGCACATCATACAGGCCGTCAAAAGTACGTTCAGTCAAGCTTCAAGCCCGGAATCCTGGTTCCCACAGAAGTGATCCTCATCGATGTCTATCTTTCCTCATTCGCATCAGAACAAGCGCGGAGAGAGATTGAGGAATGGCACCTGGAGAATGCGACCTTCTTTGAGACAGCACGTTTCTAACCAGGCGGTCGCTGTGGGTTCGGGATGTCCGTGTACTAGGACGCTAGCTCGGTAAAATGTGGGTATGTCACTGAAGAGCAATCCGTAGTGAGGGGAAAGATAAAGCTGGCGTAAATTATATAGATGCCAAGCTAGCTCTCTCCAGAGCCCAACAAGGGATCTGCACGATTGCGCATGGGGAACTTGCTAGATGTGGAGGTTTACGCTGGGGATTGACAAAGTCAAGATCTCGCAGGAATTTCCCAGGCCCTATTCAGCCTTTTTTCGGGCTTGATAAGCATAGCATTGCCTCAGTATGCTTCATGAACACACCGAGGATCGCAGGACTCCCAAGGGTTCGCGACCTTCTGCTTAACAGCATGGGGACCCTTCGAGTCTGGGGCTTCGATACTTAACGTGTCTTGGGTCCGTCGTGTAGTCCTTCTCTACAAAATCTGTCTGTCACTTGTTTTGGTTGGCCAGGTGAACACGCATACCACCAAGGTAGATGTCTTCTAATGCTGCGCCATATCAATTGCATACCACAGGCTCTTTCCTTTGAGTCTCAAGTGGAAGTCGGAAGGAGAGAACTTCCAGGATATTCTCGGGTCGGTCGATTCTCAATTCCTGGCTTGCCGCAGTGAATGCTTCGATCTTGTCCCGGTGTGTCATTCTCCTGCCCTGGCCGATCACTCAGCGTGCGGGAGGAGTTCCCGGAGCTGAGACAATGCTACATTCACTTCGGTCTTGGCATCGTGTTGAAAGTGCCTTTCGGTGTGTTGTCCGGAAAAGCATCGTCTGATTCGTCTAACCTGAGGTCTTTGACATAGATCACTAAGTCAGCGCCACGATTTCCGTTCGCCCAGAATGCAGGCCAGAGCTGACGGGGAACAGCCGTGACGAACAAGAGCAGGACAAAGAGTACAAGATCATCCGGCACGGGCATGAATAAAACATTACCCATCGCCACAGAACCTAATGCGAAGACAGTAATGCGACCGATTCCGACTATGCTGCTGCCAATAACGAAGATCCAGTGTCTGGATCGGGCGCGTACAATAATGCGATAATTTGAACGTTGCCATTGGTGTCGCAGAATCCGTAGCCAGATCGAAATCGAGGTAGCCTCAACCTTGGTATAGAGCGGGACCGGCTGGAATTCAGACTCACTCATCAACGGAGACCGATCTATGTTTATAGCTCCGCTCGTACGGGGCTCGTACAGGTCAATTCGATTTTGAGGCAGCTCGTTGAGAATCCCCAAAATCGCTGGAGCGGATGAGATATAGTACCATGCCGCTGGAGCAAGCCATTGTCCATTTGGAAACGAGATGGACACAGCATTGTTTAGTGCAATTCCAAAGACGATGATGAACGTGATCCAGAGGCCGCAACAAACAAACAGCGTGGCCCACTCCAGAAACACGTAACCCGTACCCCTGTTCTTACCACCCATAGTGTTTGTTTTCGAATATCTATGAGGCGCTGTACACATCGCGCGAGCCTCCTGATGGGAACTGGCTTCAAGATGATGCGATGGGAGAGAGGATGTATCTTGACCAGGAAGTCCACCACACGTAAACGCAAAGAGGCAGCTCCACCAGACGTTGTCATAGATGAGCAGCGACGCATCTGGAGCGGTGGCGACAATCGCACCAACAAACGCTGGCCAGAGCGTCAATATGTACTGCCTCGACGCAAATATAGTCTTTTCATATTCGGTAAATTTATCGAAGATGCATGCAGAGATATTTGACCTCAGCTGATGTATAGAGTATGGCTGGATCTCGTCGATGCAGTCGGCTCGTGTCTGTTGCAGATATTCCCCGACCTCAAGGTGACTGGTGTACCCAATATACTGCTTGCTCATTGTGAGTTGATTTTGAGAATGGGCCCTCAAAAACAAAAGAGATTCATGAACACATCTACCGCTTTGTGTGCTCTTTCCACCTTATCAATCCAAAGACGAAAGGTAAGGGAAAGAGCCGGAAAGGAGAAATCCGAAGAGCGAAAGTTGGGTATCTCAGTCATATAAGACAGTGCGAAATATCGAATGCTCTACCGGCCCCCACGCATTAGTCAAGCACGGTATTCCGCTGGTGTTCGCCAAGAATTGGAACGACTTCTATTTCAAGGTACCTGAGACAAAACAAGACTGGCAGTGGGTACCGAGTGACGAGCAGAGAAGAATGACAAGAGAGGAGTGCCAGGGCTCTCCGGCTTTCATCAGGTCCAGCAGTTTCGCGGGTTGCAATTGAGCGCGATATCTCCACTTCCAAGAAGTGCTCGTGAGTCATGTAGCCGAGTGAATATGCGACACTTGTACTTTTCCCTAGTAGAATCTGTGTATCTCTCTCATTATCAATGATCTTGCCTGGTGCAGAACTGCACTGTCATGGATGGCACCCCGATGGTGAGGACCTTACTGGTGCAATGCTTTTGCTCGGGCTTACCGGGCCGTCCCCTTCCCCCACAGCCGCTTCTCCTACCCCTAAGGTACAAGCAGGGCTCTGTTGGGCGGTTAGACCTGAGGGTCGGTGTCAAAACAGGCTTGCCTCCCCGTAAAGGAAAACGGCATTCTGCAAGGCCTTTATGAAATCGATCTCCAAGGTTGACAATGACAAATCCAGTGGAGGTGGAAGATATGTCTTGGTGAGCCAAAAGTAAGACAGTCAATCAGCCAATGCTCATAGTGTCGACTTTATGAGCTCTTGAGGGTGTTTGAGAGGAGTGCGAGATACGCGCAGCCGTGCGGGAGAAACCAGGCGCCCAGAGCGAGAGAATGTCAGGCCCGGCAGCCAAGTGTTAGGCATCCGACACCTCCGTGCCAGTTAGTTACCTCAGTTGTGCTCAGTACGGAGTACCTACTCCCCCAGTAGTTAGGGGTTAGCTACAGTATACAGGACCATAAGGCTCCTCTATGTACGAGTAGGTAACCTGTAGCCTTTCGAATTCTCCCGCAGAAAAGGCTTCTCTGAAGGCGGTGGGGTAGTAGAAATTGCAAACCAGGGCTGCTCGGGGCCTGATCACCCAATTTATCGGTGCGATGGCTGTGTGTGGTGAGCCTGGCCTAAAAGCTGCTCACATTCTGGAGAGTCCTACCCGAACCTGTTGTTAGAGGACGAGATACTCCGTACGACGGGCTGTAAGTAAAAACCATGTAAGAAACTACTTGGTAATTCCACAGTTCCTATGAGGGCAGCCACCCAACGGGGGTTCTCGCTCCACCTCTTGGGAGTTGAGACGTTCTTCAGCAGTACGAGCATCTGCAAATGTCCCTTGGCCTTCCTTTGCAGTCACCCGCTCATGCTGCGCAGTCTGCCGTTCAACCCAAAAGCTTTGTTGTACATGGTGAGTGATTCTCTCGAATCAGTCCATCTCCAATTATGAATCATAGTAATCACAGTTTCAGAGGAGTACGATAAGAGGGTAGCTTGGGCCGAGAAGGCCCATTTGCCGGTAAAAGCTATCAGGCATGCTGAGATTTGGGCGCAGGAAGCGGCTCCTTGGCGGCCCACAGTGGGTATCTAGATGGCTTAGCCAATGCAGTGTTCTTCATGTTGGATAAGCATCAGTCTCGACCTTCAAAGAATGCAGTGGTACTTCGTACACTGTGTAGCCTGAACAGAGCCGAAAACCAGTCTTTCCGGCTACTACGATACATCAGTTAACTCCATGGTTCGCCCCTTCGAAGATCATTGGGGCTGGATTGGTTATCTCGTCGCGCTACGTCAGCAGAGCCAGTGTCTCCTCGCATTTCGAGGAGATATAACAATGCCCAGTCTTACCAAGACCCAACCTAATGCCAGGCAAGCCCTGGGGCTGTCGAGCTAAGCACAGCTCAAGCAACACTGAGCACGGCTTGTCGGGCATTGGAGTGGACCGAACAACAAGCGGTCCTATTCTCTTACTTGGCGGCTGTGAATGGATCGATCTGCTTAAATTTCTCGTTGAGGTTTGTCTTCAACCACAGCTTGAATTCAGCTTGCGCGCAGACAAATAATCAGGCTCTCATGTGTATTTCTGGATGATGTACACTTGCTTGTCGAGGGAACGCGGAGTTTTCTGTTCACCTACAGAAGGGGCTTCTCGCTCGTTCTCTGGTTATCAACACGGAACTCGGACGGTATTTGACTGTTCGGCGTCGGCAAGCTGCTGAACGCCATCATGGAGAAAGCCCGCTGCAGGACCATTTGGAGCGGAAACGCCTGCCTCTGATCGAGTCCCCTGTCAACGACCAGCTATACGATGTTCTGGATTCAGATGGCACGCCGAACCTCGAAAAGATGAGATCGCGCGCCAGTGCCTTGCCGGCGATCTCATCTACCGACGGGCCGGTCCTTTACAAACCTCACCACGAAGCGAGCACAATTGAGCTGTTTTACGATCTGTTCTTCGTAGCAAACCTTGCAACATTCACTGCTGCACACAAGCATAGCGATGCAGAATGTAAGGCAGCGCTTGAAGTGATAGAATACTTTTTGGCTGATAGCACCATGCAGCTGTCGCAGCTTCTCTCGGCTACTTCACGCTCCTGTGGTTCACACGGCTCAATACGACACTGTACTATGTTCGCTTCGCCACCGATTCCATCACCGACCGTGCTTTCAAATTCGTACATTTCGGTGTTATGACGGCTTTCGTATTCTGTGGTCCGATTTTCGATGTCTATGACGAAAAAGCAGATGCACGCACTTACAAAAAGTTCGCTGTGACCATGGCGATCTCGCACGCCATTCCTACAATTCAGTACCTAATAGTACTCGTTCAGAGCCGTCGATATCGCAATGCTGTCCTCCCAGTTGCACCCACCGCCTCTGTGAACGCTCTCGCAGCAATCGGTTTCGGGGTGACAGCCACTGTTTTCTCAATTGGCAGCATCGCATGGCACAGTTTGGCCACATGGTAAGGCTTCCACATGTTGTCCTGTCCTTGTGGCTCTAAGACTTTGCTAGGTACTCCCTGAAGATATTTTCGGGAGTTCCCACAGTTCTGGTCTCCGTCTTCTACCGCGTCATATCTTTCAAACATGCCCATCTCACTGAACGTGTGTCACTGCTAACCCTGATCGTCACGGGCGAGCGCATTATTGGGCTCTCAAAATCAGTCTCCTGCATCATCAAAGCCAATAAGTCCACAAGCGCCAATGACATCGGCGCTGTGATTGCTGCCGTTCTCCTTCTATACCTCATTTGGATGCTGTACTTCGACCAGCTTGACGAGGAAGGCAAAATGGGCACTATTCGCCAACAAATATGGGCCCTCCTGCACTTCCCACTCCATTGCGCCATAGCCCTTACGGTAGAAGGAAGCACCAGTCTTATTCCCTGGAATTCAGCCATGCGAGGGCTTAAACTCGTCTGGTCACTTCGACCAGGTCCTGACGATGCTCCCAGCACTCCGTTCGCGAACAATGCTGCCTTTGTATCGTATCTCAATACTCCTTATGGGAGATCTCAGATCACTTCAAGGCATACAAACTCGCCGATGAATACGACTGGGTTGTCAACCTCACCTTGGTCAACGACATAGCACAGAATGTGACATTCAACAGTAATGAGTATTTCTCTTCAATGGCATCCATCATCGACGAAATGGTCGATTACGCAGCAAACTTCGTCTTCAAAACCCACGATGCTACCATGTACAAAATGCTCGAAGTCACTTCTAGCAAATCATCCCCGGACGGCCACGACGCCCTTGAATCAATCTATGAAATTTACGACGTCGTCACGCTATACTTCTACATCTCAGCAGGTGCGACATTGCTCCTCCTGAGCGCCATGTACTGGTTTGGCAAGCCTCACCACACACGCTCTGAAGCAGGCGGGCCGCTCGTCCGTCATCATCGGGTCTCTCCTGATCGGCTCAGGCTGTCTGGCCGTATTCGTCGATAAAAGTAGCTCCGGGTACAAATTCCAGCAAAGCACCATGTTGATCCCTGTAGTTGCAGTCGCGTACCTTGTTGTTATCACCTTCGACACGGTCTTCACTTTTTTCTCCGAACATCCGGAGACCGGAGCCATCATCTTCCATCGGGGTGCTCGACAAAGTGGAGGGACTCCTCACCGTCACAGGTCAACTACGTCTCGCGAGTCAGCAGTGGACAAGAGTGCCAATGTCACGAGCCTATATTCCAACCAAGCACGAATGATCCCACTCGAAAAAATGGACACCAGCGCCGCCGCGTCTGCTTCCGGACATACCCAATACGACACTGCAGTTGACTACAGTTACCACAGCAACAACACATCTAAAACTTCCGAGAAGAGCACATCATCAGGCGCGAAGATTCCAAGCGGCGCGCAACAATCGCGAACGTCACGGCTTAAATCCCTGCAAGAGGACGATGATGAAGACTATGGCTCTGAGAACGGTACGATGATGACCATACTGGGGCCCTGGATCGCTGGATCGCTTGAAATGAAGGGCCAGTGTAATTTATGGCGAAATGAGGGCTGCTCTAGCGTGGGGCATTTCTTGAGTCAACCAGAAAAGGGGATCAATCAATATTTTTACGAAGTAACGAATTTCTTTTGACGAAAGAAGATATTCGTCTTCAAAACATAGAAATCAGCAAATCGTGCTTCCAAATCGCATTTTATAAAACACGAACCTGACAGCTTTGTGCCAGCTAATTTTCAGGCTGAACCGCAGATTATTTCCAATGCCATGAAATAAGCTTTCGTTAGTATCAGCGAAGCCTATCGTCATCGCTGCAAAAGAAATTAGAACCTGAGGCACCCAAGCCTAAACGACAATGGCGACCGAGCTCCTTCTCCTCCTCTTCTGATCGCGAAGCAAAGGCGTAACCTCATCGAATATATCCTCGACCTCTTCGACGTCGGCAGGATCGTCGTCCTTGACGTCCTGGCCGAATGCGAGGGACATCTCCCTACCGAGCGCGACACCCCTGGTCTCGGGAACGAAGGCCCAGCAGAAAATCAGGCCGAGCATGGTGCACGCACCGTAGACGGTGAACGTCTGCGTACCGATCGAAGCCAGCAGGAGCGGCGTGATGGCCGCGATGACGATCTGGCACGCCCACTGCGTAGAAGTGGTGATGGCGCAGCATTTGGCGTTGAGGTGCGACGGGAAGATCTCGCTGCACACGTTCCAGGCTATGGGTCCGCTGGACAGGCCAAACGAGTATGCGAAAAGATACATGCTTGCGACGGCAAGGACATCTTTGATTGAGGCATGATCAGGACCTGTGGACGCCGGATCCTCGGGCCGCGCACAGTACGCGAGCACGAACATGCAGAGCGCACAGATGGCGGTCCCGCCCAACAGCCAGAACCGGTTTCCACGGACACGCACGCAGTAGAACATGTAGGAGAACGCCGAAAGCAGTTTCACGGCGCCGAAGATCCCAGTCAGGAAGAGCGCCCCGGAGACGGACTTCGTGATGCTCAGAAAGACTACAGGTGCGAAATAGTTCAGCGCGTTCATGCCCGTGGCGTTCTGTGTGATGAAGAGCCCGATCCCGACTAGGAGTCTTCTCCTGATCGGGTTGGTAAGTGCCGCGTGCGTGAAGCTCGCGGGCTGGAGGGCTTGTCTGCGTTTCGCGGACAAGCCAGCATCGTAGATATTTCTTGCTTCGCGGGCGATGAGCGGATCATCGAACGATCGGCCCCTGAACCAGGCTAGGCTCTGCTCGACTGCGAAGACCGTGTCTGTTCCGGCGACGTAATGCGGGCTTTCTGGGATAAAGAAGGCGCCAAAAAGGAGGACGCTCCCGGGAATCAACTGAATTGCGACCGGGATCTGCCACTGTAGGTCGAGTGAGCCTGCAATCGCCGCGTTCGCAGCATAAGCAGCCCAAAACCCAACAAGAGCAGTACCTTGGATAACAACCTGATATCCCGACATCAGGATCCCTCTGTCTGCAGGAGAGGATATCTCTGATATGCTATTGAGAAAGCGTTCAGAGCAAATTCACCAGGGACATCCCATGTTAGAGGAACTCACTAGATAGGGGACACCAGCGTTCCGGCCCCGACCCCGAATCCACTCATCAGCCGACCCAGCTCAAAGATGCCAATGGAAGACCAGCCGGCATTGATCACTTGCAAGATCGTCCCCAGTAGGTACAGCGCCGCACAAAACATCAGACACGGCTTGCGGCCATAGCGGGAGCAGATCGGGATACCTGCAGGGACACCGAAGAAGGCACCTACGATCCACGACGAGACAACGGCAGACTGTGCACGGGCCAGTTCATGCGCTGGGGCGGTGGCGAGATGGAAATGTCGCAGGAAGGACGGTAGCACGAGCACTCCGCCCACGAATCCGACTGAGTAGCCGAATGTTGCCCCCGTCTGGAGCGCGACGGCGGCTGCGAACCAGAGGTTTCGTTTTGACATATTGCGAGGTGGAAGATGGATGTTAGTTCGCTACCTTACTTGTGTAGCAATATCATAGCAAAGCGGACGGCAAAAAACAGAAAACACCTACACGGAGAGAAAAGGCCCTGGCAGGGGCAAAAGGAGTACTCATGGTATATAACCTGGGCGCCGCGTTCGTGCCATGGAAGCAACCATCAGATCACCCGATGCCCGCCCGGACAATGAGGCGGCAATGATAGACGAGCGCTGAGTGATCGCGACTTGCCCTGGGGTTGGGTGAAACCCTGGAGGAGCATAAAGTCTAATTACGTCAAGGTGGTTAGAGAACCCGACGAAGACCGGCCTGGAGGAGGTGAAGTCGCTGTCGGATAAAATCTTTTCCGCCGGCAGAGTCCGCTCTTCGATGCATCGAGCTCTGGGGGAGGCCTGTCGATCGTCCTAGGTCTTTCGCTAGCGAAAATTTCACCTGCGGGGTTTTGCTGTCGGTGATCGTCGCCGATTCAACTCTTCACCAAGGCTGTCGAGGAAATCTTGTGTTGCTGCACTCCGGAAGAACGCGCAGATCACAGCGATCTCGTTGCTTTTCATTTTTGCAGCCGCACCAGAATCCCGATGCCGTCAGACGAAGTCGGCAAAGGGATTAGCAAGACCAACCGAAAAAACAAGCGAGCATGCGCCGAACAACGAGACAGAACAATTGAGACATTATTGAAGCTCTCCACGCGGTAGCCAGTTAGAGAGTGCCTGACGTCTGGAATCTATCTCCCCAGTTGAGGGAGTACCTAAGATTCCCCAGTTCTCCGCATTGGTGGGGATCATAATTTATGTCGATGAGGCTTCAGACTTGGCAAGGCTCCCACCCCTTTGTCCCTCCAACGTCATCAACTCTCGTGGTGAAAAGCTGATACCCGGAGCCCCAGTGCTGATTTCAACTGTCTCCACATCAGAGCTGCGCTTAGCACCAGTGGAGATCAAATCAATGGTCGATCTAGACAAGCATCGAAGCTGTTCCAGTCATTCTCGGTGTTCAATTTACCAGCCAACCAACCGTCTACCCAAGCCTCCATCTTATTCAAAACATCTTCCGTAGAACGCGACTTGTTAATGATTTCCTGCTTTTGCCTCAATGATAGATCCTCTGCAGCTTTTCCAGTGTCGAACAATCGCTCACCCAGAGCGACACGGTCGATTGGCCTAAACGGAGACCTAGCTCTTCTGGGTTCGCTTGCAGCATCGTCGTTCCTCTCATGTCTGACATGCCGGGTGGGTCCCATCATAGATCTTTCCTCTCGGGAGACGGTATTGGGGTATTCAATGCGATCATCATCGAAAGCAAGCGCCATTTTCTCCCTCTCTTGCCTGGCAAGGTAGTCGATGTACCCCGACGCCGTCCTTATCAAGTCAATTCTATCCAGTAATTCTTTGTTACGCGAGTCCTGCTCTTTATCAACATTCTGATATACTCGTCCTGCGCGTCTTCTAATCTTCTCTGCAAGCTCACGGTATGAGAACCGTTCCGCGTTCCACGAGGTAACGTAGCCGCTTTGCAGCATCTCAATGTTCTTCAGGGCGTGGGACAAGATCATATTGCTGTAGTTCGCACCGTAGGGCCATATGAACTGGATACGGCGGTACTGGACCTTCGATTTGAGGGTCTTCTCGAAGTATCGCTTGCGCTCGTCGAGCCGATCTGTTGGAATAGACATATTGAGGATAGCTCGCTCGGCTTGGGTTGAGGGTTTGATCACGAAGAAATATTTTTGGAACAATTGCTTGCTAGGGAGATTTATGTGCGAGTCTTAAGTGTTCCCCGATTTGTCTCGTGAACTCTACAATGAAGAGGCAGTGATGACTTGTGGACATGACACTAACGCTTCAAGACAGTGACAGCTTTGTTTGAATCACGTGCCTATCTGGTGAGCATTGTATCTCTGTGTCTCGGGAACGCATAGCACTTCGACTTTGATAAAGACAATGGCGGGTAATTGAAATTCCACGGGCTGGGGCGCAGGCAGCACCGCCATATCTCCGATTGCATCTGCTTTTGTATGACCCTTTCACCGGGCTTGTGCTGGTAGATGGACGTACGGAGATGTAAGGCGGAGAAAGAAGCATAAACTTAACAATAACGAACGTAATATTTCTCCATTCCGGTAGTAAAGCTATGTGGTGGTGGTCGCATCGATCGTAAACGCAATATCAAGAATCCTCCCTCCCTTTTCCCTTTGCCGCTGGTAGCGAATGTCTAAAACTTATGCATCGGCTTGCTAGTTGGCAAATATGGCAATCAATCCTGGTTGAGGAAGCAGCTGTAGTCTGCGAAGTACCACCCAAGCAAGCGATTCCCAATATCGCTCGAATAACATTCAATTGCACCTTTCTGGGCAAGATCAGCACCGTCAGTAAAGCTGAAGAATCCCGAGTTGTACATTCTGGCAGCACGATAGAATGCCTGAGCCTCCTCCGCCTGCCCTAGACCTGGTATGGAGCCTGCTTCATTGAGAGCTTTGACCAGGTTATTGTCGCCCAGTCGCACGCCGTCCAGGATCATCTGGTGAATTTCAGAGCGAGGGCATGGAGAGATTGCCGCGCCATCATTACATGACCCTATACCGTTCGATGTCTGCATGACACCCGGGTTGTGGATTCCATCGGAAGAGGTTGTGGCCCTAACCCTGACACAGCCATTTGACTCTTGCAAGACGACGGCGAGGACGAATCGTGGGTCGATCAAGGCGTCAGCTGAAACGTTCAGTATGGAGTCCCGTATATCTTGCTTCTCCTGTGCGGTGGTACTTTGCACACCACCTACGCAGAACTCTCCTAGTCCAGACTGCACATGATCCCACATCCTGTTGAACGACAACCACTGTGACTTTGCCGGCCAGCCTGATTGTAGTGAGCCATCCCCTTGATAGGTTCTGTAAAAATCAACTAGCAGCTGAGAACCTTCATCTGGATTGAAGTTATGAACTGCCAAAGAATCGGTAACTTGTGAGAAACCAGAGGCTGGGTTCGTAGAAGGTGTGCTTGGATGACCGCCATCACCAGAATCAGGCGAAGGAAGGTTCAAGACTTGTCCAATCTCAATCTCATCCCAATTTGGCACATGTGGGTTTGCAGCCTGTAGTTCCTCAAGAGTGATACCATGAGAAACGGCAATACTCCACGCGGTATCTCCTGCGTTAACAGTGTACTTTTCCCACGTGGGCGCGGCCCTACGGAGTCGAGTTGGAGCTTTGACTTTTGGAGCCGTGCTTGGTTGACTGAGACGGGGATAGACGACGGAGACGGCGCGGCTTGATTCACTGAATCGAGGCTCATGGTCGAAGAGCGCACCATTAGACGGCAGGGGTTTTGCCCAAGTGTGTGATTGAAGAACAGTGGAGCTTAAAAATAGCAGAGCTATTGGTAGGTTCTATAGTATGTCAATTCATAGGCTTTTCTTCATCTTTTCCGGGCTATATTGCATACTCGGTACATATTTTCGTTGTCAATACGGCTCTCTTCGGGGTTGACAATTTTGTTTTTTGTATGTGTGTCCTGCACTTGTATAGGAATCAAGAGACTGCGAAAGGAGAGACTGGTAAATGAGTGACTGGTAAATGAGTGACTGGGTAACAAGAGAGTGCGAATATAGCGAAACTGGTATTAGCAGCAACGGTCGTGATACCCTCCCTGTGATGAGTTGAAGAATATAAATACTTCTACCACTGTGCGAAGCATCTTCTATCATGCGGTCGAACACGACTGCCAGGCTAGGGCGATGTGCTTACAACGAAAGGAAGTGTGCTATAGATCCTGAAACCCTCCAGGCTCCTGATTTAATGAATTGGGGGCTTTCAAGAGATTGTGTCAGCTTCCAAGATGTATGTATAACACCCACTGCTTCGGAGAGAATGGTGAGAACTGGGTAATTGTGTGTCGACTTCTGGCCCACAAGATACTCGGGTCTATGTCTGAACCATTTTACCTTGTTGCGATTGCAGAAGCGGTATGCCTTCAAGACAGAATGTGCATGAATGCATGAAGGATTCTCAATCACAGTGGACACTCAGTCATGAAGCTTCAATTCGCCCTCGGGTGTCACGTTGAGCAAGGACACAGGATTTGTGTTTTATTTGGAAGGGGCGGTCGAGAAATTGAGCCATGGATGATGATGATGGCCCTTCGTGCTATGTTTCTTTCGCTGTTTCTTTCACAACCTGAAGAGATGGGACACATTCCTTCGTGGACTTGGCATAATTGTAGCGGAAGCCAGACTTTTGATGCCGTGCTTATCAAGTCAATTTCCACAAGGGTTCTGGGATCTTTGTAGGAGAAATAAGCCTTGAAAGCGGAGTCAAGGTAGGATCGAACTCGAAACACGGGAAGCGGGTAATGGAGAGGAAAGGAGGGAGGATGCGTGACTAGACTTACATAATCGGCGTATTGCTACATCTACTCTAATCTAGCTTATGGGTCATCTATTCAAACTCCTTGTCCACCTCTTCGTAGTGGTCGAAGAACCCTTGATACAGTTTGACCCCGAGGCCTGGGTCGAGTGATCCAGTAGTGGCGCGAATCGAATGCATACTTAGTTGTGGAATGCCACAATCGATGGCGCGACAGCCCAACTGTGAGGAAGTCATGGGACCTATGGTACCTCCACTGCGGGAGTCGTTGCGTATTTGGAAAACTTGAAGTGTGCTACCACTCTTCTCTGCAATACGTGACAACAAAGCTGTCGAAGCCGAGTCGGTGGTCATATGTCCATTTGGGTCTGCTGACACTGCGATCCCGACGTTCAATCGCGGTGCATGGTTTTCGAGATAAGCGTTTAGAAAGTTGGGATTGACAGCATGGATCACATCTGACGAGACGAGGAAGGAATTGGCCATGGTTTGGCTGACTAGGTTGGGACCATTGCGATCAGACACAGACTCAACAATTCTTTCGATGACACTGGACATGAAATTGCTCCTAGCACCTTGCCGAAGGTAACTGCCAATTTCTTCGTTATCAAAGCACCCGACCATCTTCACAATGCCTGGAGAGGCATCATCAGAAGAAGCCAAGAGAGCTTCGATTGCCGCAAAACAGCATAATTTGTCGTCAATTCTGCCGGCGAAGATGAGCTCCCTGTCCAGTCCACCAAGCTGGGCTGGCTGAATATCGAACAGCTCGAGTTCCCAGTTGATGATTGAGGTGTATTCTTGGACGCCGAGCTCCCCAGCTATTGCCTTGACCAGCCTCTCGGGCTGTTTGGCGACAAAAGTTCCAGCAGGAAGATTCAAGGATGGCTCCTTTTTGCCTGTTAGGTCAGAGTTGTCCAAGCCAATGATTGGCACCATATTAGTTTCCAAATTAAAAGGGCCTTGGGCGGCAGCACCAAAATGAGGAGCGAGTGTCGGTATCCTCGCAATTGGCCAGTCAAGTTTGACCAGTTTCTCAACTATCTTCCCGTCCTTTCCCTTGACCAGAACCTTGCCACCAATACCCAAGTCTCGATCCCACCAGGTGAAATTCATCCCGCCGGCGTAAGGAGCCACTCCTAGCTGTACATAACCAGCCTTGGTGGAGAGGGTGGGGACAGGCTTGATTCTGGCAGTCAGGGCGTCGATATGGCCGGCGACGATGCCGAGGCCATTTCCAGGCTTGTAGTCCTTGCCCACAGCAAAGGCGATGAAAGCGCTGCTATTCCGCTTTGTATAGTATTTCCCACCAGGCTTTATCTTCCACAAGGTTCTCTCTGAGAGGTATTCATAGCCAGCTGCGGCGAGTTGTGAGGTGAAAGCGTCAACTGCGTGATACACAGTAGGGTTGTTTGTCATGAAGTCGAGATATGGTTTTATGTATGTCTCCGGAGAGAACGAAGCCCGGACGGCGGCTGGAGGAGAGGACTGCCGTGATTCGAGTGGATATACGGTATGCTGCACCATCCGGTCATACCCTCTAGATACATGGAGAGGAATGTCTTCGTGTATTGAAGTGAAGAAGCCAGAGGATGTCTTGCGGACCATGACGAGAGAATAAACAGGATGAGAATAAATTGGTTGGATCTTTGATTGAGATTGGCGATGAGATGGCGATAGAGGTGACTGAGGACAGGGCTTGGGATGATGAAGCATTGGAGGAGGTACGAGTACTTCTCACTCGTACAATTCGTGGCTGCATTTCCAGATCAGGTTAGCCAGGCACGTACTGGTGGGCTTGTGGCTGCACAGCAACCGGAACAGGCCCGGATAAACTCTGGTAAAAGCAGCGCAATTTTTGCCGCCTTCCGTTCCTTTTTCCTGGTAACCAGTAACCGCATCCACCGTTCCGAATATCCATCATCACCCACGTCTTACACCACGATCTCACTCCAACGACCCCCAAGCAGCCAGAATGAGTGGAAGCGTCGCATCTAAGCGTTTGTTCTCAGAATACAAGGCTTTACTCACAAATCCCCCCGATGGAATCACCGCAGGTCCGGTCAGCGAGGATGACCTGTTTGTCTGGGAGGCTCTGATCCAGGGCCCCGAAGAGACCCCATTTGAAGGTGGCATCTTCCCTGCCGAGCTCAAGTTTCCCAAAGATTATCCACTCAATCCCCCTAAGATGAAGTTTCTCGGAGAAATCTGGCATCCTAACGGTAAGGTTCTACCTAATCTAGCCTCTGAGCCTTACTAATACCGATAATGTGATAGTCTACGCCAATGGAGAAGTGTGCATCTCCATCCTCCACCCACCCGGCGATGATCCTAACCACTACGAGAGCGCCTCGGAGAGATGGTCTCCCATTCAAAGCGTGGAGAAGATATTGATATCCGTCATGTCCATGCTTGCCGAACCCAACGATGAAAGTCCTGCCAATGTTGAAGCAGCCAAGATGTGGCGGGATCGACGGCCTGACTTCGAGAAGAAGGTCAGAGACGGTGTAAGACGGTCATTGGGACTGTGATGCAAAAGATAACAGAAGACCATGTCATGTTTGGACCTCGGCTAAGGCGACAGACAGTGTCCTTGCCAACCAAGCATACAGTCCGCCTTCCAATTTGTCTAATATCTGTATCTCGGCCTTGCGATTTAGCCAGAGCATCCTCTGAAGTTCGGCATGACAGTCACGGAGACCTGGAAGAAGTTGGCCTTCTTCATCTTTCCATTCTCCGCTATTGAGCATCGAAGTCGCGGCATTTCTATCCCGCATAGACAGAGTCAACCAAGAATTCCCAGCACCGGTTATTGCCATTAGGTCTTCCGACTTAAGCCCAATCCATGTCATCTCAGGAGCGATGCAACTTTGTTCCCGAGCCGACCTTTTGGAGCCGTACAGATAACATTTTAGAATTCCGATGCCGTCTGGATCATTATCGAATAAACCGAAGACTGGCACATTGGACTGGCACTGATCGACTAGGGCTCTCAAGAAGCGGCGCGTTGCAAGGTCAGGATACCCTTTGGCCTTGATCTCATGTCAACTGTAACGCAGGCGGAACATACTATCTTGTGGACATGACCTACAGTTGCAAGCACTCCAGGACCAATGATTGGGTGTCGATGGAATCTCCTTTCCAACAGAGCACTGAAGATTGCCTTTGGAATGGATTAGCATGGGAGATGGAGTGCTCCAATTTTGCCCGTACCTCTTTTTCAACGACGAGGATCCAATTGATATTGGCCAAGTGATCGAAAGTGGTCAGGTCATAACAATCATGGATAATGACAATTTGATCTGTGAGGTTACCCGTTTTGAGTCCCGCCACGAGGCCTTTTGGGCTAGCAGCCTGACATGAGATTGAGCTGAGGGAAAGATAACTTTCCGCATGGCGGAATACCTACAATGTTCAAATCACGTCTTGTGACCCCACAGGTATGAGCAATGTCATCGACATGCCGATCGACAGTGGTCTGCTGCTTGAAGAGCCCTGGATCGTGGTAGAAGATGTCCCTAAGGGATTGAGCATGGAGAGAATAGCGCAACTGGGTTGGATGTAGCAGACCTCTTGGTGACGATGATGCCCTGTTTGACGGCGCTGTGAATCTCACTCAGAATCCGAGCCAGGCATGCTGCAGCAGGTCAGTGCATCGACAGACCCGAGTACTCAACCTACCGAATCTCCAAGCATCATCCCTGTTCTTGCCCGGAAATGCATATACAACTTCACTATCTTCGATATGCCATTTCAATCGCATGTAGTCTTCGTGATCATGGTATGGGCGGACACTCGTGATTCGTCTCAACACAATGACTGCCTTCTTACATGGGTCGCCTTGAATATCTTGTATTATCTTGTTGAATGTGGATTCGATGTAATCAAGTACTTTCTGGTTGGCAGTGGAGATTGTGGTGACGACTGGTACAGACATTCCGTCGCTGTCAGTGTGGAATCGTAGCAACACCAAACCACAACAGAGGAGAGTGTCTAGGCCTGTGACTTGGTGCCTCGGGCACCGATGGTGGGTGTCAGATGAGAGCCAGAGGGGCCGAGGGCCAATACCGATAGGCTTTGGAGGAGAAAACCAATGGAAATGGTGGTGTTCCTGAAGCTACTGTAAGCGTGGCTCAGGGATTTCTCGGATGTCCGACAGGCTATCCTTTCGCTTAGGATCAGGAGGGGGAAGGGAGCGTTGGACTTTCCCGGAACAACTTAGTTCATCGCACCTGCAGCACCTGGACCGCATCCCATCTCCGAGTGGCCTCATAATTTTTGGATGGGGCAAGGGTCGTGCCTTCCTAAGAAGGCGTCAAGGCCCCTTCCTTGACCGTCTTTCCGTTTTGGTCCCGAGTTCTTCACTCCACCCCATTAATTATCATTTGGTATACGGAGGACAGTATTAGTAGTTGTGCCATGTCAACTGCGCTGCTGATCTAATTTATTGTTCCTTGTCTCATAGCCATGACCCCGTCTAAGGCAAATGGCCGCTCAAATGGATATGCCAATGGTCACGCCAATGGTCACGCCAATGGTCACGCCAACAGCCAGGTTACGGGCGCCCCGGGCAGCACACATGTCCTCGATCCTCTCCACGACGACAAGACTGACCGATCAAGATGGAGGCTAGAGGTCGGGGAAGGAAATCGCCATGTATGGCACTATCTCAAAAGTGACGACGATATCCAGAAGTGGCCTCAATCCACCGCAGACAAATACTTCCTCGGCCTACCAACTGTATGTTACTTTTATCTGCGATCCCCACACTAGAACGCTTCTAAGTAATGTAGGAACAACCACATCTCCCTCCAGCCACTAGACCCTCAGAATCCATAGACAACGTCCTCACGTTCTACTCCAAGCTTCAACTTCCTCCTGGAAACTGGGCATGCGAGTACGGCGGCCCTCTCTTCCTCCTGCCTGGTATTGTCGTCTGCTGGTACGTCACCCAGACTCCAATTCCACCAGAATGGCAGATCGAGATTCGGAATTATCTGTTTGCAAGACAGAATAAAGACGGAGGCTGGGGCCTGCATGTTGAAGGTCATAGTTCCGTCTTTGGCACAGCAATGAATTATACTATTCAGAGAATTCTCGGCGCCAGCGAGGAAGACCCAAGGCTGATCAAGGCGAGAGGCAAACTGCATCAAATGGGTGGCGCTGTCAATGGTCCTCACTGGGCTAAGTTCTGGCTCAGTATGCTGGGTGTCACCGAATGGGAAATCGTCAACCCCGTTCCTCCCGAGCTATGGTTACTTCCAGATTGGGTTCCCATTGCTCCTTGGAGATGGTGGATTCACATGAGACAAGTTTTCCTGCCTATGTCCTATATCTGGTCCAAAAGATTTGTTATGCCGGAAACCCCTCTGATCCGAGAACTGCGACAAGAACTCTTCATTCGACCACACGACACCATTGACTTCCTGTCCCACCGAAACTCCATAGCCGCTGAGGACAACTATCGCCCCAAGTCCTGGCTTCTCAATTTGATCAACTGGATACTGGTCTGGATCTGGATTCCTTACCTTCGTTCAGAGTCAATTGTACGGAAGGCGGAAGCGTGGACATGGAGGCTCATCCAATACGAAGACCACAACACAGACTATGCCTGTCTTGCTCCGGTAAATGCCCCCATGAATACTATCGCCTGTTATATCAAGGAAGGCCGTGATAGCCATTCTTTTCAGCAACATCTGTATCGTCTGCACGAGTATCTCTGGGTAAACGCTGAGGGCATGCTCGCCAATGGAACCAATGGAGTCCAGGTGTGGGACACTTCTTTCACCCTGCAGGCATGTGTCGAAGCAGGTCTTGCAACGTCCCCAAAATGGAAGCCCATCTTGGCCCGAGCATTATCTTTTCTTGAACGCGAGCAGATTCGTGAAGAGGTCCCCGATCGCGACCTTTGCTACCGCCAATCGCGCAAAGGAGCCTGGCCCTTCAGCACCAAACTCCAAGGCTATGCGGTCAGCGATTGTACGAGCGAAGCTCTGCGTGTAACCCTCCAGCTCCAGAATGAGCATGGCTATGACTGCCTCATCGACGAGCGACGGATTAAAGACGCTGTAGATGTTCTGCTTACCATGCAAAATAAACATACAGGTGGCTTCTCCTCATACGAGACCCAGCGTGGTTCTGAGCATCTGGAGATGTTGAACGCTGCTGAGGTCTTTGATCGTATCATGGTCGAGTATGATTACCCAGAGTGCACCACTTCTGTTGTTACGGTGCTGTCTTTATTCCAGAAGCACTATCCCGACTATCGGGCAGCCGAGATCAAACATATCAAAAGCACCGCGTGCGCGTATATTCGCAACGCTCAGAGACCCGATGGGTCATGGTATGGTAGTTGGGGTGTCTGTTTCACTTATGCTGCAATGTTCGCGTTGGAATCCCTCAGCACCGTAGGCGAAACGTACAGCACGTCTGCTCACGTACGCAAAGCTTGCCAATTCCTTCTGGCGCATCAAATGGCCGATGGAGGCTGGGGAGAATCCTATCTGGCCAGCGAACTCAAAATCTGGATCGATTCCGAGACATCACAGGTTGTCGCTACCAGCTGGGCCGTCATAGCCTTGATGTACGCCGGATACGACGACAAAGAGCCTATCCGTCGAGCCCTGCAAATGGTGATGAGTCGGCAGAGGAGTAACGGGGAGTGGGCACAGGAGTTGATTGAAGGTGTTTTTAACTGCAGCTGCATGATCACGTACCCGAACTACAAGTTCTTTTTCCCAATAAAGGCGCTGGGTATGTATAAAGCACGATGGGGAGATGAGAAACTATTATGATTGCAAGTGGAGCATCACCAGCATGCGCCTCATAGGTTAGGCACCAACGGGCGTTCTCTCTACCCGTTTGTACGGTGATGGTCGTGGACCTGATTGATTAATTTAGCATTCACAAGCACGTCGCAGGGATGGAGACATAATACTAGATGAACAGGTTGGACGCAGCTAGCCGTCGAGTGGGTGGCTATTAATGATGCCGAAGCAGGCTGTATATATCACGCTCAACGATAATGGCATAGCACGATGGTAAATGTCTAACTGACCAATCTCGAGTCGGCGGGGTGGTGGATATTCCACGGCATTCGAGTAATACCTCTGCGGCAAAAGGCAGGGGGATTCGATTGTGATGAAGAGCAGTGTATCGAAGACCCTGATCGTGATGATTCACCTGAAATCGCGATGGTCTTTCACACACGAGTCGCACATATAATGTGGGAGTCCATAAGCTAGCTCGTCACAGCGAATCGAGCCAACCCGCACTCGCACCAGAGCCGTTGATGACGCAGAGAGATCACAGTACTCAATCCATTGTCATCATTAGAATTAGAATTAAACAATCTTTTGGCGGCAAAAGCTCGCATGAGCTTAGCTAACAGAAACCTAGACTAACCATGCTAGGGGAACTTGAATGATTCTGGCATCAGAACGAGGTTCTTGGTACCGAGGGTGGCGGTTGGTAAATAACTTGCTAAGAATTTCCCTTTGCAGCTATCGTTCTCGGTTGACAGCAACGCCGTTTTACATCAAAATGACACGGTTTGGACCGTCAACGCGAAATGGATCAGCGGCATTAGACTCTCCCTAAAATGGTATGGATTAACACAAATCTGGCCGCTTTGTGAGCCGATCACGTGGCAATGAAACACAATCACAATTACGTCGGCCTGCTTCAGCAGAGTGGACTTTGGTGTATCTTTGGTGTATCATTCACTTGACACGAATTCCAACACCGTCAAGAGTGCAGTCGAGCACTTCCCGTGACTGGTTGTCCATTCGTCTAACATGCAGGACACAAGATACACTCCAAATCCACTTCGTCCATACTACAAACCCGCTTCCATCGGATTTGCTGATGTCTCTTCGAATGCCACTGCAGCAACCTCAAAGTCGACCTCGGGATCACCCTTCTCCTTCCCAGACCTCGACTATTCCGACTATATCTCTGATGCCGCTCCGTCAATAACCGTTTCATTGAAGTCGATCATCGATCAGACAGTATGGAAATATACAAGTGTCGTCTTTGCACAGCCGTTCGAGGTTGCAAAGCTCATTTTACAGACACGCGTCGCCCAAGGAGATGATGGTGAACGACATAAAAGACAAAGTCTACACGTAGAGCAGCAAGAAGAGGAAGTCTCTACATATGATTACGACCACTCTTCTGATGATGAGCCGAATTATTTTAGTTCTGCGCCGTACGAGAAACCTTTTTCAAATCGCTCACCAGACCGCGGAAGAAGAGGAAGACCACCAAGGGATGATTCAACACCACGACGTCGAGATCACCAGCAATCCTCGGATGGCTACCTTGTTTTGAAAAATCCTCTCTCCCTCATGGACGCACTGTCATCGCTCTCTTCGAATAGTGGTGCGTTGGCCATGTGGCGAGCCACAAACTCGACTTTCGTGTATAATCTCTTGGTTCGAACTCTCGAAACATTCTTCAGAAGCTTTCTGGCAGCTGTATTTGGAATTGCAGAAAGTGAAGTGCTACTTCCATTGTCTTCCGGATCAATTCCGGATTCTTCTATACTCTCGTCACCCTCACCAGCCTCGACAGTCCTAATCGCAACAGCAGCTGCGGCCTTATCAGCGCTTGTGCTGGCACCTATTGATGCAGCCAGAACTCGGCTGATCCTCACATCGTCGAGTCAAGAACCGAGGACATTATTAGGGACATTGCGGACACTTCCTACGTCCTATTTGATCCCCACACATCTTATTCCTATAACGTTCCTCACCTCGACTTTGCCGGCACTGATTTCTACGAGCACTCCAGTCTTTCTGAAGTCATACTTGGGTCTTGATCCGGCGATGAACACAGCTAGTTGGAGTGTTGCTACATTTGCCAGTTCGGCGCTTGATTTATCCATCAAGTTTCCCTTAGAGACAGTCCTCCGGCGCGCACAAATAGCCACCTGGACCTCTCCAAACCAGTCACTTCCTGTCTCATCGTCCAAGAGGAAAGCAGTGACGACCATAGTGCCAGTCCCGCAGTCATACCGTGGGGTACTGCCTACTATCTGGAGCATTGTCAACGAGGAGGGATATTCGGAATCGGAAAAAGAAAAAGCAGCAGCATTGTTGGGCAAAGCCCCCAGGAGGAAGCGCAAGGGACAAGGAATTCAAGGATTATACAGAGGCTGGAGAGTAGGCTTCTGGGGTCTAGTTGGAGTTTGGGGCACCTCTTTCATTGGAGGTTTACAAAACGGCAGTGAAGCCGCCAGCAGCCCGGGAATTCATGGTGGCAAATTTTGATCCGGGTGAAAAGAGATGTACCTGTGAAGCAGGGAGCATGGCGTTTTAGGTGCCTTTATTTTCCGAGATACCCATACTCTTCTCCGTCATGAAAATGAGAATTTCAAGTCTTGTCGACTCTGTTACTGCCAGCACCTGGCTCTAGCTGTGTTATGTGGATGTTCAACAATATAGAACCTATCGGCCATGGCGAGTGAAACTCCCTGGTTCTTGTTTGATCATTCACATACCATACTGTAGTTGCTAGTGTACGTAGACGAGTAACTAGTGGTGTGATTTTCGGGTATAGTTTTTCCGACGACTCCGACCCCTCTTGCCAAGGCCGATCTCGCATCATCTAATCTGATATGATATGATCAAAATTTGATCTTGATCTCCCACTCGCACCTCCCACTCTTTGAGTCTTGACTTCGCTCTTTCCCGGGTGCCTCCAACTTCCACCACTCACCTGATTCTCACCAACTACGTCTTTGCTATCACTAAATTTCTGCTCTATAGAGCACTGAGCTCTTATAAAGTGGCCTTCAGGCCAATCTGGCGCTTGTGCATGCTCACAGCTGAGACCCGGCTCCAGCGGTCGTTTCCCTCAGGCTTAAGCCGCTGAGTCAAAACATTCTCCCTCGGCCAATCTCGGCCTGGTGCACGCGCCTTTCATCTTTGACCGATCATGGCCGCCTCACCACCAGCCACCACTCCCGCAGCCACTGCTGATATCAAACCTGTACTCTCACGGCAGCCTTCACTCTGTATGAAGCCAGCTCAATCTCCGTCAGCTGCATCACCCCCCTCGACTTCCCAGGCTCCTCTGTCATTGACGAGCAAAGAATGGGTTATTCCTCCCCGCCCCAAACCAGGTCGGAAGCCTGCCACCGATACTCCGCCAACCAAGCGCAAAGCTCAGAACCGAGCCGCCCAACGAGCCTTCAGGGAAAGACGAGCAGCTCGAGTCGGAGAACTCGAAATCCAGATGAAGCAGCTGGAGGATGAACATGAACAGGAAAATGAGATGTTGAGAGAAACTGTCGCCAATCTTGAGAAGGAAGTTGAGCAGTATCGTACTGACCTGGTCACTTGGGTTGATCGGTGTCGAAGACTCGAAAGCGAATTGAGCGCAATTAAGGCCGGCCAAAAAAGCAAACCTCCCTCTAACATCAACTCTCCTGATAAAGTACACGACACGGCCCAGAACGACCAGACTGTGGGATGTGGAAACTGTACCTTGGAAACTAGATGCCAATGCATCGACGATGCTTTTACCGCCATGGGAGGGGAAGTCGCTACGTCGTCGCATCAACATCAAAAACGACCCCACTCGCCAGTTCATATCTACAGTGAGAAGAGGATAAAGCCCGAGCCGAAAGAGAACCTTGAGATTGATTTTACCGAGGTGTACGCATCCAAAGGCCTCCCGAGCCTTACCAGACAGGATGAAAGATCCCCTACAACTGCTGTTGCTGATCCTTGTGGTTTCTGTTCTGACGGGACTCCATGCATCTGTGCGGAGATGGCTGCTGAACAGGAGCAAGCCGCGGCCGCGCCGCCGAGCCTCCAACGACCCGTCCCAATCATCAACCCTCCCAGACAGCTTGACCAATTCACTCCTCCACCCTCGGAAGGCGATGTATCAATTTCGATTCCTGCTACAGCCCCGCCATCTGTGTGTGCGTCAGGCCCAGGCACATGTTCTCAATGTCGTGCCGATCCCAACAGCACTCTTTTCTGCAAATCTCTGGCCGCTTCTCGAGCCCAATCAGCCGCAGGTACACCGTCAGGCTGTCGTGGTGGACAAACCCCTGGAGGCTCATGCTGCCAGAGCCAGACCCCATCTAGCACGGATTCGGTTCCCCTACCATCCAGAACAACAAGATCTCGCACGGCAGCACATACCCGTCTGCCGCCGAAAGCTGGCCTTACTCTCACTTGCGCTGATGCCTATACAACTCTCAGTCGACACCCCGCCTACGAGCGTGCATCTGGGGACATTGCCAAGTGGTTGCCAAAATTGCATGCTACCGAGGCAAGTCCCAGCATGAATGGCCGCCCCGCCCTTGAGATCGATGCCGCAAATGTTATGGCAGTTCTGAAGGACTTCGATCGCCGTTTTGGACAAAACCGTTGAACGTGCTAGTTACCAGTTGGCGCTCATACTTCTATTGATACTTTATTATCCGAAGCACCCTCTACGCAGCGTATGCATATCCTCAACGACTCCTTCTAACTTGAGCAGTCCACACCATCCCGGCTACGCAGATTTATTGGTACCTGGAGGCAAACTGCGCCACCACTACGGCCGATGCGCAGAGCGTTCTTACGCCACACCGCAATCCTGCCTCCTTGAGCGAGTCGGTTCGCCCGAGTTATCGCCAAGAAAGCTTTCAGGGCTTCAGGCTAGCTATGGATGCAAACTTTGAACATGCCGGACGTTCCAACAGAATAAAGGTTCCTGGGTACCATAATCCTTACATGAAAGGAGCTCACAAGTGCAATAACCGTGCCAAACATTTTAATTCACATTGGGCCTGAATATTAAGATGCGGGCAACTTTCGATGTGTGTTAGCTTACGCACCCTCAGCAAGAGAACAGTCTTATGATTGTAACGGTCAAATATATCAAACGTATGTTTGAAATACTGCAGGGCATCTCGTATATTCTCCCTGCATACACGCATTGAAGAAATGTGACAAAGGCTAGTTAAATGAAGGCTTAGCGTCTGCGGCGGTTCATTTCTTTTATCTGGTCTAAGGATGGTTGGGGAAGCGCATGATTCTCAACGAGGGGCACCCTTGAGGATGTAAGATGCACAACCAGGATACCGGCCCACACGCTTCCTCTGAAGCAAGCAGGCATTTTACAATAGTCAGAAGGAGATGAAAGTGCTCCCGACTCTGTCAGGGAAGAAAATATTTATGGATGGATGGGATGGGGAAAATGCGTTTCAGATGTATATATCAACCGCCACAAATAAATGATTATAGTGTGCCTATCTTCGTCACCAGTCAAGAGTGTATAGCCACGGTGAGGAGAGGTGCAAAACAGCTCAACAGAACATTATTTCGCGCAATAAGCTGTGGCTCAGATAAAGCAGGCAATTTCTGTATTCATTTCCCTATCCCATGATCTGAGAAAGAAAGCTACAATACGTAAGTCGTTATCCTATCCGATACCGTACCTCGCTTAGACGCCTACAAGAGTAGAAGAGAGCGCGTCAGATGTGGAATTTTTCACCTTCAGCCTGAGACTGCGCGAAGTTCTGGAATTAGTCCTTCATCTCATCTCATCGGTAGCTCACATTACTTTGTTCCGGAAGCCCACCCCACCAGAGAAGCACAACGACTCAAGACCACAACCACCACCTCGCGCCTCTCCTGCCCGCGATGTCGCCGTCGGCGGCCGGGCTGGTGAGGGTATACTCCCAACTCAGGGCGCCATCGACGTACAGGGAGTACCTGAGCATGCTCTTCTGCTTGTGGACCTCACCAGCCAGCGGGGAGATGTCGATGACGCCGACCTTGCTGTTCCCGTCAGGGAGGTACCGGATCGCGACGTCTTCCTCGTCGATCTGCTTGAACGTGCGGAATGGGAGGTAGAACATGCTCAGCGGCCCGACGGAGAACTCGTGCGGACCGGACGAGGCTGTGCGGTCGTAGACAGTTGTTTTGCTCTTTTCGGAGAGGGCGTGTTGGTCGACTATAATCTTGTTTTGGCCTTTGGATGCGCGTGAGGCAGAAGGCGCAAAGTCCGCAATGGGTGGTGGGAAGCGGATGGCGGCGAATTCGTGTCGATCTCCTGAGAGGATGATGACACGGACGCCGAGGTCGCGCTCAGCTTTGTGCATTGCCTCGAGGATCTTGGAGCGTTCATATAAGAAACCGCCCCACGTGTCAGAAGTGCCAAAGCGCCAGTTCTTTGTGAATGGAACAGATGAGGCAACGATCTTCCAGTGCACGCGTGGTGGCTCTGGAGTCGAGAGGTAGCGGAGAAGCGACTCTAGCTGTGCAGTACCGAGCATCGAGTGATTGGTGGCCGGCACTGGAGGATTTGGGGGTTCAACAGAGAAGCGGTAGAAAGGCTTCGACTTGGCGGGAGCAGGCTCAGGATCTGTCCGATATCGTCTTGTGTCGAGCATAAAGAACGAGGCAGGACCATTTGAGAATTGGAAGTATGTTGTGTTGGTCCCAGGGCCATCAGGAGAGCCTTTCGGCACCGGGGGGTTCACCGAAACGTGATAGTGGATGAAAGGGTCTGATGCCGCTGGGAAGGGATCTGTGTCATTTCCACCAGACCAGTCATTTGCGATTTCATGATCATCAAGGGTATGTAGCCAAGGCACTGTATCTAACCCAGGCAACGACCACGATGGTGATGCATAGACCCGCCGATACTCGGATCGATAGTGTCGCAGCGAGGAAGATAGACGTAGAGGGACATCCACGTAGATGAAGTCTCCTAGAAAGAGCATGAACGATGCCGGAGATGGCAGAGATTGAATGACCTTTGACAAATGTTGGAAGCCGTGAATGGCAAGGGCATGAGCCTTTGCTTTGTATGGGAAATTTGCTTTGATGCAAGACGAAGTAAGGAACGTCAGGCTTTTGGCCGCTTCGGAGTAAGGTGCCGGAGAGGTCGTAAAGGTCCCTTCTAGATTGTTAGACAAGGAGTAAATATACTTCTTCGATGGTTGAAGTCCATCGAAAGTGATGGGATATGTGTAGTCGGTTTCATCTCCGAGATAGTAGATCGTGTCCATTGTTGTCCAGGTAGCCTTGTCGGCAGGTGAGATATAGACATAGATAGGTAGCTGAGCTGGGTCAGGCTCCCTGATCAAGATGTTTGCGGACGAATGATCGACGTATCCGACTCGGCTAAAGGTCAAGTCTTTGGCAGGGTACAACAATGGACCTCGAAATACAAGGTCAAGGGTAAAGATTGCCAGTAACAGATTCACCGTGATTGTCATATAGCTCCACTGTGGTTCCCTCCACTTGGGAATTCCTAAGACGAAGATCTGGAAGAAAGACTTCTCGTCATCGTAGAACGCAGGCTCTACATGGTCCTCGGGGTTGTCGTCCTCTGCTGCTGCTGTTTCTTCGGGTTCGGGTTGTGGGAAGAGCTTTGGAAAGGCTTCGTGAAGAGTTGGCCTATGAGAACCAAAGGCTCTTGAGTTACCAAAAACGAAGATGAGGTATACCAAAACAGACGATATAATTATCGGAGGGAAGTGGTGACCGGGAATCTCGATTTCCAGTTAGCATAGCCCTGCAAAGCATACTCTATGATACTCACCCATCTCAAGAACGCATATGCGGACAACCTCGCAATGGAGGAGCTGATCCCCACGATATGGTGGGTCGACGGGAGCATGGTGGACTTGGATATAGAGAACACTCACTGCAACAGCAGTGAGTTATATATCCTGATCACATCCTACCTGAAGTTGGCAACAGAAAGCAGGCAATCAGCGAGCCCAAAATGGCTGGGGAAGTTGGACGGTGCTTGGGCAGTGAACAAATAGCGCAAACAGCACAAACAGCACAAACTCAAAAATGACGTAGTGTATATGTATATGGCTTAGTCCCGATCTGACTCACTGTCACGTGAGCTGCAGCCTTGCCCCCTTTCTTGGGCCACTGAGGCTGGAAAGGCGATTCTGCCACGGTGGAGTGTGCGACCAGGAAACGTCTGCCTTGGCATCGTCTAGACCTTTCCTTTCTTTGGCCTGTCCATTGCCATGCCACACCTCAATCGCTTGCTATCCAAGGACCAAAATATTGATATCGACAAGCTGACCCACCGCTGTCGCGTGCCGTGTAAGCCCTGTTGTGCATTCTGGCTCTGATGGTAGCATGCCACCAGTTCCTCCAACGCCAGTGCCATCATGGAATCCGCGCATCGTCTGCTATTTCCAGACATACCACCACAATGACGAATATGTGTCCCTCCTTCCTTTGATCACGCATGCTTCAGGAGCGACACACGTCATATTGGCCGCCATTCACGTGAACTGGGATCCAAACAATCTGACCTTGAACGATGATCCCCCAGAACACGAAAAGTACACGCAGCTATGGGACGAAGTCCTTGTGCTTCAGGACTCCGGGATCAAAGTCCTTGGTATGCTGGGCGGCGCGGCCAAAGGCTCATTCGCCAGACTAGACTACAGTGAATCGCGGACCGATGTGCCTCTTGCTCGCTTTGAAGCTTATTACAGTCCCTTGCGAGACATGATCCGGAGGTACAGCCTCGATGGCCTGGACCTGGACGTAGAGGAGGAGACGTCTCTTGTGGGCATCGTCCACCTCATTGATCGCCTCAAAGCAGACTTTGGGAATGATTTCATCATCACGCTCGCCCCTGTGGCCACTGCCTTGATGGCTGGCCGGCCGCATCTGTCGGGCTTCGACTACCGTCTTCTAGAAACCGCGAGGGGCAGTAGCATCGCCTGGTACAATGCACAATTCTACAATGGTTGGGGCGGACTACACAACACGGACGCCTACGACGAGATCATCCGCAATGGTTGGCCTGCTCATAAAGTCGTAGCAGGCATGCTTACACATCCAAAGCACGGTGGCAGTGGGTACATCCCACTGGAACTCACAGCGGCGGTTTTGAGTCTCCTGGTCGAAAAGTATCCACAGCTTGGCGGTGTGATGGGCTGGGAGTACTGGGATGCTTTGCCGCAGGAGGAGCACTGCTGGATGTGGCCCTTCTGCATGACTCTTTGCCTGGGCATGAAGAAGCTTAGAGATGCGGCACTGATTGTGCGGTTGGGAAGAAGCTTGGCAAATGTCAACGTACGGTAGGTAGGTGGCGGTGTAGCGCGTTATGCAATGAACTATTTAAGACATAGAACTACTCACGCAAGATTTTGCCTTGTGCTAATTATGATCTTGATCCCCCGAATGCGAGCACGGCCTCGATATTGGCCTGAGATATTTCTAGAGACAAGCAAACGCCAATGTGAGAGACACGTCGCCCTTGATCTGCCCCCTGAACTTCTGTCATATATACATTTGTCTACAAGTACAATTTAGGAAAGGGAAGTAAGAACGACTTTTTATGACCCATCCATCATCAATTGTATCATCGAACATCCAAAGGTAGAAGCGGGATCCGGAACCTATTCGTGCCCGCCGTGGCAGTAGGAGCAAATGAGTCCTGACCACCTGGATATGCAGTCTCCAGGTTCCTTCCGTTGAGAGCATGAGCAGGTGCCAATCTCAGAGCTCGAAGCCCACCGCCATCGGCACCCTCACCGGACTGTGGTGACGCAGGTGAGAGAGGTTTTGCCTGAGCCCTTAACAGCATGTCGTTCTGCTGATGCATTTTGGTCAGCAGCTGCTCGTTCAATAGCGAGGATTGTGCGTGTGGAGATCCGTCGCCCTCGCGCACAGGAGAGCCTTGCGACAGTGGACTGTAAGAAGTGGGTGGCTGGTTTGCCGTTCTGTTTTTGGGGGAGGACCCCGATGTCTTTCGTCGTGCCAACCCTGGCTTTATGGCTGGGCCAGGCGCACCAATCCCGGAATCAGAGCTGCTCGTCCCTCCAATTTGTCGATGAGGATTCCTAGCATCGAAGTCTGACCGTGTTCGAGACTGAGATCGGGATCGGCTGGCGAGCTCCAACGGCAAGAGCATCGCGGAGTTTGACGAGACCGAGGGAGAGCGTGATAATAGACCTGGTCGTCCAACGAATGACATGTGGCTCTGCGCGCTAGGAGCCGGGTTCATCGGTAGGCCACTAGCACTTGAGATTGAGCTGTTGGTACCACGTCGCACAAGTCTTTGGCCACTGGCTCCCGGTGATGGGCCTCTGTTCCTGGAAGGATCCCTAGTGGATGGAGAAGAGTTTGCAGGCAGGCGCCGTGAAACAAGAGAATCATCTCGACGATGTAGCGCAGTCTTGGAGATGCTCTCATCAATGTCTGGAATAGGTGGAATGGGGGGTTGATCACGAGCAGGGTTGGTTCCGTAAGCGGCCATTATATGAGAGAAGCTGAGATTCGACGGCAATTGACTGAGTCGTTTGATTGACTGTACATTCGAATCCATGAATTTGGACATGGATTGAAGCGCGCTGTGTGATTCATGCATCTCGTATGACGACGGGGCTTTTGAGCTCGGGACCGCTCTTGCTGTATGTGAGTGAGCTAGCGTACGTCTGCCTGAATTTGAGTCGGCTTCAGACCTTGCAGAAGCTGCTCGAGTTGTTTGAGCATGACCAACAAGCGCGTTCTTTGCTTGCGATACAACTTGGGCGAAGATGATATCCTGCTCAGCATGCTTGATGGCACGGAACGGTTTGGAGGCGGCTTTAGATCCAGTAAAAGCCGTTCCTTGAGTCAAGATAAAGAAGGATCCATCCTTGATCTTGCGACGCAAGACATTCCATCTCGTCCTGGCCGGATTCTTTTCAATCTCTGGTCGGTAGATAGACTCCCTCGCAAGTCTTGAGTAGAACGTCTCAAGACGTTGTGCGACACGTTCCAGCACGGAAAGTAGATAGCTACTGATACTGACCAGCCGTTGTTTATCGGCACCCGATCCAGAATCCATGGACTCGACCACGTTGAATGCGTCCATTCCAAGGCAAATATCCTCACGGATCTCTTCAAGAAATCGGACGTCCAGTTCAGTCACGGCTTGGGAATATCTCAGAATGCCGTTTTCCTGGAATTGAGCATTCTGGCTATTACAGACAAATTGGCCAATTTGTGCGATTTCATTTGCTGCTGTGGCAGAATCGGGCGAGGCTTGAGCCCGAGTAATGATGCCGATGACATCGGAAACTCGAGTCTCCGGAGTTCCAGAGCTCACAAGTGCGAAAGTTAGCTTGAGGTATAGCTCCTGGAGTTTAGCTCCGAACAGTGTAGAGAAGCCATTCTGCATCAGTCTTGATTGGAATTGGTAGAACTTGCGAACACCACCCATGTTAAAGAGGTCACCCTGGAACCACGTTCGAGCGTCTTGTTGAATGTAGTTGACCTCGAAATACAAGGTGGTAAGACTTTCGACACAATTGCGGAGGTATTGATACCATAGATCATAGAGACCGCTGATGTCACTGGACCGGAATTCAGGCTTGGCTGCCAAATGACCGATGAAGTACTTTGATAACAAGCTCGTGACCTCGGGATTTGACGTGTGGGCCACATCGTCAAAAGTTTTCGAGGCGTCGAGACCACCACTCGCCTGTGCGATCAGAGTACCACCCGGATGCATGGGCAAAAAGTCGGTGATATCGTACACACCGCCGTGTACTCCAATCCACATTCTGGACCCTTTGCGATGCCCGGTGTTCATTGACAGCTTCGAGATCGGTATCCGTGGCGTAGAATAGCTGACGGGCTTTGGTGTCATGAAAATATCAAGCATGAACCGTCTCTCTGCGAAAGCTTTTGCAACTAAGCTATCTGCGGTTTCCTTGGTCGAAGCCCAATTCTGATATATCGCTTGGCGAATGCCAGACATGATCGTCTCATACATCGCCAGGGATCCGCAGATGTAAAGATGGCCTCCAAGCCCTCCCTGGCTTTTCGAGACGACAATGTCACAGACGGTTCGTCCCTGTTCGATAATTGCCGCGTCTAGGTATCGTGGACCCATTTGCTTTTCGACCAAATCTCGGGACATCGGATCGTAGACTAGGCCATTGCTGTCTCTGGAGAAGGCTGTATGTAGTTCTATCTGGCCACTGTGGACAAAGTCGCGGAGTTCATGCTCGTATGAGAAGCGGTCGCGTGATTGCACGCCGAGGAATAAGATGTTCCTCCCAACACTTGTCTGAGCCCTGGATTGCCAAAATGAGCGGAATGGCGCAATTCCAGATCCGCCAGCAAACATTGCAATAGGTCCTGTCATTGTCGAAGGGAGCTCAAAATTGAGGGGACGACAAACACCAATGAGATATTCTTCGTCGTCAAACATCTCTTCTGAATATGCTGGGTCAGGGTTGAGACACCCGCTGCTAACACCGTACCTTTGATTCAGGGAGAGGCCCATGTCCAGGACCTTGGCTACTTTGTATTCGCTTCGGGCGACAGTGAGGTCGACCGTGCTTGGAAGCAACTCATTTGAATAGTTCGAAATACTGTATGTCCGTGGTGTCTCAACAGGAATCAACTTTGGGAGCCATGACAAGTCATTGAGGTCAAATGCCTTGTCCCATACAGCCGGAGAGACGTCAGATACTGCAAGTTGGAGCACGTCTCCGATAGTGCCTTGCACAGGCCACATGTCTGAGCCCAGCACTTTCACTAAAGTTGATGAAGAAGCACGTAGGGCGATATGGAAAGCCATGATGAGATCTTTGGTGAGAGGCGCAAGGTGTCCTCGTCTCAGGATATCTTGAACGGTAACTGAAGCTGGTCCGTCTGACTTGTTGACCGCTTTCAGATGTTTGGCGAAGCGATTCCAATCGGGTATATTTGCAACCGGCACGGGCTTGTTCAGGAACTCGTCCAGTCCAAGAGCTGCAGTAACTTTGTTCACCTCCGTCCAGCTGTTGACAGGCATAATGGCAAGACGATCTCCAGGTTGGAAGGTGATTCCGGTGTCCTCGAGGCCAAAGGTTACCATGCCCGTTGATCGAGATGGGTCATTGTCGATGGAAGAACGAGAGAGGATGCGCGCTTTGAATCTGCATTCCTCAAAAGACCCCCGAAGTTGTTGAGGCTGTAAATCTACCTTACCGCGGAACGGTTCAAGTCGTTCTCTCATTGAGTCGGAAAGACTTTTGTGGACCTCTTCCCAAGGGCGTCCAGCATTATCTCCAGCGCCAGCATTACCATTCGTCTCACTCCGGCCAGTCTTTGCCACAACTTCAAGGAAGCCATAGACCTTGTATCTGCAGAAGCAATTAGTATGAATAAAGCAAAGGGTCTGTGACTTTGATATTTACCGATGTGTGCCCATCCAACCTTTCTCTGAGATATAAGCTTCCAAGATACCTTCCATGACACCCATCAATCTGGGATCGCCAGACTCCTTGACAAATGCGGGGACCTGATAATGATACTCGATTGATGCAATGAAGGCACGGATGTTGAGAGGCAGCCAAGCACGAAGATGCAACGCTTCTTTACCTAAGAATGTATCATATTTCGTTCGACCGATGAAAGCATCCATAAGCAAGAACACAGGCAAGGCCAAACCAGAGAGAGCAGGAACTCTTTTCGATAGGGGCGCCGAAAATTTGGCATATCTTTGACCCCACTAGATGATTTCGTTAGCCCAAAAAAATTGGCGTGAAACGTCAAGCCTTAATTGAAATCTTACCTCGACTGGATTTGCAAAATTTTCTCCGGAGTGAGGGTTGACGCTGATTTTGTGGAAGACATGTGCAAATCTGTCAACAATTGTTTTGAGTTGGATAAGCTCTCGGAGCAACCCTTCCTTGTCCCTGAGCATCACTCTTTCCTGGCATCTCGTCATGGTCTCAACACCATTCACAAAACAGCCATGGGTTTCAGCCATGCACAATAGAAACATTGCTTCACCACGATCGTTAAAGACCTATTGTTTATGATTAGGCATCAACTAGGTGGATGAGGGCCGGAGGATATCTTACCGGCCATCTTAAATCCATATTTTCACAGCGTGCGACATAAGGATTGATACTCGTTGGGTCGCGAAGCTTAAAGTTGTAGACAGACACATCGTATTGCGTCAGGTGAGGCAAGATACGACCCATCCTCGTGCATATCTGCCGCAGGGGGATTGCAATATTTCTTGGGATTCCCTTTGTCTCCTCCTCTTCATCCGCTTCTCCCGCAATATTTCGAAAAGTCCCTGGTGGAGCAGACACACTGATGCCTTCATGGCCATCGTTTCGTTCCTCATATCTGTAGACGCTGGCAAGTATACCGAGGCAGACTGTTGCAGCCCACAAGGCAGCGTCCGGGATCACGTCCGCCGTCCCATAGACGAGTGGAATTTGGAGAATTGATTCACGCATCTTTCCCCTCGCTACCACTGCGGGCATACGTTCACAAAGATCAGACCATACCCTTCCTGGGGACATTGCGAGTGCAGCTGGTGCGGCCGATGGATCTGGAGGACAAAAGCCGTGAGTACTGGAAAGATATCCATCCCGCCAGCCAGTGCGTGGGCCAAGCTCCATAGCTCGGTTGAGGACTTGTCGAGCAGGTGCCCCCAGGGCAGAGGCAAGAACATCGAGGTCTGTAGGATTGAGATGGTCGGCGTTGGCAAGTCCATTAGTAACAGATCGTGGGGGTGGTTCGGGTATAAGCAGCTCTGTGATGGTCTTTCGTTCTTGTGCCACCAAGTCATCAACCGTCTTGCCATCCAGTGGTGTCTATACTGATTAGCGGTATACCAAAGAAGAAGATTGCCATGATGCAACATACTCCTTCTGGTGAATAATGTGATTGAGAGGTCATCTGGTAGGCGGCAAAGGCACAACCACGTGGTCCAGTTCTTTGGCCTCCAGCCGCACACACTGAATGAGGGCCGCCCTTATGCCCACTGACTGGGCAGGATCTTTCAGACATGTTGATAGTTACTTTTCCTTGTACAATGCAACGCTAATGACAGAAGAACAATACAGAAGGGGTATCGAGAAATGGGCAACTCAGGGAAACGCTATCAAGGAAGGCTTCAAGTGACCAGCACTCTAGCAAAAGAGTCCAGCTCGGATGGAGAAAGGATGATCTGTGAATGTGGTAGGCTTTGAAGAGGAGATCATTTCCATCGGTGCCAACCTACTAAAGTATATATTGGGTCCCCTTAAACCGCAGCAGTAGGGTACTCCGTACCCATCGAGAATACGATATTGGAGAAGTCGAGCGTTGAACATCTGGCAACCCTAGCCACTCGTTACGTGATAGTTTGCTCTAAGTGGGTGCTGGCCGCAATCATAACCTGATGATGAGGTTGTAGTGGACAGATTTGGACAGAAAAGCGTTGGCCAAGCATGTGCCCAGGCTCTTGACCGTACAATCTCTAACACAAGGCTGCGGCCAAGACCATGTGCGTTGCGTGGAAAAGGAATTTAATCGCCTGGAAGGGGCTACCGAATGGTCCACATGGACGTTCGGTTGCTTTGTCAGTGCAAGGGGAAGCAACCTCAGCTGAGAAGCGAACGAGGATGGGGAAGTCTAGCCGGACGTAATTCCCGCATAATCGCTAAACCGAAAAGTGACAACGGTACCACCGAACGGTCGAGATCGTCCCTAACACCGGTCGATCAAATGTACGGAGTATCGCTGGTTACCAGGAAGATATCAGTCGTGGGCAATAGGGGTTGAAAACGCCAAGGGAGGGGAAAGACCAGTCATATCAAAGGCCCTATCCATACACGGCTAAGGAGGCGTGTATCAGGCCAGCCAAGGCGTAAGAGAATGTTTGGAGGAGCCCATAAACCGACTGTCCCCTGTCCCCCGCGTTGAAGGCGCGTTTCATATCTGGGTACGCATACCGATGTGCTGAAAACAATGGAGAGTGTTTGCTATGATTGGAGTATTTCTAGGGTTGGCATCTGTAGAGCTATCCGCTCCTTATGCATGTTCTTTTTGTTGATGTTGGTGAAAACATCAATTGAGAGGTATAATTTGTTTTCGGTAAGCGCAATGGAGGCACCAACAGCCCAGTGCCAATACCCGAAGTCCAGGAGTGATAGCAAGGCGGATAGACGGTGGTTCCATCGTTCTAATAGTGAGCTCACTATCGTTACCACAGGGTGGATTTCCTCCTGGGCCAAAGCACAGACTCATTTTCAACTCTAGAGAGCGAGACCTGAGCAGCTCACACTGAGTATCCCGAACGAGTACACGCCTAAAAGTGGACTACAATGCTATGGCATCTCGCCTGCTTGTAATTGTCGCGGATGTTGCCACTTAATCTTGCCTTCTCTAACCACCTATTCAGCCCAGGTTTAGCGCCCTTGGTACTGCCCACCCGCTGAAGATTGGCGCCTGGGACCCTTAACAAAGGCAAAAAATTCAGGCCGGAAAAGGCTAATTACCACTATTGAGGCTGTGGGGCCTCTGGTGATTCTAGTCCAGCCCCCGAAGTACTCCGTACGGTGCAGCGCGTAAAGAATCCTGCCTGCCCTGCTTTGGCCCGACCCTCGAGAATGTGAAAATCAACTCACTCGAAGGGTATGGTCGCGAAAACCAAGCGAGCGCGATCAATATTGTGCATAGCTCTGCGGAATCTCGTCTTTTCACCTGGTAAGTGGGCGAAAATCCCTTCTAAGGATTTTGGCGGCCAAACAACTTCTTTATCTCTCTCTCTCTTGCTCGGGCCCGTCGCTCATTATCTCGCTCACAGTCATCTACTGGTCATGCATATGTTCCGGCGATTGTATAAGGCAATGTACATAATCTGTAAGACTATTCAGCCATGCACAGTACCGACATTCTGGTAGTGGCGAGTTGCGATCCATGAAAATATATCATGAAACGTCATAAGAAAGCAATGTGGCTGACCCCTCGTACCGGATACCCGTGTTTCGAAAACAAGGCGAAAGCGAGCAATGAATACGAAATCGGAGCAGTGTTCTGGTCGAATTCATACTCGTATTAACTCTTCCAGTGGAATTAGGCCGATGATTGGTCCGCTGTCTTCTAATAAGCCGATCTTCGATGGTCCGTCCATGGAACGTTGGGATCGTTGTTGCCAGGTCTCGAATCATATTTGAGGGATGCGAGAGGTGCTTAGCCAGGCTGCTGCAAGTATCAGTGCATTGTCCAGGGACAGACAACCACCATGGCCCTTGTCATGGTGCCAGAGGGCTGGACCTGCTGAGGCATTTGCGACGAATACAGTCATAGGGACCAGCTTCGTAAGTACGAGCACTTAGGTACTTCATTGTGGACTGCCGACATGATGTAGAAGTGCACCATGCCATCAGTATGTACCCTGATTCTCCGCGGCTCAAGATATCTGCCCCATTGCCGGGTTTTGTGCTTGCTGCATGCTTTCTGTTTGGCAAGGCCGCGTTGATACTAACGGCAATCGCTATTACTGCTTTTGGCGGAAGCGATTCAGTAGCCGATAGCGCCGACCTTCCCGGGACTGCCAAAAGCTGCCACAGCCTTGCAGCAGCGATTGGGTCGCTTTGGGAAAGAAAGTCTGGATCTCTGGGGGGCAATAGACCACTACAAGAACCGTAACAGCTTTTACTCTGGCGTTTATCGACTTCAAAAGTCCTTTCCCACCTGAAGGCGTAGGTTATTTTCATTATCTGCAATTCTAGAAACACTTCTGAACTCTAATAAAAACGATTCAACGATGGGGTCTCTTGCGCCCGACTCTCGGCCGTCTACTCGGGCATTCCCACCTGGAATTCACGTCCCATCTCTCACCTGGTTCAAAGGCGACGATTCACAGACGGTTGATTGGAGCCTGCAGGACAGCCACCTAAAATTCCTGATTGAGTCTGGTCTGCACGGAAGTAGGTGGTACAAAGAACACTCTTACCATTGTTTTCTAATAGTCTCTTCCAGTTGTAATTGCTGGCACGAACGGCGAGGGTGAGACAGCCTCAAATCAAGAAATCCCATGAACTTCAGGGCTGACGATATACAGCTGCAGCTCTTTCAGCAGATGAAAAATTCGAGCTTGTTCGTCGAACGCGTCAGACCGCCCGTTCTTCAGGGAAACCTGATCTGCCTGTAACGGTTGGTTGCAACGGTGGCTGCACTCGTGCCGTGATTGAGGATACCGTGGCAGCCGCAGCAGCAGGAGCAGATTATGCATTGGTCCTGGTCCCAAGCTACTTCCACTTTGCATTGGACGACTCGGCGATAAGCGAATTTTTCCTGGAGGTTGCCGACAAATCTCCCATTCCTATCGTTATCTACAACTTTCCTGGCGTTGTCAGCGGGTTGGATGTCAACAGCGAAATGCTGGATGTGCTTGGGCAGCATCCGAATATCGTGGCCGTGAAGTTGACTTGCGGAGGTATTGCCAAGGTCGCGAGAGTTGCTGCCAAATTTGGTGCATTCCAAGATGGACAGGAGAACGGAGAATTCCGCACATTAGCTGGACAGAGTGACTGGCTGGTACCAGCTCTTGGTGTCGGAGGCGCAGGTTGCATCACAGGATTGGCAAATCTGTATCCTAAGGTGAACCATTCTCCAACGACGTCGATAGTCTTGCTAACTTTCTCTTCAGGCATGTATAGAAATGTATGATCTATGGATGGCAGGGAAGGTGAAGGAGGCAAACACGCTTCAGATCGAGATTTCAAAATGCGAAATTGGATTTGGAACAGCAGGGATAAACGGCACCAAATGGGTTGTGGCCAGCATGAGAGGCTACTCAGAGGATTCCTCGCACTGCCGAAGGCCGTACCCGAAGTTCAAAGATGAGAAGAAGAAAGCATGGCTGGTGGAGAAGATGCACCTATGCGGCCATATTGAGAGTGATCTGATGAAGAAGACTTGCTCATGAGCCGGAGCAGCACTAGATTGTAGATTGGTTTTTACACAATGGCAAAGCACGAATCGAACGTAGCGTGCATTACTGTCCGGATATCGGCCCTCTGTCCGATTTCATCCTGCTTTTTCCAGACATTCTGAAGGACATCGGCGGTAAGACCTGCGTTGCTGATCGATTTGGAAATCCCACGTATGGCAGACAAGACCCACACCCGTTCCTCGGGGTTTTCCTCTTCGGACCCCCACATCAACAAAGGCCATAGCATATTGACTGGAAGCGAGTCATTAGGTCCTTGTGCGTCCAGCATGTCGCGAGTAAGTTTTCGTATCATGCTCATGGCGTTAGTCACCTCCACAGTCCGTGGCAAATGACGATATGCCACTCGGTGGAGGTGGATGAAGGTGGCATGATGGTTAGCCAAAGCCAATCGTGAAATCATCGTAATTCGCTCTGCCAAACTGCTTGCCAGTAAAGGTCCCTCAAGCTTTCCGTTGACTGCAAGATCCATGAAGGGGTGCCTGTGCCGGTATAACTTTTGGTTATCAATTTGTATTTTGGCCGCAATTGCCATTACTTCTGTCTCATCTGACACCGTACCGCGACTGCGATGCCACAGATCAATCTTGCTGATCCGGCCCATAAATGACTGGGTTTTCTGGAAAAACCTAAGTGGTGGCTGAGAAAGGATATCGAAGAGAACGTTCTCTGCGTCCCTCTCCACGGGCGACATGCTGCGGCTCGTTTCATGGTTTTCATCTTCTTCTCTGAGGAAAAGGCCCTCCCCACCAGCTGACACTGCACGCGCATCAACTAGTCGGATCCAGACCACTATTCTCTTTTCTAAGTATCAGTGAGCTTTTTGTTGTTTAAAAAAAGGGTGGTCGTGAGATTACCTGCAAAGTCCCAAGTCTCCTGTTCCGAATTGGAGACAATCATAAAGGCTTTCCGAAGATTGACATGTGCAAAGTTTGTTCTGTTCGCCACAAGCTAAAACACAATTAATAAACAGTATTGAAAACCATAGCAGCAAGTTGTACTCACGTCTATATAGCTGAGAAGGAATAGTGCCGCAAGAACGTGTTGCACCCTCGCACCAACAATCTCGACCTCGCCATCATGTTCAATCAGGCATTTGGTGATCTCCTCCTGGCATCGAGTGTAGTAAGAGCTGAAGTCAGACTCAAGCCGATCGGTTTGACGTTGTATTTGCAGAGATGAGAATGCTAGGATGGCTTGATGGACCATTTGAGATGTATTGGCCATAGATACAAGATGATTTCGCATGAAACTCCATCTAGCTGGAGTCTCAATGGGTGCAAGTATAGGCGGTGGATCAGATTGTTTGAAGTGATCAATTAATTGGCCGGCATCTGGTAATTGTAATGGTTTTCCAAAGGCACTGGAAACGAATGCTCTGGAGTCGATCTCGAGGCTATTTGACACTCCGGGTAAATTTCGAGGGCCAACCGAGAAGTCTGGCAAGGAAAGCGGATTTGGATCGTCCCATAAGAAGCTTGCATAATCAAAAAGGTCGGCAGGTCCCATGTTGCCGTTACTGCTAGCAAGTACTGGGGAAGCTGGAATACTAATTAAACTAGGCATATCTTCCAGTCGCTCCACACCTAAGGTCGTCGATGGTGTCGAACTGGACATCTGTTTGTTATGCACGGGGCTCGCTGGGTTGTCGCTGTTTGAGCGAGGGCTAGCACTGGAGGCGGTGCTCCAAGTGCAATCCAGCCGTAGACGGTGGCAGTGGGCACATTGTGGCCGTTGCTGATTACACCGTACACGCCGACGCCTATGGTAAACCCATCTCAGCTTGATTATGCGATCAGAGGCCTCGGTACTTACCTGCAAGTTAAACATCCATTCTTGCTTCTCTCAGTCCTACGCGACTTGCTGGGATCATTCTGATGCCAAGCAGAATACATTTTTTAATGCTTCTTCTTAGGCAATGTATCGCCACAGCATCTGACCAGTAAGACATGTGCATTCGTATGCCTACAAATTGGTAAGTTTCATAGCCAAGAGCGCAACATTTGTGCTCTGAGTTCCAGATAGTGGCACAGTTTAGTGAAGGCTCCACTGAGCATTGATGTACTTATCTCAAAAGAAGGAATGGCGACCCAATTATCTACCGATGGGTAGCGGTTATAGAGTATTCTTAAACCCCTCACGAGGAAAAAAATTGTCGAAAAGTACTCTCAAGCTAGGATTAATATCGGCCGACCGCTGGAATGCCCGGTCCACGTCCCATTCCCATCGGTAACCAGTCGCAGCGATCGGCCTTCCACCGGGTGCGAAGGCGTACCCCGCAACTAATTAATTTCGACGGGAGTTATGTGTGGTTACTTCGAGTTCTAGTCCCATCCTTTGGAACCATACAGAGCCTCCGCTTAAGTGCCAGCCTCGAATCGAGGAGAAGCTACGCAGATGACATCGCTATTGCCTAGTTAGGTGGAAGCGACAGGGAAATCCCCAGGCATTACATCCATTACAAACTTAATATCTATAAAGTCGTTCCTGTTCCCCAGAATGTGATGGAACCAGCAGTACCCCAGAAACCTCCATTTTTTTCTTCCAATTGACCAAGATATTACCCCTCGATATCTATGATGGGTGGGTTTCGCGCCGTTGAAGATCGCCCGACCCCGAAGGAGGTATACAACAGTCGCCTATACTTCGAAGCTAGTGTGATCGCATTCGGTGCACTGCTGTGAGTACAGTGTGCAAGATTAACTGCAGCAATGATTGACATGAAACTAGCTTCGGATATGACTCTGCCTTCATCGGAACAACGATCGCCCGTAAGAGCTTCGTGGCGGATTTCCACATTCAGAAGTCGGAGGCAAAGAGCATATCGAGCAATATCACGTCTGCTTTCCAAGCAGGGGCCTTTTTTGGCGCTCTTTTCTGTCTTCCAGTGACAGAAGCAGTGGGTCGGAAATGGGCTCTTCAACTGAATGTCTTGGTCTTCATCATCGGAGCTGTTATCATGACCGCTGCCAACGACCAACTGTCTTATATCTGTATGTTCTCCGCTATTATGACAATCAAATTTCTGACCAAATCTATAGATGCTGGACGTGTTCTTACGGGACTTGGTTGTGGAGCAATCACTGCGACTGTACCATCATACATCGCTGAGGTCTCCATCTCCTCAATTAGAGGCATTCTCACCGGATTGTTCGAGGTTACGTATCAGATGGGATCATTGGTCGGCTTCTGGATAAATTTCGGGGTGAACGCTCATATGTCGCTCACCAGCTCAGCAAGTTGGCGGGTTCCGATGGCGGTTCAGTTGATTCCTGCAATTCCACTATTTGTTTGCGGATTTCTCCTACATGAGAGCCCCCTTTGGTTGATGCGAAAGGGGAAGGTTGAGCAGGCCCATAAAGCTTTGGAGGAGCTGAGGAAGGTGCCATCTGACCACCCATGTGAGCTTCAGATCCAGCTTTGGGCAGCGATGCATACTAATTTCCCAATTACAGACATCAAAGAAGAGCTAGCTACGATGAAAGAGCGTCTCGATGGCGAGGCTGTCATTGCAGCAAAATTTGGAGGTGGCCTTTATGGGTATTTCCGTGGTGCGATGCACGAGTTTTCGAAGAAGGGCATGCGCAATCGAGTCGGCCTCGTCTTCTGTGCCTTTGCTCTCCAAAATCTATCAGGAGCTGCTGGTACGTGCACCTCTATTGTCGCCCACTAGTCACGAGACTGATGGATCATCTAGCAATTAACTACTATTCGCCAACTCTGTTTGGGTCATTGGGAGTGACAGATGTCGCGCTTTATACCGGAATATACGGGCTAGTGAAAGGTGAGCATTTCAGGGAAACTCTCCGGATTGAGCGGCTAAAAAGAAGTTCCAGCTGTTGCATCCATCATCTACTATGTCGCATTGATTGATATGGTCGGCCGTCGACGACCGGTCATTATTTCCTCAATAGCATGCTCCCTGTGTCTATGGTTTGTTGGAGCATATGTGAAGGTCGGGCACCCGGCTACCATCCTGGCTGCTGGAAGTGAACTTTCCGCATCTACTGCTGCAGGTGGAAAGGCTGCCATTTCAATGATCATGATCTATTCAGTCTTGTGAGTTGTCTGCATAGAATCGTCACAGGGAAGAAATACTGACTTGCCACGACAGCTGGTCTTTCGGCCTGAATGGCATCCCATGGATTGTGTCAGCAGAGATCTTCCCGGGTGCGCTCCGGAATATCACAGGCACATATGCTGCTCTTGTGCAATGGTCAGTACTTGACCAAAAACCATCTATGACGACGAAGGTTTAACTTTTGTTTCAGGGCGGTCCAGTTTATCATCACGAAAGCGTTACCATATATCTTTGCATCTTTTGGTTTCGGGACTTGGTTCTTCTTTGCGACATGGATGTTGATCGCCAGTACATGGGCCTTCTTCTTCCTCCCAGAAACAAAGGGAGTCACTATCGAACAGATGGATCTGATCTTGTATGTCCTTATGAACAACTCAGGAGCGCGAATCGTGAATGGCTAACACTTCGACAGTGGCTACAACCACGATGCCAAATACCGCATTCCACGCACACGAGTGACAAGAAAAATGCTACCTACCGTGCAGAAAGAAAGCATCGACAAAGTTTCCGATATTGAGCATAGTGAGGAGGTCACGAAGGATGTTGAAGCAAACCGGTAGATTCAGCAGACACCTTTCGACTTGCCGCTTTTGCAGCTAATATGGCCAATGTGGCTGTTTGAACGGCACCGACTCCAGATCCACGAAACTTCACAACATTGTGCCCAGATTCTGCGTGTCAGATCTCACATGTTGGTCGTTGGACACTAGCCCTATCTATTCGAAGGCAACAATCTGGACAGCCACCGCTTCGTGTCGGAAAAGCCGAACATTGAACGTCAACACTAGTTCAAACTGGTGGTCCGTCCAGGCAATTATCCTGTTCACAGATAATCAAGCATTTTTCCGTCCGTAAATTATCGAACTATCTTATATAGCATCTTCAGACTATCTAGTGTTCTATCAGTTGAGATATTGCCATAATTCTGCGTGCTCGTGTAGCTTCTTATGACTGCGACCAAAATGATGCAAAATGCTGGTTGTCACAAAACGAGAATACTCTGTCCTTAGCGCATGGCTCTAGTTGCAACTTTCTGCCTAGAATCGCTGAGTCGATTCTCATTCTAAAAGGAAGCAAAACAACCCCCATCACGATGGCATTGGCTAGCAACACGGGCAGAACATCCCCCCAGCAATGCGGGCCGCCCCGGTGTCCATCCCCATCAAATGACAAGTGCTCCAGCTGAGGCCTCAGCGAGCTCGCCATCACTCAGACTTTCTTCTTTTGAGAAACCTTGGCCATCTCTGCACGAATAGGGATGATACTTTGTACCATCATGTCCTGCGAGCTCAATTAGCCTGCCGTTTTAGAAAAGATATTGGAATAACCTTACACGAAGAGACTGCGGTAATATCCACCATGTGAACGAAACCAGGGAAGAATTACCACCAGCCCAGACTGTTCCAGACGCACCCTTGTCAACCTGATGTACCACCTGGGTCGCGAACCTTTTTGTCGTTACACCACTAGCTTGGAGCCGACCGTCCGAGAGGCCGTGGATGAAATCCCGGATGTCATAGTAATTTGAAGTCTCAGGGATTTCATGCTGCGGTGCGTTAGCGAAAGAATTGGTCTTGACACCGAGAGTCACGAGGGTCATCACTCGAACTCCAAGCGGTTGCAGCTCGAGACGCCAGGTCTCGCTGGCCATGGCGAGGGCACCCTTGGAGGCGTTGTACATACCTAATCCCAGTGTGAGTCAGTATGTCCAGAATGGGAACTGGGATCTCACTCATGAATGGCATGGGTACTTGAGAATTGGCGGACGTATTGTTCACGATGCAACCCTTAGCCTTGACCAGAAGAGGAGCAAAAGCTTGGACCATGGCTACCGGCGCCCAGAAGTTGAGGTCGAACAACGCCTTGCCCTCTTTGATCGAAGTGTCCAGCGCTGGTGCAAGGATGCCTGCACCACTGTTGTTGACAAGAATATCGAGTTTGCCCGCGGTTTCTTTGCTCACGGACTCAACCGCAGATGCAATGGACTCCGAGGACAAGACATCAAGCGTTAGGATTTTGACGTTTTTTGATTGCGATAAGATTTGAGACGCCTTTGATGGGGTTCGTAGGCCCGCAAAGACGAAATACCCTTTCTCGAGGAATGCTTCCGCCAGCCCTCCGCCAATGCCACCTGCTGAACAACCCGTTATCAAGACTGTTTTCCGTGGTGCAGCCATGTTTCTCGGAAGTGCTTTGCTCTAGATATGTGGATGAGATCTGAAGGAGACATCTTGCACACCACAAGCGACATCTTATAGAAATCAATACTCGCAGGACCTATTTCAAGGAGAGACACTGCGAACCTGTAAGAGGCTGAACCCTTGTCCCCACTATTCCCGAAGTGGTAAACAAAGGGTGTCTTGGCAGTCGGAATCAATTAGCCCGATCAATCTTTCGATGAAGGCTACGTACCTGCTCGTAGACACAAGACGTCAACTCGTCTGGTGGGCCTTATGGGCCACCAAACTGGACTTTTCGGCCTTAAGTTCTTTGACCCGATACCTCAACCGAGTCTAGAAAACAATCTTCAGTAGCCAAGCTTGAGGATGACAGTAGCGGATCAGTCTAGTGAGCCTTTTCGCTCGTCAACCAGGATGCTTTTTATCGTGTCCTCGAATGGCGAAAAGGTCGACCAAACAACAAGGAAGCTAATCAGAAGCCATGTGATGCAAGGGAAGAAACAGAAAAAGATTCGGGCCAAAATGGGCCAGCGGACAAGCGGCTCCGCCATCAGCAGGAAGCACCACCAGGAGACGCCCATCAAGCTGGTGGATGTTATCACAGCGGGTGTGCCACTACTACCCGGCCGAATTGGCTTGGACTTGCCCTATGCCGAGTTTCGAGACTCGGTAGAACCGAGAGTGCTTATGAATATGATGAAATGTGGGTAGTTCATGTATTCGATGTTGGATTTAGCTGACTTGATCGGGCCCTAGTCTCTGAAATCGCAATGAGTGTCATCTTTCCCTTATTGGTAGGGATTGGTTTCCACGCTGATACCTCAGAGTCACTCTACCCAATGGTTTTGGACTCCGCTGCACTCCATATAACAGCCTTTGCTGTGGAAGGATTCATCGACAAGATCCTGCGAGGAAAAGTAAATGAGCCCAACCCGCCAGCGATGCTTCATTTACAGAAGGGGCTGAAGCTCCTCCGTGAGAGACTCTTGAGCGAGGACGATACCACCAAGATCTCGGACTCTACTATCAGTATCGTCCTGAAATTGGCCAGTATCGCACTTTTCGATAGGGACCAGCAGGCATCCAAAACCCATATGGATGGCCTTCACAAAATAGTGAGTATAAGGGGAGGGATGGATGCCATTGAAGATCCCAGGCTTTTGAGAGAGATGGCAAGGTAAATAAAGACAGGGATCCATGAGCTGTCGCTATTTATTTACAGTTCACAGAATTGACCTGAGCATCGCACTGCTTAATGCGGCGGACCCATTGTTTTTCCGTCAGCCATCGGAACCCATGCCCAAATATCCAGAAAAGCTGCTCCCAGATTCCGGCGACAACCTGGGTTTCCAAGACAATATTAGGCTGATTGGGTCCATGGATAACGAGCTATCAACGGCTTGGAGAGTCATGAGGAGATTCTGCTTACTGGTAAACCTTGGGACGCAAACTCAGGGCCTAATTGACCCAGAAATCATCCGTGAAACGATGGCTGCGGTGATATATCGCCTCCTACAAATGGAATTCACTACCGGTTCACTCGACGAAGTTGTTAGGCTTGGTCTATTGACCTTTTCTCATCATGTGTTTCTGCAGTGGCACGACATCAAGACGCCATACTATGACCTTGCTGCCGCTTATCGGAACCACCTTCTGGATTCTAATGTAATTGATAGAGTGTCCCCGCAGTTGATGGTTTGGCTCTTGATGACTGCAGCAAATTCGCTGTTTGATATCTCAGATGAAATGTGGCTGGAAGAGTCCTTGCGAGAACAAGTCGGCGTGTGTGAAGTGAAGACGTGGAAAGGACTACAGGATGTATTGAAGTCCTTCATGTGGATGCCATTGCTCGATGAACACCGGGGCAAGCAGGCTTATGATTTTATTTTTTTGGATGAGAGGGAGTCTTGAGGATTTGCAGTGGGCTATTCATCAATGAGAAGCTTGAGGGTGTCGCTCTGTTTGAGACACTGACTTGGTAGGACGAGGCTTAGGAGCAGGATTCGAGTTTGTCCGTCACTTTAATAAAATGACAGTCAAATGACAGTCAAATGGCAATAACTGCAGGGCAGAGGATATCTGACAGACGTCATGCTACTAGCTGCTTTTACTAGAAGCTTACCATGGCGCTAGATACTAGAGGCATAGCGCTACATAGGTTATTTTATACTAGTATTTACCAGTAAAGTACTTTAATATGGATATCTTCGTGCATCACATGACTACACTTAAACAAGACTACAAGTGACAAATCGCTGCCATTTTAGAACAAATAACGGACTATTTGACGCTAAAATAAACATCAGACATGTCACGTCCTGTCTGTCACAAATCCTACTGACGAGGCCTAGAATCACGTGACTACGCGGTGCCAAGATCTGGCTGTGGTTCGTGTCAACAAAGCCCGTGAGCCCTGACGATTCATCCATCTTGACTTCAATCCGCCACCCCCCCTGCGATGGATTAAAGCAGCCGCCGCAAATCTCGACTTGCTCTTACGAAGCCTAGGCTGAGCTTCCAAAGGTACGTATTTTCCGTCACACTCCTCCAGGTAAGATCTTCCTTCTGACAGTGTCCTCACTGTGGCTAATGGAGAAGCCTAGTTCTTTTGCTTTGCGCAGCCTGGCGAGATGTCGTCCACTGTAACGTCGCTTTCCACCAACACTGATCGCCAGATCTTGCCGCAGACGCCCAGCGCGAGGGACTCCAAGAAAGCAACTGACCTTGTTGGTCCTACAGCGCCCAACCCTTCCCCAGGCAGGTTTAGGCATCCTAAGACATCGGAGATCATCGCAAGACAAGCCGCTACGAAGCTCACACCCAAGCGCAGTTGGAATGCACTGCTCAATCTAACGGCTCTACTTTTATCCTTCTGGCTCAGTTACATTGTCCGCGTAAGGTATTTATTGAATGATCCGCTCGAGGTATACCTTGACTCACAATCAATGCTAGCGATGTCGTGCTCCTCTACTTGTTCGACAGCTCGATTGCCTCCTGGTATCACCCTTATATGGGAATTGTACTCGTCCTGCTGCGTCTCAACTTTTGCGCCAGAATCATTCGTTCCCTCCGCCCAGCGATTCCGTATATCTCAAAACAAGACGACATCTCGGACATTCCATTGACACCTTCACAACGGGCGTTGCTGGGCCTCAATCCCTCTATTCAATCAACACCAGCATCAGTGGCTTCTGATGTCCATTATATCACCCCTCCCAAGTACCGACGTTCATCAGGCTCGTTTTCTGGTACATCTAATGGCGGTCTAACCACCGATCGCCGGAGTGTGTCCGCAACCTATTCAGACTCACCTTTCTCTGCATCTCGACACACGCTCGGTTTCTCGCAAACTCCACATTCAACTCGGCGCGCGTCTGGGTCGCCATTTTCACCATCTCCGACTGCAAGTCCATTGTTTCATAAAGCTGTCAATCAGTCATCTCAGAAAGCTCCAGATATTGACTTCAGCGCCAGCACACAGTCCTTTGGGCTCAGTACAGGAACCGGTCTCGGCAGATCCCAAAGCCTACGTGAGAGTTCGAGGAGAGATAGTCTAGACCCGGGCTCACCGACACCAGGAACTAGGAGTCCTCAGCTGGTACCTGGTGTAAATTATAAGTGGCTATATGAGAAAGGTAGAAAGCTACCGAAAAGCGAGTCTTTTGGATCATTCGGTTTATGAAGCCTTCTTAACGTTGCATCCCATGCCTTTGGAGCATGTTTGGCGTTCAAAGGTTGAATGATTGAGTTTTCGCAGAGCGAGGAGTTGGAGTGTGGGTTGTGGACTCGATTTTTGCATCAGGCCAGCGTTTCAACCACAACGTGTGGAGCATTGAGCCTGAGTGCTCCGCACAAGTCGTCTACTAGCTACAATGTATGATATCAGCATCAACATGGCATAAGCCTGTAAGAAAACACTCATTGACCAGAGCATTCGCCCGTTGTCAACCGCGGACCACTGGCATCACTAAATGTGTTGCTTATCTCACCCAGGGCTGTACCACAATGTGCAATGTGACATGTGAAATGCATTTGGAGCCAGTTGCTCAAAGGGATATGAGTACCTTTGCCAGCCAGCAGCCAGACTTGCTGCCAGCTGCTTTGGCCACCAGCCCATCTGCACCATGCATCAAACAGTATGCTAAGTACAGCGCCGTCTGGGCTATGGACCCTTTCTCCTCCCAGCTTGGAGAGTGTCCGATGATGCGAGAGTCAACACCCGAATAATGGGACCGCTGCCCTATGGAATATGCAGATGTATATTAATGGGTGTCATGGATGCTGTTGTTCGCCACGAATAATTCCCACATTTCCGGTGGCAGAGAACGGCAAGGCTGGCGAAGGGTGTGCCAAGCTTTTAGAGCCATGGCAGAGGTTCTAGACCTGTTGCTCAACCATTTCTTTACGACCGTTGGAGGGAATCCTCCTGCAATCGGTAGTTGGAATCAGCGCGTGGCCTGCAAGGCAACTGGGGTGGAGGTTCGTTTTCTAGCCTTATGATACGAGTACTGGTTGCTCGAAGGATCATTCGAAGCATTCTCCTTTTTGGAGCTAGCCAATAGTAATCGCAAAGACTGATGCAAAGCCGCTTCGCGCCGAAGGGCTTGCAGGTGGTGTGAGGGAAGCTTCTTCTTGTCGGGACGGGAACTTTCGTGCGTATCGATGCCCTCTTTGCTAGACGGCCTTCAGACAGGCTGGAGCCAATCTGTAACAGACAGGTACAAGTGTTATGGGAAATAGTGACCGGCATAATTCTCGACAACCATGGAATGGCGTCCTGGGCCTTGCACCTGCGTCGTTATGAAGGCATATAGATATAGGTGCTCGGCGAGAGAATTGCATAGGGCTAGTAGCTTTTTCCATAATGCCACCGCAGATGGCTCTGTGCTTCCTTCAGCAGTAGTTGATCCGTCTCAGACGCTTTCTGCTGTGTCCTCAAACGGTCGCCATTGCTTTCTCCTTCACCAATCGAAGTCCCAAGTGCGAGGATGAGCTTCGTACATGGTTATGTAAAGAGATGGTCTTGGTGGAACACAATCGATGGCGAGAAGACAGGTGACTTTGTTTAGCCGCCTTCGGACTGTAGCATCTGCATTTCACTGCGTCAAGCAGTAAGAAGACATCCATTTTCTTACGGTTACTAAAGGCAGAGGCAAGATTTTTTTGGCACTCAAGGCTTTGGAAGCGCGCTATAGACTCCTCTGCCCGCAGAGTCAGAGTCTCGCCACTTGCATGAGATAGTTACCATATCTATTATATGATTCCGACACCTGGTATTGAGGGGGCTTATCCCAGCTGGGATGAGCAGTTGTCCTCCGTCCGACGAAACCTGGTATACATTACGCGAAGCTTAGTCAGCCCATGTGATAGTAGTCAGGGATTTCCCATAAGAGATTTTGCGATGCAAAGATATAGATTGCGATAGCCGGCAAAAGTCTCCGTGCTGTCCATGGAATTGTTCTCGTGGAGCAGGAGACCTTTGATTCAAGCCCCGCCCCTGGCCTTACCCCAGCCTGCCCCGGAATGCTCAGCAGAAGTCCGGATGTCTCAGGGGATCAGATCTTATTCAAAGCCCGATTAACCTCCGCCAAAAGGCTACGTATTCCGTACAGTTCCTATTAGTTAAGTCGGCGCCCGGCCCTCTGGCCCCAGTCTAGAGTTTAACTTGGCAGTCAAGCCAACCCGCGGGGTAGTTAAAGAGGGACTTGATCGGGATGCCGCTCGGGAACCACATCAGATCACCTAGCTGCTTTGGATAATCTAGCTCTTTGCACTCCATTCTCACGAGGTTCTCATGACGGCATTCATGGTTTTCTTCAGAGGGCGAATTTGGAGCGAAGAGGCCGCGCTGACCAATGTCTCCGCAATCAGTCACGTATGTCTTTGGCACCAGGGGTCATCGAGCGTGCTTTAATTGCAGGTGCGTGAGGTCCAAAGGCTCTGATGAGCAATCGGTCTCATCTACGAATATTAACCGCTTCCAGGCGCAAGAAAGTCAGATGCTATGGAGAAAAGCCGGTTTGCCGGTTCTGCGCTCGTCTAGGCCAGCAGTGTCGATATCCAGATTCAGACTCTTCAGCTTCTGTGTCAGTGGCGCTCGATCGCGCCGAAGTAGGGAGAGAACAAGAATATGTACGCCATACGGCTCCTATAACTCTTTCTTTTGTACTGACAGTTTGTCGCATAGGAATTCTTACTTGCTAGGCTAGCGGTCCTTGAGGAGCGTCTTTCACTAGCGACAATGCAAACCGAATCGTGAGGGTTCTCCCATACTTACTCAAAATCAGGTCCCTACTCACCGAAGTCCAGTTCGCCGCCCGTTGGGGCGATCGAATCTGACTATCTCGGCCGGACGTCATCTGTAGAAAACAATCCGCAGGCCTATGATCCAGCAGAATCCCAGCTTGCTCCATCAGCGTTGTAGGTGCTCAGGATAATTGTTGTTTGGGGCGGTGCGCTTACCAATGTCAAGCATTCCTTCTCTATCAGCCCTTCCAGATCCAGAAACCATGATCAACAATTACTTTCAATTTTTCCATGATCAACCTTACTCATTCTTCAACGAAGACCACCTTCGGCAGCAGTTCCGTGCTGGGCTACTTCCCACCGCAGTTCAATATGCATTATTCGCCATCGCGTTTCGATTCTCGATACAATCCAACATTCATGCCAATCCTGGGCAAGCACAACACTATGCTGACATGGCATGGAGCGCTGCTATGGCACAATGCTTTGGCAACGAGGAAGGTCCAGACTATCGCATGGTCCAGGCTCTTACTCTCCTAGCCATATATGATTTCACAGGTAAACGGCTAACCTTAACCTCACTCCCAAGTTCTAACAAATTTCAGAGTGCAAACATCGGGGCGCTTGGATCAAAATTGGACTTTCTGCAACCATCGCCCAAGCGCTGCATATGATGGCTGATCCAGATCCTACGTTGCCACTGGTTGTCCAAGAAGAACGCCGAAGAACTTTCTGGTCGATTTACCTATTGGATAAAATGGGGACCTGTGGACGAGTGAGGCCTCCTATATTCCAGGATCACACATGCCTGCTTCGGTTGCCTGGTGAGGAATCTCCCTCCAGTCCCGGAAATCTTAGGCACGCTCCAACCCTGCAAGCTTTCTTCAGTACTCCGGATTGCGATCTGGGCGAACTTGAGCCATTCGCCAAAACAACGATTCTTGTTTCCACTGTCAGCCAAATAGCCACTTATGCCTTCCAGCTAGGGAGTGGTCTTGATGCAAAACCGCCTTGGGACCACGCCTCTGAGTATGCTATCCTCGCGTCCAAGTTACACGGCTTCGGTGCATACTTTGAAACCTGGAAACCTATTTCAAACACAATACTCACCACTCTTGGAAGAGATCTCGATCTTAACCGCTCTGCTTCAGAGCCTTTTTTGTTTTCATATGTAGTCTTTCATCTCTGCCAATGTCTTCTTCAGCATCCGTTTCTCCTAAGGCGTCACATACGAGGTTCGAGTCCGAGGTTTTCGAGCTTCTTCAACACCGCCACAAAATCGGGCTATGAACATGCTCAAGAATTGACCCATACCTTGGCCTTTGCTAGGCAGTCTGGGTACAAAGCTGCTGCATCCTTCTATGGCTACTCTTCTCTCGTTGCAGCATCAATCAATGCCCTCTACCAATATTCCGATGATGAAACAACTCGTCAGCAGGCTCGCTCGGCCTTGAGCGCGAACGTTGTGTTCCTGGAGCAGCATTCCCTGTACTGGCCAAATGCAGCAAAAATGGTGAGAACATATGATATATCCAGCTTCGGTTGGAAAAGCTGACTTCTTCACTAGGTTGTAACTTTGGATAAGTTTATGCTCAAGGTCACAGACTATAAGTCCCTGATCGATATAACTTGCGAAGTTGTGCATCTGAGCGAATCGGACATCGATTATTTGTACTCTGTCGTTGATTATGGCTCACTGTCGACTAACGCAGCTACCGATCGGCTCTACCAGAATAGGGACAACGCACCTGCAATCACGCCATTCAATCAAGTGGGATCTATCCACCACGGTACAAACATGGTCAGAGCCGACATTTTCAATAATTTCAATGGCGCGCCAACGCCCACCCCAGGCATGCCAGCCTATGTTCCAGACCTCGGTGGCAACTTAGAGTTCAATTTCTCAAGTAATCATCCCCAACAGGAGCCAGACTTTTACGCCCAGTTCTTTAACGACCTGACCCTGCCGACTCAAGGTGCGACCATCGATCCGTAACTACCCTTATATTCTAGCTGCGAAGCAAGGCAGGGGGTTTTCTCACAGCAATTCAACTTTTCGCTCGCCACTCAAGCGCAGGATCAGCACGCCCATCTTCGGTCTGAAACGTGGTACACGATGGCAAAGGATTGGCAGCCGAGGGCCGCGCGAATCTTGAGACACGTTTGCGTAACAATTTCGCCTCTTAAGCAGTTGTGCCTCCCCTTCCTATTGCGATGCAGTAGCAAACTGTGATGACCATAGATTGGTTGACAAAAGGCCGACATAGGAGAGTGCGGCTTGATAAGCCCAGAGCAAACGACGGCGCCAACAAACTCAGGCGCAGGTCAAGGAATTTTGATGTCGCGGCACACCGAATGAGACTCCTAAGCCGTGACCAGGGGTGCGGATTCCGTGAATTTAGCATTGATCTAGTATCCCTGGCGAGAGCACGCAGCACTGAGAACGACGAGGAAGAGCCCGATCGCATACATCGATTTTCATCTGCCTGGCGGATCTGGGCATTCGATACCTCGTATCCATTGGGGAGCCGGCCCCTTCAGGCAAGAATTTGTGCAGCTCATTGGCCTACGGATCGCGGAGTGTTGCTCCTAGCAATTGCAATGTCAGCTTTCCAGGTATAGGACAACTTACCTTCTGCTCCAGCGCAGCCCCAATGAAGACCCTGCACACAGCACCCATAATGGTGGGAATAAGCCAGCTTCGCGTCGATTGTATACGGTGCGCGAATACCATGATGAAAGCTAGGGCAGTCTGTCGTGGCCTTTGCTGGATCCATTCTCATGGTATTTGAGGATGGGTGGGAATTATAGAGCATTACGTCTGCTTTCTTATTTCTTCAAATGTGCTCCGTATTCTGGATCCGAGAGCTCGCCCGCTCGACAAAGCATTCAATCTCCACGGAAAGATCCATCTAATGAGCCGTGACTAGCGTCCGGTCCGCCTCGACGCACGATGACCCTTTGTATCTGTCCAATGGCGGTTTGATCCGCGGTGACCCTCGCGGTGGAGCTCCGTGTTTCCATTGTTGCAGCTACCAGGTGGCTGGGAGGAAACCAAAAAGGGGGTGGATTCGAGGAGGGTGGAGAGGACTGGATATTCATGCGACGAGAGGAGATCAAGCTAGTGCCTGCAATTCTATTCTCAGGGAGAACGCGCATGGTATAATGGCTAGAAGACGCATTGAACTTTCTTCCGCATGCTCACTAGATAGTGAACAGTCAGTCGTGCTTTGCGATCTCATGTCAACTTCCCCCTGCACCCACAAGGCTGCGTTCCCTGACAGGTTTGAAGCTGGGGAAGGCTCCGTGAACTTCGTCCTTCTCTGCTCGCCCTGCGCATACGATGACCGAATACCTGCGCATTGCTTACCAACCTCTAAATTCTGGCCTCAGGACTGCTGGTATCAACAAGTCAAAGTTCAGGTCGGTGCCCAAATTGGCGTACGGAGTAGTGCAAGAAAGAATCGTTGACACGGCTTCGTCCGCTGTCCTGGGGTCAGTGGGGGCGGGGTGGGGACGGCGAGGGACGTTGACGAATAGTCCGCGTTGAAGTTACCACAAGCGATTTTCCGACGATGCCAACTGCGAGGTACATCACTACGTATAGCCATTAGGATGTAATGATCGCTGATGAAATGTAAATGACTATTCAGCCCCACGGATCTCGCGCTAGACTCAAAGAGATGAGGGATTGATCTAAAGAGTTCAAACTTCTCGCGTACTCGCTCGAGACAGCGGCCCACCAGTAGCTGTATCAGGGTGTCCTTGGATCCGAGGGCTCCGAGGACCGCTTGCTCCTGCCACGCCTGCACCGACCCGACCAACTAGCCCGCCAAGGTTCAAACCCTGAACACCTTGAACGAGCCTGCTGCCAACTGCATCGACAGCGCCCCTGGGCTGAGATAGACTAGGTCCTTCGCGTTTGCCCTCTGTTGCAACCTGGAAAAGCTTAACGTTCGTCCCGTTCCAAACACCGACAGGTCCTGCTATGCCACCAGTTCCGGTCAGTGTAGCTGTAGTGCCAGCAGCAGGGGCTATGGTCATCTCCGCTGTAAAGATCAAAGACCACAAAACCGACATATACCAGCCGAGGGACAGGGACGACCATTCGAAGAAATGCACGCGGATGGGGCTGGGGGAGGCGAGAATAGGTGATATTGAGGGATGAGTGGAAGTCGTAGGGATATAAGCACGGAAGTCGGTGATGGATGCTTCATCATTTGCGATAGACGAGCGCCGAGAGGACGCCAATGATGGGGGATTATTGCCGTTGTTGCTATGGCCGTGCATATTTGACCTTTCCGGTGCACTAGGATGGGCAGACAGCACTTTGATGATGGTCAGAAGTGTGTGGAGAGACAAATCCGGTAGCCATGTCTCTAACCACTCGGCTGTGGGTGTGAAAGCACCTCGACCTACGAAAGCCGACACTTGAGACAAACTTGTCGTGCTATTTTGGCGCGCGAAACTAGGAGCACCAGCGGGCATTTTGCCTCGTGCCTTTTCAGACATGCCTGAAAGTTGGAAGGGTACGTGTTCATCGGCAACTGATGATGATGCCATGGAAGGAGTGCGTGAGGTTTGGAGGGAGCGCGTAGATTGCGATGGGGTCGGCAGATGCTCGTTATCAGATTCATCGGAATCACCTATTGCGAACGTTTCATCGACACCAGTGTCTGATCTTGGGGAAAATAGTCCTCCACGTATTGGTGATGCAAGGTTTTCAGATGTACTCGATCTTGAAAGACCGTTGGTCACGTCCGACAGTGCACCTTCCTTTCTCAGCTGCTCGGCTCTTTCAATTTCTTCTCGGCCGCCTTCTAACGTGAATCGCCTCAAAGCTTCGATTCTTCTTCGCGCTCTCCAAATAGCGAATATAAGATTAGTGTTTGATTTATATTGGTGCTCAAGAATAGTGCTGATAGACTCTAGGAGGGCTTGTAGCAGATTGTGATTGCTTTCATTGGCTAGCAAGAAGCTGGGCGTAGACATTGATGTAAGCAATTGAACAAGTCGAGTACTCGTTGATAGTGATAAGCCCTGCGCGTAAGCGGCCATGTTATTGATGATAGCAAGGAGGGCAGGGTAGATGGCATCAAGTTTCCCCTTGCTGCCAGTGATTAAGGTGTGTATTGACGAGACGAGAAAGTCGCCATAGGAGCCCCTGAAATTCGATAATCGGATTGACTGGGGTAAGGTTTCTTGAGCCTCGAACTTCTTGTTGAGATTCTGACCAAAGGTGGGCTCGACGCTCATTGTTTGTAGAACGAAAACGCACATTCGAACGATGCCTTGCCGCGAAGAGTCTGTCTTGTACTCAATTGCATAGAACAGCATCAGAATGATGAAATCATGAGCACGGTTGGATTCGATGATGAACGCTCGGAACCGCTTGTTGCACTGCAACACCTCCCAGAAGAGCATGATCATTTCGGGAGTCCACTTGACAGATTTCTGGCTTCCGGGAAGGTATGATGTAGTAGCTTGCATTGGTTGACTCAGTACCCTGGTCATTCCGTCGGCCAGAAACTGGAAGTCTTCTGGCCGGTGTAAGCGGCCGAGGAAATGTCGATAGAAATTCTTTGGAGCGGGGCCGCTGCCTTCTTCGGGGATGGTGTAGAGTAGCAGAACGAGTAATAGTTGTAGACTATACACAACAAGAGTCTGTTTCGAGTCCTTTCGCACCACATGATCATAAGGTAGACGCCATGAGGTCACATTGGACTTGATTGTGGTGTTGACGAGTGAACATAGTACAGAGAGGACAATCTGCTTGTCGGAACAGGTCGTGATGTAGGTGATGGCTCTTACACCTTGGACAGGGAGTGTATTGGACGGCATATACATTGCCTTTCCCGCCATAGTCAAGAGCAGCCTAAGGACCTCACATCGATTGCTTTCAAGTTCCTTGTTCGTAGGGATAGATGCTTTGCAGCCAACGCCGCTCTGCCAGATCGCATAATTGACTTTGCTTTTGGCGGATGGAAGAAGAGGTATGGTGAATTCGGCAAAGAATAAAAGATCGACAAGTGTGTCAATGAGCTCCTCAGCGAGAGGCTTGGCCTCTTCGTATTCCTGCTCCTTTCCCTCCGCATCTAGGTTTTGGTCGCTTGCATTGACGTTGTCGTCAAAGAGTACTTCTCCTGCAATCTGGGCTCTTCTTGTCTTTCGACGCCGCGAGCTCCAGAAGAACCCCTCCTCCCATTCCGATATGTGGTCTGCCTCGTAGACGTAAGGCAAGAGTCGAGTGAGAACTCGGATACAATTGAGAGCATCTCTCTCGGGGGCCAGTTCGGGGTCGGGAAAAGAGGGATGGTTCTTTAGGACAATTAGACGTGATGCTACGGCGAGGATCAGCGATTCGAGATTCTCGAGCGATGCATCTCTCGTTCTGCGGATGTCCGCAGAAGAGAACAAGCTGAAGACATCTTCGACGGACTCAGGTAGCTCCCAGAACTGGATTGATCAGCCATTGCGGCCACACAAATATGCACTGTGAACAGCATTGAACTTACACCCGTCCAGTAAGGATCATTAGCAGGAATGTTCCGTTCTTCTGAAAGCCTAAAGATGCCTTGTTTAAACACCAATTTCGACTCTGAGGCACCCATCTTGTAACAAGTGCATTGCAGGCAGCGTGCCGATGAGGATCGAGAATCCGTAGGAGTATATCAAATTCCGACCGGCAAATAGTGTTGGGCGTGATTGGAGGTTGTATCACATAATGAGGGATGGTGGTACCGGCACGGATGACTGGTAAAGGGAATGCCTGGCAGTTGGGGTTCCGCAGTTGGGGAGAGACCCTGATTCCGGCTGCCCTGAGCGGGAGGAGCACGTAATCAGATGCCAAGACATCAATTCAGCCTTGCGAGCGTGTGCACGTGGCAGGGGAAACGTGTGGGAGCCCTGTGGTCCGTTCAAGCCATGTAATGCAGAGGCAATAATGTTCAAATGTTCAAAGACTACCCAAGAGAAATAATGGGTGTACAAGCTATCTGTTAAAATCTCGCTCAATCCGCGCCCGTGCAGAATTAAAACCGAATCTATTTCTCAAATATCTGACCATCGAAGACGCGGGCGCTGGTCATATCACAGACTTTCCCACTGAGTCGCTGCTTGTATCATCACGGTTTTCAGTGTCACTAGTTTTGCTCTCCTTCTTCCCTTTTCGTCGGCAGAGGAATGGGAAAAATATTCCAGGATGGACAAACGTCTGTAGAACAGTGGCGATGGCGACCATCCTGACGCAGAAGTCAGAGAGTGTAGAAGCTAGAACTCGGTTCAGAAGACTTACCAGCTATCCACCCCAATAAACAGAGGCTGATCTTGCATGATCGGGTTGCGCCATCCACCAGCCATCTCCGCAATACGATAGACACAACGGATGAGTATTGTCACATAAACAATCATAACCGCGGCGGCGAAGATCTTAAACCTTGTGTCCTTCAACACTGCAGCTGCTTTTTCCGAGAGCGGTTGAGGAGATCTGAATCGACGCGCAAAGTAGTCTGCTGCTACAATGGCGAAGAGAAGGAGCGTCAAGACCTGCCATGATATGCCAGTAATCATAAGGCGGTCGCCAACGTCTCGGAAACTAGCGTTGTCTCCTGCCGAGCCAGCTATTCCTCCGCCTGCGGCTTGAAGACTCAATGCGAGGAAGTCGACGAAGATGAAGAGCCAAGTGTAGTACTTTGGGCGTATTCTGGAGCATTCGCGGCCAAAGAGGAGGACAAGATGCTTCAAGATGAGGTACAGGGCGGCTGCGTTGAATGCAGGGGACATGGTGAGCGCACAAATCTGTATCTGGAACCCCAGCTGGTCAAAAGGGTTGTCGTGCATGAGGACGCGACCAATGTAGCCGATGCACGAAGCCACACAAGCAAAACACATGGCTAGCGCATAAGTCCATGTCCGATATCGTAGACCCAGCCAGAAATTGAAAAAGAAGCATAGCCCGAAGACCACAGAGAAGAAAGCGTTCCAGCCCAGAATAGGATAATAGCCATAGATGGACGCTTTGACAGGACAATCGGCCGAGACTTCTTCACAATCAAGCGGATTGACATGCGAAGGATCTACTGCCATGTTGGTGGGAAGGCAGTGGTCGGATGAATAAAGATGTATCTCAAATCAATGGTCTCTTAAGAGCAATGGTTTATGGCATTTGAGATAATAGGAAATCTCATAACAATTAAATGGACGGCGAAGGCAGATAGTTATAGAACAAGACAATAACTTACTGAGATTAAGGCTATTGCATATGGTGCTAGTAAGGCGAAGCAGAGCTCAGGGGCGGAGGCATCATTGGGTTATCGCATTAGGGACATGGCGCAGGCATCGATCGGATGATATTCTATACGCACAATGCGCCATCTGATAGGCTCAATAACATCGAAATGCTGCTGCCTGAGGGAGCACATATTTGACCTGCAAGCACGCAGAAATATGGTGATGCTATGATTCTTTTTACAACCTTGAAAAGCCATACGAGGAGGCTGGCGCCAAGATGCTAGGCCATATCGAGAGCCTTCTACGAACCTTGCCGCTTGCCGTTTGTCTTACGGCCGAAGGCCTCGCGATATACCTCTGAAATCTGCTACCGTGCCAATGCTCCGTATACATCTTGTCTGGACCGGTCCACTTTAAGGAATTTCACCTTGCGCAGGCCGTTTGTTGATCCACAGAGACACAGAACGTCACGACTTCGCTCACGCAGAATCTATGGTCTTCGCGAGAAATCTTCAATGCAAGCACTGTGGTGCCGGCCTCAAGCTATTCTTTGTTGCACGCACTTTACGGAGTATATAGTTCAGGGGCACGATTGCTTTGCTTGATGAAATGCCAGTGCGGAACATACTAGCTTTGCAATCGGTCGATGAAGAAGCAGGCTCCTCCTACTGTATTTCTTCATGGCTCTACTCGTAAGTCCCTACGGAGTACTACAGCTCACGGAACATGCATATGGGTCATCGGAAAAATGATAATGCGCTCCGATTATCCTGTGCCTCCGGAATATCGATGATGCGTTTCCGAATCGGTGCCTCGGGACTTGGTGTTCAAGGTTCAACGAGGCGCTGGGCTCACTGCTTCAAGCGCCTGCAGGACACAGTCGTCCCCCAGATGAAGGGGGGAGGGCAACAAGGGAATGCAATACTAATAATCACAGATACATAGACATACTCCTGATTAATGAGACCTCGGTATCCTCAACAAACACCCGCTTACTTTTCGAAATCGCAGGCGCGGCTGGCAAGGACGCTCGGTGCCGTCCCTAGCTCTGTCAGCAAGGACTACTTGTGGCTTGATTTCCACCGTGAGCCTCGGCTGAATCGATCCAACTCCTCTCATGCCTCGCACGTAAGAGGGCGAACCCTCGGATGTCGCCAGATCGAACTGTCGAGTCGTAGTATTATTATTTGGGGATCTTGTCCTCCTAGATGTCAGAGACACTACCTCTTGCTCTCAAAAATAGTATCAAGAGCACTCTCTCACGGAGTCGCGACCGCTATACCTCAGTCCTCTTTCATCAACTCATCCCCTTTCCAATCATCCCAAATCTCCAGACAATCCGTCCATCATGGGTTTCAACACGGAACTCACGCGCCAACTGGGCATTGAAGGTATGATCCCAACTCAAAGCCCATCAATACCCATTCAAAATCTAATTGTTTGCAGTACCTGTTGTTCAAGGTGGCATGCAATGGGTTGGCTATGCCGAGCTAGCGTCCGCAGTATCAAATGCTGGCGGTTTGGGAATCGTATGCGACGCGAAACTTCCCTTATAGAATGACACTGACTGTGTTCAGCTTACTGCCCTCACTCAGCCCACCCCTGAAGACCTGCGCAAGGAAATCCGAAAGACAAGAACTCTTACTAAGAAGCCATTTGGTGTCAACATCACCCTCCTTCCTACCATGAATGCTCCTCCCTATAACGAATATGCTCAAGTTTGTATCGATGAGGGTATTAAGGTTGTTGAGACGGCCGGCAACTCTCCTGGGCCTGTCATCAAACTGTTAAAATCTGTCGGGATTATCATTCTCCACAAGTGCACCACAATCCGACATGCGGCATCCGCAGTGAAGTTGGGCGTTGACTTTCTTTCGATCGATGGCTTCGAATGTGCGGGCCACGTTGGAGAGTCAGATATTACCAATTTCATTCTATTGACCAGGGCAAGACAGTCGCTGGGGGTGCCTTTCATCGCCTCTGGTGGCTTTGCCGACGGCCAGGGACTTGCAGCGGCATTGGCTTTGGGGGCCGAGGGTATCAATATGGGCACGAGATTTATGTGCACTGTCGAGGCGCCAATCCACATCAACATCAAGCAGGCAATCGTGGATGCTTCGGAACATGATACTGAGCTTGTCATGAGGCGGTGGACAAATACTTCGAGACTTTTCAAAAACAAGGTCAGTGCTGAGGCTGCCAGGATCGAAAAGACCAGCACTACCGGTAAATTTGAGGAAATTGCCCCTTATGTCTCTGGCAAGCGCGGGCGAGAGGTCTTCATCAATGGAGACAAGGACTTTGGTGTCTGGACCGCTGGCCAAGTTATTGGTCTGATCCACGACATTCCTACATGTCAAGACCTGCTCGCGAGAATCGAAAAGGAGGCCGTTGAAGCAGTGGACAGATCCCGGAAGGCTTTCCAGCCTCAGAGCAAGCTATGATCTCGGTGCCCACTCGCGCCAAACGTTAGACAATGTGAGTTAGATCAGCATTGAAGAGGCAGTGTTTTTGCATGCGTCCGGAGTTTGAAGAAAGTTAAAACAGGGAGAAAGGGCTCTAGATAAGGCTTCTACAGATACCCTTAGTCGGAATGTATACTTAACCAGATCTATTCCGCAAATACACCCTGTATACCTCGGTGGTCACGTTGGATATCATGACCTAAACTCGCCTGGAAATGTGTATCACGTGCCAGTGCGACTCTTATAAGTTGGGCATCGGACCTCGAGTAAATCCGGACCCGATATTTCATCCGACTTCGATGTGTTTCCTCCATCGTCGTAGAAGATCTTCCTTATTGAATACTTGTCGTCTGCTCATCAGACGATCAAAAATAACCATGACGGAAACCGGTCTCGCGGAGAGAATAGACACTGCAATCGCAGACTTCTTTGCATCATGGAATCTTTTGACTACTCTTCTTGTTGTGCTGTTGGCTGTTCTCCTCGCCTATCCTCTGTTGACAAGTAAAGACCCCGACACACATCCTTTTCTTCTTGCAAGACAATCACAAATAGCACCTATCCGTCAGCCTGGTGAGTCGGCTGTCTACCGTGCAATTGATATCCCGCATGGCTACCCACTTCGTGCGGGACTCGGGGTCAAGGATGCCGGAACTCCGAGATGGAGTGCTGGCAGACCTGGAGACCTTCGTGACATCTGGAGACAGGCTGTCCGAGGTGTCGTGAAAGAGGATGGTACTCCCACGGGGGAGAGAGGCCAGATGCAGACTATCTTGGGAAGGGAGAAGATCGTCGACCACAGCCTCGATGATCTCACCCTCGAGATCAACGTTATCGGACAGTATGTCAAACGCAACAATGGACAGTCTGTTGCCGTCTCGCTGTCGAACTCTCCTGAACTATTGTCCTCTGTCTTCGGTAAGTGTCCTGTTGTTATGAACATTACTCTACCCAAAATCTTACTCCCTCTTTAGCCGGTTCGTTCTATGGATTTTCCACAATTCTTCTACCATATGGGCTCACACCAGACAAATATGGCCCCCTCTTGTCTCACACTTCTGTCGACCATTTGATTGCTGAAGCTGGTTCACTCGACCTTGACGCTGTCTTGGCTGCGAACAAGGGCATAAAGAACATCATTTGGGTAACCAAAGCTGGTAGTCAGCACCTCGATTGGTCCAGCGATGCCCCTCAAGAATTTACTGTCACGTCCTGGCAGGAGCTCATTGGCAGCAACCGAAGATCGACCAACTCTGAAGTTTTACCTCTTGACAAAGACTCACAAGTGCCTCCGGTCTCTATTTTCACCCCTACACCTGGTGGAAGTTACGATCTCATTAAATACACTTCCGAGAACTTGATATCCGCCACGGCGGCCATTCTAGCCACTCTGCCACGCTCCTACAAGCTCTCGACATCCGACACGGTTCTTCCAACAACCAGTCTGACTGACAGCTACACTTTGTCCTGGGCCTTCGCCGCATTGTATTCCCACTCGACACTTGCCCTCAACTCCGTTGCGGGCGACCAAATCAGACTTGATGTTGCCATTTCAAGAGCCAAACCAACCGTGCTTATTGCCTCGCCCAAGGCAGTAGCGTCCTATCTGTCCGACCCACGCACCATCAAACCTTCTGGACTCTCGAAATTTAACGACACACGCAATCTCCAAGCGGGCAACCTCCCAACCAAGAAAGGCAGCGTCCCAAGCTTGCCAGCTCTCTCCGCCTTGCGCATTCTCCTGGTTCCCCAAGCGTTCACTACCAGCACACGCCCAAGCCCGACACTCCACTCAGCAGATCTTCACGCGCTCCGTCTCCTCCTAGGTGCACGCATAGGCTACGCGTTCACGACCCCACTCGTCGCTGGTGCTGTCGCACAGACCAACATCCTCGACTACCGAGACAAGGGGCGCGACGTGATCTGCTACGGCGCACCACTAAGCTCCGTCGAGATCAATCTCGAGGGCGATGAGGATGTTGTCGGCAGCTCTACTCCAAAAGGCAAGCTCAGTGTCAAGGGTCCCGCCGTTGTCGGGGGTGGGAAGATCACTTTGGACATCACCGTCCAGATTGATAGGGACCATACGCTGATCTTGCCGTGAGAGACCTTTTGCGCGGTCTTTAGTAGCTGATTGATCGATTCTAACGTCTGCAGCTAGGTGCTGGGAAGATAGATGACTACATTTTGCATGGAAGAAGGCTATGACGGCATGCTTGCTGCCAGGACTCAAAACTTTTCCTCATTTACGACGTAAACGCTCGCAGCCGCCTAGGTAGAGAATACCACATTGATGAGTCTTAATTGATGTGTGTGTGTGTGTGTGTGTGTGTGTGTGTGTGTGATTGATGACAGCCATGCCTAATAAGTCGCGTTTTCACAATCAGAGCATCTAGTGAGTAAGGGAGGTACAATGTTGGCAGAAATGAAGAGACCTGCATGTTCCTACAATACGGTATACATCTGAAGTTCGGCATGGCTGCTCCCCCTCGAATCCAAACCCACTCGTAACAGAGGCTTCCAGCATCTTCGGGCGGCACGAGAGCGAACAAACGAGAAGGAGCTGCTCTCCTGGTTCTCAAACCAGTCTTACAGTATATTTTATTTCTTCCCCTTTTTCGCGGGTCTTAGGCCTGCCCGCTGCTGGCCCGATGCCCGCCCAGCTCCAGTCAACTGGGCACGCTGCCTCAGGTACTGATCAACAACCTTCTGCACACTTCCAAGATCATGCTCCGGTTTGCGCATGTAGTAGATTCTCGCCCTCCTCTTCCTCTTGGGCGCCCGCTGCGCAATCTCCATGCTCTGCACGAGCGGACTGTAGATCTTGATGCTCATCTCCACCGCGATCTTGGTCAGGTGGTTGCGCAGGAGCACTGACGCTCCAGGGCCGGAGCCCTTGATCGACAGGATCACGCCGGCGAACGGCTCGCCCGATTTAAAGGTTGTGTAGAGAATGTCGCCGACTTTCGCGCGGTCGAGGTTCGTCTTGTCGAACAGGCGTGCCCGTGCACCGGTTGGGTCGAGCAAGGCGAGTTGCTGTTGCTCGATCAGGGCAACAGGGTTTTTGCATGTCTTCGCTTCTGATACAGGTGGTTTGCGCACTAGGATTTCTCGTTTATCTGCGGCAGTATTGAGTATTAGAGAGCTGATCACTAGCTGGTCAGACACGAGGAGATTGAGGGTGTTCTACGTACGATGATCTGGTCGTAACCTTGCCGGTAATTGTGACCAGTAGGCTTTGGGGAGATCGGGAGGAAGATCAACTTTTGTGACGGGACCTGTTTGCAGTTGCAGGTGGTAGGGTCTGCGAATTTGCTTTTGTGGTCGGAGCTCGTGGAACAGCGTTCTCCAGCAGCATGGGGACACTCGGGTCGTCAGTGACTGTGACATCTTAGGGCCTAGGTCACCGGGGCTCTCAGGTACGGCGAAGGAGCGAGCAATGTTGTAGAAATCAGATGGAACGCATCGTCCTGGAATTAATCTGTGAAGTTCGAGTCGGGGATTGAAGGCCGCTTTTACACGAACTCTATCAGGGGACGGTTCCACGCCGCTTTATCTTTATTGACTGCAAATGCTTCTTATCCAAAGTACGTGACGTTCGATCTCTTAAATTTCAATAGTCAGTGGAATGCCAATATATTAAGCAGAGGAAACATTGCGATCAAACGCGCGATCCAGACGCCCGTCGTTTACACTCACCATTCGATTTGTGATCGCATTTCCCCTTCTGCTGTGAGCTTGACTCCTAACGTAATGAGACAATTATGATGACCGTCCGAAAGAACCATCAAAATACTTATACTTCTTGCGTTATCCAAGGCTCGTGTACTCCTCACCAGATATACTTTCTACAGGCGGGATGTAGCTGTGATATCGACGACAGAGATCTAGAACCTTCGTATTCACCATAATTCCCATGCCTATCTCCGTTCTGTCGGCAATATCTTGAAACGGAGAGGAGAGGAGCGCCTATCATAGCTTTATCCTTTCCTTCTGACAAGAAATTCCCGGACCTTCATGCTCTCTTTCAGAGAAAGAGACGGCTCCACATCATCAAACACTCCAGGGCAGACTCGGAGGGAAGGAGACTCATTTCAGTATTTGGCGTACAGAGAGTCACTGGCTCACAGGACCAGCTTCCGGATGGAACAGGCATGAGTATCCCAACTTCCCGAGTCGGCAAACCGCCCACCAGTCTATTGATGGCTCAAATCATTATTCCATCCTATGGTTACGGGAATTTAGCGCAATGGGACTTGCATATCGTAACGTTGATCAGGAATTAATTCCGGGCTCAACTCCACCCAGCGGCCTTGGGTATGAGATTCCTGCCAAGGCTAATCAACTAGCCGGCTATTTTGAAAAGAGAGCATATCCTCTTCACCAAGCACGCTATCGGATATGATTTACCATTTTATCTCCAGTACATACATCACCGAGCAACGTCGATCATGAGAGTACTGTGTCGGCCTAGGGACCTAGAAATATTTTCCATGGAAGTTCCTCAGGTAGGGATTCTGGTAAAGAGATTTAGCTTAGTGCGTGCCACTCCCGCACCGTTAATCATGCGGAGCCCGTATGTTCCGCACCACATGACAGTTCCAGTGAAGAGTCTACTACATTGAAAATCCGATAAAAGAACATCGCAGCAAAATAAGAGATCTGACGTATTACCGACAAGGATTGCCGGCATATTCTTTATTCATTTTCGAAGATAAGCGTTCAGGTTACCTTATCTTCACACTTCCTATTCGCGACGCAGACATAGATCAGAATTAGCGGTAAAGCTAGTTGATCTTCAGCCTTCGTTCTCGATGGTCAATGTCCTGATAATGGGTATATTTCCCCTCTGATTCCACGGGTCGGTGACAGCTTGTAAGTACTTCTTCCCTCTTGTTTCTTCGCCAGTAATAGACATGTTTCACCTAGTTTCTTGGGAAGCGTGTCTCGGCCTCAGCTTGTCTCTATGGCAAGCGGCCGAAGCGGTCAGCAGCTCGAACAATGCCATGATCATTACAGTTAATAATGCGCCTTTCTATGTCGGTTCAGAGACGCAAGGATCCATACCGTCTTGCCTCATTCCAGCATCTGTGAGCGCTGGCAGTCAGATCGTACCAATCACGATAGTTGACACACGCGAGTCCGTGTTCTCCGACGCAAGTCTGGCCGATCTCGCTTCATTCAATCTGGCAAGCGACGACGTCTTCAACGAAGGGTTTTTGCAGGGTATGTCATTGCTCGGTACAACCGTTGGTCTTGAGAGATGCTCACAGGGGTTGGCGGACAGTTGTTTACGTACGCGCATCCTCGGCCGCAGATTTGACCATCTCAACCAAGACAAACAGCACAACTTCCGTTGTGCAGCTGGCGAATCATACTTCCTCTGTTCTGGCAGGACCGTACTTTCTATCGACTTCCACAGGGGCATTGCATATTCCTTATCTACTTTACTCGGATGAACAGCAAGCATTCTCGCAAGGCGTTATCCCTACATCAGATGGCTCTTTCACGGCACTCCCAGTTGCACTGCCAGGCTCCTCCACAATCACAATTGCGGTTCCTTCCCGCCTTTACTACTCTCCATCTGCAAAGTCTCCTCTGGCTGGTGTCCGTATCGGTATCAAGGACCTCTATGATATCAAGGGTCTCAAGACCGGTGCCGGAAGCCGGGCTTACTATGACCTCTACCCAGAGGCAAATGTTACTGCTCCGGCGGTGCAACGACTCATTGATGCCGGCGCCGTAGTCGTTGGCAAGATGAAGACGACACAATTCGCGGCCCCGGAGAATGCGAGGGATGCTATCGACTACAAGACTCCATTTAACCCACGTGGTGACGGCTACCAGGAAGCTGGGTCTTCTTCCTCCGGTCCCGGTGCTGGAGTTGCTTCCTACAGGTGGCTAGACATAGCTCTTGGATCGGACACTGGTGGCTCCATACGTGTACCGGCAGAAGACAATGGGCTCTTCGGCAATCGTCCGTCACACGGGCACGTGGCGCTAACAAATGTTGTGCCATTGTCCCCAGCAATGGATACCGCCGGGTTCCTGGTTCGGGATCCGCAGCTGTGGTCCACCGCCGCGAAAGTACTGTACACCAACCTGACGACGAGCTACACCGGTTATCCAAAGAGCATTATCACCTACGGCTTGCCTTCAGCAAATGCGTCCGATTTGACTGCCGGCGATAAAGTGGTTGTCGAGTTCGTGCAGAAGTTGGCGAGCTTCCTCTCTGCTAATGTTTCAGCCAACAACTACACCACCCAGTGGGTAGAAACGCACCCAGAAAACACGCCTGCTGATGTGCAAGAATTTGTCGGCACAACCTGGGCAGTGCTTTGCGCCTTGGAACAGACCAAAATCATCCGAGACCCCTTTTTCCAGAAATATTCTGCCAAGTACGATGGGCGAATCCCCTTCGTTAACCCTTCAACCAACGGCACATGGGCATATGCAGACACGCTTTCACCAGGGATGCTCGATGTGGCTATCTCAAACCAAACCGTCTTTACAAACTGGTTCAACAGCGAGGTACTGCCAACGAATGCGGAGTCGTGTTCACAGAGCCTGTTCCTGTACGTGTTCACCCCAGCTGCGCCACTTTACCGCAACTTAGCGGGACCTCATTTCGACGGTGCGCTGATGGGACTAAACACCGGATTTATATCCCCGTTGGTCGGCAATCCAGACTTCGCGCTACCGTTGGGTCAAGTGTCGTACAACAGTACCATCACGCTGCACGAGGAATTCTTTCCAGTGTCAATCAGGATGATGGCAGCCCCGCGATGTGACTTGATGTTGATGGATTTGATTAATGACTTGACGGACACGGGAATTCTGCCTAATGTGATGGTCGGAAATAGTCTCGAAACGGGCGGTAAAATCTATCTCTAAATAACTCACTGTGCTCATTCCGTTGATCATCACCTCCGATTATCTTTGGTGTCAGTGGCTAAGACCAAAAGGTAACTGATATGTGACAAAGAAATGTCCCACTTATTAGTGTGTCGCATGCATTGATAGCTAATGCACTTCCAACAAATCCCTTAAGACGGTCGAGCATTGGTAATTTTGATAGTCGATGTACCAGAAGCCACGTATTATTGTTCGAACCGTGAATCTTGCCTGGCAATTCAGGTAGCTCCTCGAGAGAGGGGCCACAGGAGGGGAGACGTGATACATGAAGTACGCAGCGAAGATACCTGCAGTACGTGTGAGAAGGCGCGGACTCGAACTCGACTTGAAACTTCTGTCCAGGAAGATATACACATCGTGGGTTTTGTTGCTTCGGCTGTTTATAATCACTTTTGACAAGAGCTGTGGCCATGTCACCTGTTAAAATTCTGCTCTAAATGCAGGCTCGTGGTGACACTGATGCTTCTAAGTTCTAACCACTCAGGCAACTACTGATACACGCTTCAACATTCCTTGAACCGTAGCAACCCATTGATGGCTATGGCCAACGGCCAACCGGCGAATATCATAGATTAGCATGAGGTATCATCAATTACTTCTCAGGCAACAGGATGTCTCGTGTCAACCTACTTAATATCAGCCGGCAGACGCTGTCTCTCCCCACACATATGGGCGCGTTACTCCGCCAGATCTATGGTTTTCAAGGATCCGCTTGGTCTTAAAAGGTTTCTGTGGATGGTGTACCATAAACCGAATGAGAATACACAGAATATGCAAGTCTTTTCCAAATGTAGGTTTAGAGACACTCTAGGATGGTTAAGATTGTAGAGAATCTACCAAATTGTAACGATCAATTAGCGTCATTAACATGGTGCGACCAGCCAGAAGGCACATAGAAAGATGAATTGTCAGAGTCTATCTCGACAGTTGCTTTTCATAGGCTATTGTCTCACGAATAACTATCTTGTCTTCGAGCTTGCTGAAAAGCCTGTCTGGTGACCTGGCCAGAAAATCCCAACAGAGTTTCGCGCGGCCCTTCTGCAAGGCTGCATGCAATTCTCTTCTGCGAGTCCAGATATTCCAGAAAGTGGCATCCGTCAACCCAGAAAGTGAACATAGGCTCAAGTAGTGGTTGGATCCAATATTACGCCATTATGCGTTTGGGGCTTATCAGCTAGCTTTCTCGATGTTGCTGGCAACAGAACCCTATTCCCCTGGGGCGTGAACAGCTCGTACATGTCTCTTGACGCTTTCTCCTCCTAAGCAAAACACACCAGCTTTGCATCATATTCACGTGCCAATGATGCGAAGGATTTTGAGTGCGACGTCGCGCATCCGGCAAACCCCAATATTTATTCCTGTCCTGCTTAGTATATGGGGTACATGATTCGCTTCCCGCAAAAAGACTTAGTAAGTCCAGATGGCGAACAGAGAAGTAGGAGTAATTGGAGCCCGCCGATCTCCCTGTTGCCCGCACACACGTTCAGCCCTTGTCTGGACAGTGGCTACGACGTACATAGCTCACCCGGATGGAGCACTTCGGTTCGGAAACTGGTCACTTTCGGTTTGTTTTGTCCCTCATCACCCTTACGGGGAGACAAAGTCCCCAGGATCAACATGAAAGGTTTGTGGGGAATTGATGAGGCTTAGGTAAAGATGCTCCGTGCAGTTTCTCGGATGAGGGTCTTGCAGGCAGGACGGGATGGAGGTATTGCGTAATAGCATTCGTGTTGAGCTTATTGGAGTGTGGTTGATGGACATATATATACACATATATATCGTCCGTCGCCTATTCAGAGCTTCTAGCCTCCTAAGTGGCATTTCCCAAGACTGAGAATTAACAAAATTGGATACTCTTATATGGCTTAAAAGATCCCAAAGAATGAAGATGGCACCAGCACAAGACTCTGGGAGCTCTCTTGTCCTCTCACAGATTCAGCATGCTATCTCAGGATACCCGTTCCAGCTGATCTTTGTACTTATTCTTTTCCGACTTGTGTGGAATAAATTCCAACGACATCTGGTGGGCATCCCTGGACCTGCTGTGGCGGCTTACACCAAATTTTGGCGACTGTACGATGTATGGAAAGGAGAGGCCCACCTGACTGCCATCTCGATCCATCGAAAATATGGGCCTGTTGTTCGAATTGCTCCCAACCATGTCTCGATCGCTGATCCCAGCTTCATCCCAGTGATTTACAATATCAAGGAGAACTATACCAAGTCGGCTTTCTACCCCATTCAATGCATCTCGTGGAAGAAGCGTCCGGAAATGAACCTGTTCTCTACTAGAGATCCAAATTACCATAGGACGGAGAAGAGGAAGGTTGGCGCTGCATATAGTCTGCCCAATCTTCTGGAGTCTGAGGCAGCCATTGATTCGTGTATTGATCTCTTCATGAGTCAACTTGACGGATACGAGAGGGATCAAAAGCCGGTCGATCTGGGTGCTTGGCTCCAATACTTTGCTTTCGACGTAGTTGGAGAGGTCACGTTCTCTAGCAAACTTGGATTTCTGGAGCAGGGCAAAGACGTTGACGGGATGATGAAAGCCATAGAGGGAATGCTGACCTACGCAGCCTTGTGTGGCCAAGTTCCCGAATACCACAAATTTCTCCTTGGGAACCCCCTCTTCTCAATGCTGATGCCGGCGATGGAGACGTGGAATCAAGTCCTCATGTTCACGTTGAAAGCAATCAATGGTCGAGCCTCCATCAAGCGGGACGGAGAATTGATCAATGCAGATTCCGAAGGGCGTGATATGCTTTCACGATGGGCTTATGTCAAGTCTTCAGACCCGCTCAAGATGAGTACTCGAGACATTATTGTCCATCTCTCGACAAATGTCTTTGCTGGTGAGACGAACTTGAAGTAGAGATAGGAACTTAAGCTGACAGACCCGAAAGGAAGTGACACAACAGCCATAGCCCTCCGTGCCGTCATATACTACCTTTGCCGCAACACTCAGTGCATGAAAACTGTGGTGGATGAGATCGATCAGGCTGCCGAACAAGGAAAACTCAGCTCGCCTATCACCTACAAAGAGTCAACAACGTTCCTACCATACTTCAACGCTGTCTTGAAGGAAGCAATGCGAATTCATCCATCGGTAGGCCTGCTCATGGAGCGGCATGTGCCAGCTGAAGGTGTCGAAATCGCTGGTCATTTTATTCCGGGCGGCACCATTGTGGGCATCAATCCATGGGTGACGAATCGAGACGAAACCATTTTCCATGATCCAGACGAGTTCAAACCAGAGAGATGGCTGAACGCTTCGGAATCTCAATTGAAACAGATGGACAACATCTTGGAACTGAACTTTGGAGGTGGAAGCAGAAAGTGTATTGGTAGGAACATCAGCATGATTGAGATGCAGAAAGTCATTCCGCAGCTTCTACGATTGTACAGCGTGGAGTTGACGTATCCCGAGCGAGAATGGCAGATCTGTAATCACTGGTTTGTCCAGCAAGATGGATTGATTTGTACATTGAGGAAACGAAGTCACATGTGAGGCAATCGGGGATAAAATGATAGCCTTGGTTTGCCTGTTCAGACTCCAAACTTGACATCCGCGGCCTCGTAGAATTCTCTGCGTGGGAATTTACAACGATAAGCTATGTGAATGGAAACGAGCAAGCACTTTCCAAATCCCTCCGCTAAGGCCAGAAAGCGGCGAGATTTTGATCCCTCTTTAGTGACTATAGAGCCTGCTGAGCAGTTGTCGGATTTTTGATTCGCCGGTTTCCGGCGGCCTCCTCGCTGCCAATCGCAGGAGTTTTTGCTACCGAAGTCATTTCCTCGAAGTCATTTCCTCGATTACCAGCGTGTTAATACTTCGTTCACTGACTGTTGGCCACGGCCCACACCCTGCTTGAGAGAAGATCATGGCCCAGCTAGGGCAGTCACTTCGCTACGTGTGTAGAGGCTGCCGCACACAACGGCATGAATCTGCAAAGAGTGCCTCTTCACGCTTCTTCAGCAGCACTCCTCAACGATTAAAGAGTATGCACATCGCCATAGATCTCTTCTGGCCAGGACAAGACGCTGACGTGTCTATAGCGATTCCGAATTTCGTGCCCACAGCAAGCCCTGAGTTTGATGAATTACTGGCCGACCTCCGACAACGAGTCTTTCTTCCAGCCGCGCTCTCACCACAACATCAGAAACTCATCTTTCGACGCCGCCACGATGAACTGCTCAATAAGGATCCCGGCATCACCGTTGCCATGGATGATGGTGAGGAGATTAGGCTTCGACCTACAAAATCCTACGATAAGCCAGCTCTCAGGGATTATACGAAGCAACTTTTGTCACTCCTAGAAGCCTCGAGTTCGACATGGTCGAATCTGTCCCCGTTCCTCCAGGGGCTGGTCTTGACGAAACAAAATACTCCTGAGTATTTCTGGGAAAGATTGACACGAAAAGCTGGTGAGATGGGTAAAGAAGGCGTCTTGTTGGACTGCGCCAGATCAGCAGAGAAGACAAATTTCAGACTTTGCAGGCCACGAGTGGCACGGGAGTTTTTCATAGCCTTCCATAAACAGGCGGCGGCGGGCGAGTTCAAGGGTGCGAAACTGGAAACAGCATGGAAACGCGCACAGACTGCTGCTCTCATGCTCGAATCTGAGGAGCATTTACACCTCAAGTCTCTACACGATGTCGGGGCCCAACCAGGTGATAGGAAGCCTCGGCCGCAACCTCAGGTCGATGCCCGATCTGATCCACTTGTTCTTGCAACTCTACTTGAGCTGTGTGCACATACAGCGGTCAAGGACGGAACCGACGACCTCCGCAGACAAGTTACCAGCTTCGCCGGAAAGCTAGCCTATGTTATCCAGGACACGCCAGTGGAAGGGCCCAAGGAGCCCAAAGTGGAGAGTGAGTTACAAAGACTAGCATCGATGTCAAATGAGCTCGAGACGGAATTGATTATGCAGGGCGCGATTGAGACAGCCCTAACTGTCGGCTCGATTGCGGATACTGATGAAGACGTTCTGAAAGGCCATCTCGAAGTCCTTACCAAGAAGATTGAGGAGAAGGAGAAGACTTTGCGGGCAGCAGCGGTTGCTAGTGGACGCTCCAGGCGCTCATTAGAAATGTACGACCAGTTACATCCGTCGCAATAGATGGTGGGCTGAACTGAGGGAGGCGAAAGAGCCCTCACTGGGTCATGAACAGCCCAATCCCCGGGGATTCTCATCTGAATCTGTATCACTATCAAAATAAAACTGTTATGTATATACCACTACATGTGTATCTATTGCTAGATTGTGACTGGTTTTAGTAATTTCGGGACATATGATGGGATGCTGTGATGCAACCCGTTCTCGGCGGTGGGAGCCACTCTGGTCAATCAGCACGACTAGGTTACAATTTACCGCCATTGAACTCCAACCTCACTATCCTTTGTCCGTATACAAGTGAAACTCCCGGTCCTCTCCAGTTACTATGACCACCTCCTGATACCCTACCTCATGCGCCCTCGCGCTCCCTTGTCTTAGCCCTCAGCATAAGATGGCGAATCAACAACCCGGGGACCCCTTCCTTGAAGTGCAATCGTACGTTCCATCCCCTCTTCCCTTCCCTTCCCATCCCATCCATTCGTTTCTCAAGCGCCTCAAGCACTGTGACTGACACACAACCTTGTAATCCTACAGCGATGTCCTCTCGACTCTCACCTCTACCCGCCACCTCTTCTCCAGCTACCTACGGATCCGAACACTCTCGACATCGAGCACAAGTCCCGAACTCCAACAATCACGCGCGGATCTGAAATCCAACCTCGAAGCCGTAACGACCGACCTCGGCGACCTCCTAGACTCCGTCTCCGCCGTTGAATCCGACCCTTACCGATTTGGACTTGACGTGGCAGAAGTGCAACGGCGCAGGCAGTTCGTCAAGGATGTGGGCGACGAGGTCGAAGGCATGAGGCGAGAGCTAGAGGGCGTCACGCACGATGCAAACGTTGCGGCCTCTACAACTAACGCCTCCGCTGGTAGCGGCGGCAAACTACGACGTCCGTCTTCTTTCGAGGACGATCGCCGCTACGACGACGATCCGTACGGCGAGTTCGAGACCCAGCAGCAACAGACCATGATGGCGGAGCAGGATGAGCAGCTCGACGGCGTCTTCCAATCGGTCGGTGTGCTACGCGGGCAGGCCGTGGACATGGGCCGCGAGCTGGAAGAGCAAGGCCAGATGCTTGCCGAGGTGGACACGCTCGCCGACCGCGTTGGGGGAAAGTTGAACGTGGGTGTGAAGAAGGTTGGAGATGTCATAAGGAGGAACGAGGATAGTGTCAGCAGTTGCTGCATCGCTGTGCTGATTGTGGTATTGATCATTCTATTGATTTTGGTCATTGTTATATGAGGAACCCGAGGCTCCATCATCCCGACCGCCTGCCCTAAAGCGCTAATCCGTACCCCTACGCCCTTTATCGAGAGGAATATAACCCGGGTTTACAAGAGCGAGAGATAAAAAGGAAATCATCCAAACAATTGGCGCACCGAGTCATGTCTTACGCTGTTTTTTCCGCGGACGCTCTTCTTCCGCAGGAACCAGCTCTGGGGCTTCGTCGGCGTCATCCGACACCCCATCATCTTCGTCAATATCGAAAGCACTCGCCTCGAATGAAGCCTCATCTTGCGCGGACACTGTTCTCGGAGTCAGTCACAACGAAAATCTCAGCTCAAGGACACGATCCAGGGCTTACTGAAATAATCCATAGCATCCGTCCACAAGTCTTCAGCAAGGGTGATGGCAACCTCTTCGCCCGCTGGGAAGATCTCCACCTCCAGCATCTGATCGATCTCGTCTTCGTCGTCTTCGTCTTCTTCGTCGGGGCTGCTTGTCCCATTCGCAGTGGATAGCTTGGCTTCTCGCTCAGCATTGGTGTTGACTGCGCCTCGGAAACCAAACCAGTTGAAAAAGCTCGGTTCTTGTTCGGACTCCTCATCGAGTTTGATCATCTTCTCCCGCAGCTTCTCGTGTTGCCAAAGAGCCTCTCGGTCAACGATATCAATCTTCGAGTCACCGTTTTTCAACTTCAGAGCCTCCTCGGCCGAGTAGAGCTCGACCGCGGCGTCTAGCAGACCATGGGTAACGTCCTTCTTCTTGCTCTTGAACTTTATGGGCACGGGCTTGGATATCAGATTGCCGGGTCCGTCTGCACGAGGCTTATATTCAAACTCTTTGACCAACTTAGTATCCTCGATGATGTCGTTCGGTGCGAACTCGAAAGTGAAGCGCAGACTGCGGGGCTCGCCTTTCAACTCCTGTTCGATCTGGTATCGGTCGACGGAGAAGGAAGTGATGGACGAGATCAGGGCGAGGTCTGGAGGCGAGAAGAACTGCTGGACCTCTTCGGGGGCATTTCCGAAGACAGTAGACCAGAAATTGGGCACTCTGTCAAGCAGGGCTTTGCGCTTCGAGTACAAAGACTTCAATGCAAACTCCTTGCGTCGAACTATTCAATAAAATCCGGTCAGCGCAGTCTCGCAATGCAATACACCGACCATAACCGATATGCCGTGAAACTTACGAGCATCGAGCTCGACGTTTGCGAAGTCCCTCTCTAGGTCCCCAAGGTCCTCGAAAATTGTCGCAACATCTTCACCTGTATCCACCATTTTTATCTAGACTAATTCGCCTATGCGCAGTGATATGTGATGAGGAAAATTAGAGAAAGTTTTAAAAATGCGAATGCGCAGGGTCAAGTTCTTTTTCAATGTTGCAACGTCAAAAAATTGGAAAAAAGCTTGGAGCACCCTTCCTCTAACAAAAGTTTAAGATTTTAAGCATCAATTGCCGCCCTTGCGGCTGTGCGGGGAAGCCGCCTGGACGGGGACCCGGGAGCCTGTGGAGCCCATATTTTTCCGTTCCGAGAGGCTGTTCTAAGGGCAGGAGCGACCACTATTTTATAGTTACCTCGTGTCCCACATAGAGTATTCGACCAGATATTTGAGGGCTATGTTGATGGGGGTTTGAATTTCTGGTCGATTTAATAGCATTCTAGTACGAGTAAACACGGCTCTGACTGAGAGAAGGATAAAGTAGCTGACTGGTATTAATTGTGATCAGTAACCCTCTCAAGGCTCATGGCTGGGCTTTACACCACGGCGCACCACTGTCAACATTCTTCTACATGGCAGTCTTCCTCGCCTTCAGAGGCACTCTGTTATTAGATAAATTCAACTAAGAGGCGAGACTCTCTACTAGTGACGAAGAGTTGCCCATAATCCAGCAAGCACTCTACGAAGGAGATCGAAGCAAGTAGGAAGCAAGAGAACAAAACTCATCGAGGGTTTACAATTTGTCACCACTACTGTGTTGTTGTTTTGACAGCTGCAGGTGCTTCACCCCGGGGCGATCACGCCACAGGCGCTCGCTATCTCTTGTTGCCCGCTTGGAAAAATGCTCGAAGTAGGCCTGCTGCTGCTACTGAGCACTCCTGTTCGCTGCCCCTGACGAGTTCATGCGGGTAGTGACAGATCTTGCAAGAAGAAAAAGCAAAGAAGCATGCAAACTTGCATGTCGCATATGTGCGAGGTACTTGGGTACATATTACGGCCCTGGACGAAATTTACGGCCTAGACACGCTTTGAGTTCGGATGTATGCGTTCTGTTCTTCCACCCGCTTCGGTCGCCTTTTGATCCAGGACTGCCTTCCTTGTATGAATGGGGACAAATTCAGTGCGGAGTGGCATTCAACCAGCGAGGCCCTCGAATTGTATGCTGTGCAATACTCGGTACTCCGTCTGGCTTTTTCGTGTGATGAGAATCTCTTGGAGTGTCTGTTATGACGATAGTTTCGGCTCAGTTTGGGCTACCTCGTTTACTCGACAGATACCTGGGAGGAACGCCGAAACGAAAGATGAGTACGAGGAGTCTAGGAGGTAGTGACACCAAGGGCCCTTATTGGACTTCACTTTTCATGCGACAGTGTAGGTGCCAGACTAAGCAATTGATCCCTGGTTGAAAGCCGCCAGGCAGGCCATGAGCCATCCAACAGTCGAACCGATGTTGTCAGGGAATCCCTCTCCTATTTGTTTTCGAGACTGGGCTTCTTAACAAGCCGAGTTCTTGCGCAACCGATGGCACACCAGCTTTAGACTTGCCATCATCCTGTTTTCTATGTCGCCCAAGTAAGAAAGCGAGAAGCCCTTTGTCTACAGCCTCGCCAGGGCTTAGGAAAGCATCGACTAAGAAAAAAGGACGGAGGCAATCATGCAACAAGCTCAAGCTACCACCGCGGAGGGCCTTCCCGGCCAAGGCTTGAACCAACCTACAGGGAGCTTGACTATTTGAGAGGATGCTTGCCCCCGTTTAGCGTGCCGGCGCCGATGCAGGTGGCGTCGTTGCAGACGCAGGCTGCTGATCTTGTCAAGCCAATTGCTGGATGTCATTGGCAGTTGTGTATCATGACACTTGTATGGCCACCACCTTCGGCATTGATGGTACATAAACAGGCCCCCGCAGACAAGAAAGGGGCCTAAACTGGGATGGTTCAAGTCCTCTACCATCGATGCTGCTGCGCACACCATCACCTTGCTTGTCTGGACCTGAATTGAGACCTGGCAATATGCCAACGAATGCCTGTCACAATTGGTTAAGCGTAATCGTGACAGGGTGAATTGTCTTCTGGCCTGCCTTTCTGAGGTAAGTGAGTAATGCCCTTTGTCTCGCTTCAATCCATGTGTATCAACCACCCTTTGCATCATCCGCCCATAAGAACCTCGCAAGCCCACTGAGTCGCTTGTCAACTTCCTTCCGATGCAGGTCTTCTCCTCCTTGTCTAGTTTGTGTTATAGCTCTTCTTTGCAATTCTTCGCCGTCTTTCCAGTATGACTCTCTACAACTCAGATGCAGCTGCTTTGGAAGCTGCAGGGAAGAAGGAGGTATTGAAGGTAAGTCTGTTGAATGTCCTTTGCCCGGAAATCTGGCTGACCAATAATTCTTAGAGAGAATGGAACTTTTGGGCCCTGCTTGGGATGTCGGCATGCACGCTCTGCACCTGGGAAGCAACGAGTGCCTTGTTCGCAGGTGCTTTCCTCAATGGAGGTCCAGCTTCAGTGGTTTATGGTTTCATCGTCTCGGTGCTGGGGACTCTTTGCATCGCCGGCTCATTGGCGGAGATGGCTTCAATGTAAGACTGCAAGCAAAAGACTCTCTGATCCATTGGCTGACCAGATTTTTAGCTCGCCTATTGCCGGCGCACAATATCACTGGAGCGCTGAGCATTCTCCCATAAGATGGCGAGCGTTGATCTCCTATATACAGGGCTGGGTGACCGTTACCGGATGGGTCGCAGCTGTGGCATCGGTATGCTTCCTGATCGCCACCATGATCCAAGGTGTGGCAGTTCTCAACTATTCTTCCTACACACCAGAGAGGTGGCATGCCAGCCTTATGATGATCGCTGCGGCATTTCTTGGAGCTCTCGGAAACACTGTCGGCAAGAAGTTTCTTCCTCTGTGGGAGACCTTGGGCGGCAGTCTCCACGTTTTGTTCTTCTTCATTGTCACGATCGGGATCTTGGCTACTGGGGACAAGACAAACAATCACGACGTCTGGGGCACTTTCATCAATGCTGGTGGGTGGTCGAGCGACGGAGTCAGCTTCTGCCTCGGCTTTCTCACTCCTGCTTTCGCTTTGGCTGGAGTAGACGCCGTTGTGCACATGTCCGAAGAAGCACATAATGCTCCGCTCAACGTCCCTCGTGCAATGATCTGGTCGGTCATCATCAATGGCTTGGCCGGATTTGCCTATATTCTTACCATCCTTTACAGCGTAAGTGCAACTTCAAGTCTGAGAAGCCGTCGATATACCAGAGAAGAACCTACACTTGCCACCCGACTTTTCCCCCAATACATGTTTCGTTTTTGGGTTTGTTTGCTGACAATATGCATCAACAGATCACCGATGTCGACGCAGTATTCGAAACTCCAACGGGATTTCCAATTATTGCTGTTTTCCTTCAAGCCACAGGCAACCAGAGAGCGGCAACTGCAATGATGACTGCAGTTATCCTTGTTTTCTCGATGAATCTCTTCGGATGCATGGCCTCAGTCTCAAGGTTAATCTGGGCCTTCTCTCGCGATCACGGCTTGCCTTTCTCAGGGTTTTTCTCCAAGATATCTTCCCAGAGCAGATGCCCGACGAACGCCGTTGTGTCATTGACAGTCGCAGTTTCGCTCCTCTCACTTATCAATATCGGCTCAACTACAGCCTTTAATGCCCTCATCTCACTTACAACGCTGGGGTTCTATTTCTCCTACGCAATTCCCACCATCTTATTTGCCATGCGCCGCTTCGACCACCGAAATCCTATTCATTTTGGCCCTTGGACATTGGGCAAGATCGGCCTTCCAGTCAACATCGTGGCCGTGGCTTTCTGTATCTTCCTCATCATATTCTTGCCCTTCCCACCCATGCTTCCAGTCACCGGATTGAACATGAATTATGCCTCACCTGTTTTTGTTGCCGTCATGGCGTTTGCTGTCATCAATTACTACGTTCGTGCCCGTAAGCGATTTACAGGACCGATCAAGGAGGTGGCCAGCGAAACCAGCAGTGAGCAAGACTTGGAGCACGAATCCATCACCCCCGAGAAACACTTACCGTCATTATGAAGGAAACGAGTGGGAATGGTGGTGGTTTTGCAAGTCATAAACCTCATGTTCGGTCTTTTCGGGCTGCAAAGATATGTTCGGATTTTCCTCCTTCGTTTGTGCTTCAGAAGGACAAAAGTTGGCGACCGCAGATTACCGCTATATATATTTTCTCGCAACTAGACCAAAAATGCTGAGGAGAAGCATGGTCTCTATTATGATTGTTGCTTCACCTACCTACCGATGTACTCATCCTCATCTTGCTAGTGCTTTGAAATGACAAGTGAGTTCTAGTTCATGGTGTCGCCAAGATTTAAGTCTCCCCAGTGCTCCTGCCTCATGCAACAAAGTGGTCGCGAAGTTGAAGTGCTCAAATGGATTATGGCCGGACTGGAATAGTTTCGATGTCGACGTTTCGCAAACTACGGGTATGTTGGAAAACCACGTATACCTCATGCCATTCTCAATCTAGGGTAAAGTTTACGCCTGAGTTCCCTACGTTTCCCCGAACGCCGCGACGTTGCAATATGCTCGGTGGTGCACATGCATGCACTCGACTTATTCCTGGAAAATGGGTAAGTAGGCATGTAGGAATGGTTCGAGCAAGGATTTATAGAATTGTCGATCAATTGCTCATCAAAGCCCGTAATCAAAACACAACGGTCTGAAGGTTTTCCAAGATCGGATCTCTCGGCACACATGGCGAGCTAGCATGTTTCCTTTTGGGTTGACCGGGATATCAAGATGGGAGTTCCGATTGTTGATCTTTGGCGATCAATGGGGCCTTGAACACCGTGACCCATCAACGTCCCGTAAGGTTTTGCAGGTTCAAAGAGTGGTGTGGGGTTGTGTGTATCAACCCACTATTGAGAAAACTCTGTATAGATCATGTTTCGTAGGAGCGTAAAAGGTCATTGATGCTGAGATTGATGTTTCACGGGATTCCCACAAAAGAGCAATGATGGAATTTGTATCTGATCTGATGAATGCTTCTTTCCCTCGGTGGTAAGAGTTCAGAATACGTTGCGCGTGAACGATATTAATCATTTCTCAACATAGAAAGGTCAATTTAATCCATAAGCCTAGCACTTGGAATGTTGTAGATCCTTATCCCACTCATCGTAATGCGACGACGTCATCGCATCTTCCCAATGAAGTATATGTTGGGCTCGGCAAAACAATAAGCACGACAGAATCCAATCCAAATAATAAGTCAACTAGGGCATTCCAAGCTTCTGGGTATGACAGCTGGGCGTAGGATGCAGCCTTGAGCTTTAGACGTGCCAATATTGATCCTGTCAAACAACGGCCACGCGCCGCCGTTTGGCGTCGGTTTACCCGCTGATGTGGTCCACATGGGAAATGAACAACTTCTATGTACTCCGTATTTGTTCTTACTATGTCTTTTGAGCTTTTGAACTAGAGACAAAGCCGGAAGGTAAGTGTGATTCCACTCCCTAGCATCCGTGGTGGTGGAATGATCTTCCTCGTTCGAAGAGCGGCAGTCAAAATTTGTGCTTGGTACTTACTCCGTACTCGATGCTTGCCTGCATGCAGGTACCCGGAATACTCGATGTTATTATGTGATTGTGTGGGTTGGTAATAGCCGAAACAGAGGCGGAGGACATCTCCATGCGTGGCTGTTGCTGGCGTTCTCCGTTTCTCGAATGAGCACGGAGTAGATCCGCCCCTTCTGGTAATTTCCAGCCCCAGCGCCCCCAAGACTGATCCGTACAGGCAAGATTTCGTTTCAAGGTGTGCGCGAAAAATAAGCGATAAAAGGAAAATGCTTTTCCCTGTCGAAATTCCAACGAGGAATGATTTCCTAATCTTAAAGGATTTTCTTACAAGGGGGTGTACAATCGCCTTCTCTCTAAGGAATGCAATTGGTAGCCACACGTGGCCTAAGAGGAGCTGGAGAGCGATAGGTCATCCATTCACGACGATTAGCTGTTCTGATTTGAATCTTAAACGACAATGAATGTGCGGAGTATGGAGTATTTACTCGGTAATGGTGAGTTAGGCTTCACATAATGGCTTTGTGGTGTTCTATGGCTGGCATCCGTCCACCAGCCATTGATGATCAGGGGTCCTACCATTCTGGTCTTACTCGTAGGCCCGAGTCCCCAGCTTGAGTAAATGAGAGATCCACGGCGGCAGGGATAGAGTTCGCCAGGCCCTGTTGATGGTTGTTTACCCCTGACATCGTGACGCCTTCCCGAAGATGGCCTAGTAGAAAGCTTGTGTCAACCGCGACCCAGATTTCTCTCGTCTTCCATCCAGTCTTATCCTTCTCCTGAGCACGCCACCAACAAGCGCACAGCCTGGTCCGGAGATTTGACCTTGGGAGCCTTCCCTTTCCACGCCAAAACACCAACTTCACAAGGATGTGTCACCATTGACTGATCCACCTTGCCAACTAGGAGCTGGTTTACCGAAGAACAACCCCTCCAGATTCTGAAGCTACGGCCATTGCAGACAAGTTGCTCCCTTTCATTCGTACTGATTTCCACATGCGGTATAACTCGAGGGGGAGTGCTATTCTTGAGACTGCTTCAACCTAGAGCAGCTGCAACCCGGGAGTATCAGGTTGTCCCTCTGGTCCAATGAGATAACTCACCTACGCATTCCCGGCCGTTAGACTAATCCATCATCTCCCTCATGCGTCACCCTACCGACGACAAACCGGTGAGTACGAGGTAGTCCCCATATCCTCGGTGGAGGAGCACATTGTGACCCGGCGCATGGCGAATAGTGGAGCAAGATCTAGCTTCTCAGAGCAAATGTGGTGCTACTCCATATGGCCAGGTCTGCGTATGACCTCCTTGTATCTTGTGCTTCATGTACCCTCTCTTTTCCTCCTCCTTTCTGCCTCTACACTTTCATTAACCACGGTCCTTACTTTTGCGCCTGCGAGCTTTTGCTTGCGTCCAGTCATTTTTTACTCGGACTCTTTGAGTCCAGACACTCATTTCCTATTTGCTGTGATATACCAATCGCTTTTTTCCTTTCAACAACCATATCCATTCCTTTTGAAAACACGTGACATTTTGACAATATGCATACAACATTCACTGCCAGCGTGCTGGCTACCGCTGCTTTGATTTCTACAACTTTCGCATCGCCGATCCTAGAAACAAGGACACTCGCAAAACGAGGATTTACACAACCAAAACTCGTTACATACTGGGTGAGACGAAATAAGGATTCCACACATAGTGCGTTCAAGGCGCTAACAGCTTGTGTAGGGCAATGGATTTGATCAAATGAGACTGGGCGATTTCTGTGCGAACACAACCTTGGATGTGATCCCTATCGGCTTTGTCAACTCCTTCCCTGATGAGGCAGGCAACAACGGATACCCAGGTACCAACTACGCAAACGCCTGCGGCGGCGAATGGACTGCTCCCGATGGAACCCAGACAAAGATGTTTACTTCATGCTGGCAGATCGAAGAGGACATTCCCAAATGTCAAGCGCTGGGAAAGAAGATCTTGGCGTCGCTTGGTGGCCACTCACCCAACAATAAAATTACATCTAAGGATTCGGCCATTAACTTTGCTCAATTCCTCTGGGCCTCGTATGGTCCTCTAGTCGACCCAACTTTGGTCGAGTACCCCCGGCCATTTGGCAAGAGTGTTGTTGTTGATGGCTTCGATTTGGATATTGAGAATGGTGGCGGTTTTGGCTACGCCGACCTTGTCAACGAATTGAGAAGACTTGCTGGTCCTCAGCCACTCATTATTTCTGCAGCTCCCCAGTGTTTTATCAACGACCCTCAATTGAGCGACGCGATCCAAAACTCTGTGATTGACTATGTGTAAGTGACGATTGATCGCGCAGCGTTCGGAACAATTTAGCTAACATGGATTTCAGCTGGGTTCAGTACTACAACAGCGACCCGTGCTCTGCTGCGTCGCTTTTCAGCACAGGAACCTTGAACAAGAATACCGATGTCTCCTTCGGATGGGTTGATTGGCTTAAGACAAACTCCAAAAACAAGAATATCCAGCTTTTCTTGGGTCTGCCTGCCTCTCCTGCTGCCGCCAACCCGGGATTCTATATTGACCTAGAAAAGACAACAGCATTGCTTGAGGAGTTCTCTTGCAATCCTATGTACCAGGGAGTCTTCGGTGGTGTCATGCTTTGGGAGGCCACCGAATCTGCCAGAAATACTCAGGCCAATGGTCTTCCGTTCGCTGATAACGTCAAGGCAGCATTCAACAAACTGTCCTGTATCCCAGTTGTCACTACTACTACCACCACCACCACCACCACCACCACCACCACCACCACCACCACTTCCTCTACTACTACTACTACTACAACCACAACGACAACCACTGCTCCTGCTGCAACCACAACGACAACTACAACTTATGATCACCCTCACCCAACCACCACCACCACCACCACCACCACCAGCGAGGCTGCACCGACCACTACGACCTCTACCACAAGCGAGGCTGGCCCAACAACCACGACCACTACTTGGACCACTGAGGGTCCTCATGGTCCTCACCCAACCACAACCAGTGAGGCTGTACCGACAACAGGCACCACCACTACTTGGACCACCTCTGAGGGTCCTCATGGGCCCCGCCCAACCACGACTTCTGAGGCACCAGTGACTACCACCACAACCTCCGAGTTCTCCCATGGCCCTCATCCAACCACCACAAGCGAGACTGTCCCAACGACCACCACAACCTCTGAGTTTTCTCACGGACCTCACCCAACTACCAGCTCCTCTGCACCTACCACGACTACCACCACAACAACCAGCCGCCCCCACGGACCTGTTGGCGAAACCTCAAGCACCACGACCACTCATGGCATTGGACCAGCCACAACTTCTTCTGGTACTGGAAACCCCTGGGAAGACTGGACTTCCTCGTCCTCTGCTCCCGTTGCCCCTACTTCCACGACAGCAAGACACTGGACCGCCACAAGCAAGCCTGTTGATCCCGCTCAGACAAGCAGCACCAGCTCGATCGATGAGCCATGGTTAGACTGGACCAGCAGCACTACAGTGGCACCAGTCACGACCACCAACAAGCCTCATCGTCCCACGGTGACCACCACGATCTGGACCACCCACTACACCGACTGGGACCACACCACCTTCGTGACTCGCACATGGACCGCCACGACGACCCTCACGGTCTACCCCGGCACCACCGCTGCACCATGGGTCTGGCCCACTGACGCAAACGGATGCCCACACGGCTTCACCACCACAATTGTGACTGTCGAGAACCCACCCGTCACCTCCACTATCACTCTGACCATCCCCATCCCAACTCAACCCGCCGCTCCTTACACTGCCGGCCCCAGTACTGGTGTGGCCCCAACTGCACCGGGCGCTCCTCACGTTTTCGCACCTAGCTCAACAGCCGTGGCCCCTGTCGTGACGAACCCACCAAGCCCGGCCTCAACTTCCGCTACTGGAGTGAAACCCGCAAACGTCGCCACCTTCACCGGTGCTGCCGCCCAAGCCCAGCTTCCCGGCACCTTGATGAGCGTCGCTGCGTGTTTTGCTGTTGCTATTGCTGGACTGCTTTTCTAGACTCTTGAGCTAGATTAGTCCATCGCAGTGCAATGCGTATAAGGAAGGGGAAAGGTGAGGTGATAGATAACCCGGTAGTTGTGGATTGGTGACAGGAGAAGACGAGCATAGCAAGGAGATGGCAAGCGCGATAAAGAGGAGGAGGCTCCAAATGCACAAGAAGGAATAGAGAAGGAATCTTTCTGGGTTCAAGCACTCAGCGCATGGCCCTGTGGAACTAACCAGGGCCGCCAGAAAAAGCAAAATCCTAGAAATCTCACAGGGGGAAGATGGAGGTTGTGTGCCTGGCTTGTGTGTGGTGTTTTTATCTGTGTGCGTGTTGCATATGCATAGCGGTATACGGCCTGTCCACACGACTCGATTTCCATATGTGGCTGGAAAGTATATGTGTGTTCTCATGTTTTTCTTTGTTTTACATCTTTGTTACCATTATCATCAACCATCTGAACAAACATCACTACTTTCTGTCCCCGAACATGAACCTGCCCTACAGTCTACTTTTCTCTCAGGGATGTTGTGTGTTGGCGAGGTAGGTAGGATTCGTACTTGCGTTAGTCACATACAATACCTCTTTTTTCGTCATTGAGAACACACACACACACACGCACAAACATATACAAGCACACATATGACCATTTTCATGGGAGCACTGCAATGACTGCACGTCTACATTCATGCCTTGCTGTTCATCTTCAAACCACGCCTTAGATCGAGCAAGGATAGTTGGCTGCGAAACCTGCAACGCCCCGTCAGTAAAATATATCACTTCTGAAAGGAAGACTCTAACACCGGACCTTCCTCGCAAGGGCGAGAGAAGAAGAAAACTAATCGCCTACGCTAAACAATGCTTTGATCGAAGTTTTAAATCTCAAGTTCAGGATTGTGGTATGTATGATTGATTAGTTTTGTCTTGGAAGTCAAGTGGGAAGCTTCGAGACTAGGCCGAGGCTTGACGGGGGAAGACAAACATGAAAATTACTGCTTCTGCCTACTATACTATACCTAAGTAAAACGTAAGTAAAGGCAATCAGGTCGGATATGAAGGCAGGTTCTGTCACTGCTGATAACCATATGGGTTACTACGCGGTTGTTCACTGAGATTTTACGCTTCGTGCATGTAAAGTTTTGTGCAAACATGAAGACGCAGGTGTAGACGGCGGTGTTCCGTTTCTACTCGATCGAGGACATCTTCCAGGCTTCCCTGGTCGGCCCGAACCAGTATTCCAGCATAGATCAGATTCAATAGATGAGGTAGGAATGTAGTTTGATTCAGATTGGAGTTGTTTGCAAACTAGCCTTACAATCTCGGCTCAACGTGTCCTGAAGTTCCTAAATAGGAGGGATGGAGGGCCTTCACTGAACAAGTGAAGGCATCGATATGCCCAACTGCAACGGAGGATGGGTTCATCTCTCGACGATCGCAGACATTAGAGTGATGTGCACAATTGGCGTCGCCTGGATAGAAGCAGAATTATTGTAGAATAGGTGGACCTGGTCCACCATTGCCTAAGCTTAACTTATCATGGTTAAGACGTACTCGAAGCATGTGGACAAATCGGATAAAATTTGATACTTCCGCGTAAGATACGTAACTATCATTACGCCATTCATTCAGTCATTAAAAGAACCAGCCTGTCCACTCACGATCGGCAGCACCACCTCATCCGGTAAGCGTACTAATTAATTCTACCAACCGGTAGATACATTTTTAAAATCACGTGTAGTATTTTACCAGATCGTACCGAGGACAATAGTGTCCAAATCTATGGTTCCTTCCACGAGCTAAGAGCGGCAAGTATCTTAGCGGGGCTAAACCCCACCTTTCATCATGAAGTGAACCACAAAGAAGTAGTCACTTTGACTTCTCTTCCCTAATGACTCAACACATACAGCTTTAATCGATAGTTTGAATATACCTCGGCGTTTTTAAGTCGTAATAAAATGCCACTACCTAGGCAAAGACCGACCTATTTTCTTCCGCCAAATTTTCTCAACCCACCAGGGCCTGCTAGCCCAATCAGGCTGGGACAGTTGATATCTAACCCATCAGCTCCCACCACTCCCATCACTCGGTCAGGACCTCTAGATCCTAAGGATTTTGATCTTGAAGTCCATTCCATGCCGATGAAGACATTTCGGCATGAGAACCAGTCACAATCATTATCTGAAGGCGGCGTCTTCATTCGTGCCGTCCAAGGGATCGTCGCGAAGCTGAACCTGAATATAAGTCGTGAAGCATATCAGAACGCTCTGGAACAAATTGACCATCTGGTCGCTGAGTTCATTGAACTCAGTGAGGAGGATGAGTATGTGGAGAAGAGCTTAGCTCAGAAGCATATTCAGGATTTCATCACAAAGGGGCTCTTTAAGAAGCGTGTCTTTATGGTGACAGGTATTAAGATTGCTTATCCTGGAGAAGGAGACTCTATTTCCGCTGAGAAGGGCTCGAAGAAGACTGCAGAAGGGGGGGGGGACATGTCAGCTGTTGGTACCGGATCTCCGCTCGAGGGAGGTGGGAATTTCAAAACTTCCGCATCGACTAAGCGATCGCTGTCTTTCATACCCGATCATCCCTTTATATACGCTTATAGATTGCGAGAATGCTTTTACGGTGGCCGTAGCAAGGAAACTACGAAGGGAGCGTTACTAAGCCGGGACACTGTCTCAGGCCATGAGCCAGAGGCCTTAGAGTTCGATTTTCAAGGTGTCGGATCCGAAGATGTTACATTGGAAGATATGGGCCCAGATGGGACTGCGTATATACTGCTGCAAGCAGCTGATGATCTTGATGGCACTCAGTGTGACCTTGTCGTTCCAAAATGTACATAGTGGTCTTATAATATGCAAAATCCCATGAAGAATGTCTCAAAGGCTATCTAAAATGCCCGATATAGCAGAACAGATCCTGACGTGTCTTTGATCAGTATTCTCGTCAAATAACTTTGCAGGGGTTATGCAATGAAAACCTTCGTTCACGATCGTCATTGCTTGGAGAACCTTTCTCATCTGATCGGAATGATTGAGCCTCTTTTGATCAGCAACCGTTTCAGTTTTCTTCGCCGTCGGTTGCCTAACATACTCGAGAATGAGTGCGGCCACGCCAGCAGCTATTGGTGAGGCAATTGATGATCCACTTTGGACAGAAGTCGCACCCACACCGTCACTAGAGGGCCACGCAGCAGCCACAGCTTCGCCAAGTATGCTGAGAGTTCGATCAGCCATCGCCGGGGGATTGAACTTTGAGGGCTTATTAGATGCATCTGTAGAATTTATGCATATAACCTGTCGCAGAGATGCAGGGAAAAGGATCGGATTCCGCGGGTTTGCCCCCGAGTTTCCGCCCGCAGCAAATATAATGACACCTCGGTGGAATGCATTCCTTATGGCAGCCTTGATCTCTACCACTTCCTCGGAGTATCCCCATGAGATGGAAATGATGTCGACCTTCCAGCCTAAAGCTGCATAATCAATTGCCTTTCCAGGAAAACAAATCAGTCGCCACACAAGATTGACAATATGGAAACTTACCTTAGCAATCAATCCCTTGCTATCACTCAGCTCTTTTGGAACACCTGTGCGAAATACCTTTGCAACAAATATCTCAGCTTTGGGGGCCACTCTGAAGAATGAATGTGCAACGTGAGTGCCGTGTCCGTGCTCGTCTTTATCTGCTGGTTGGTCTAGTATCCAGCTCTTACATCGAATTTGACCGTTTTCTCGGAATTCCTTCAGAAGCGGGTGAGACCCGTCGATTCCAGTATCTATTATGGCAACTCTAACTCGATTACGCCCATCCTTGTAGCGCTCGTGAGCAACACGATGGACATCTGTCGTTAGACGCTCGAACCATTTTTCCGCCTCACGGCTACCTTTATCGTCAGTAGAGTTGACTAAATCGGGACAATGCAAAACTCGCCTATCAGTGGCCAGCTCAGCCGTGACTTTAGTAGTACTAAAGATCGATGAAATATTATCCGGTCCTGTCACGATATTCTCCTCTTTTGCAGCGGCATAGGAGACCATTCTCTCGATTTCTGAACTCACGAGGCGAAAATTCACATCATCTCCTCCAGAATATTTACACATCTCAATATGTGTCGCATGTAGATAGAGACGGCGTTCATTTGGGAGTCCCAAAAACGCCGATTCCTGTGTAACTATTAAGTCACTCATATGTTTAAGCCGAATTGATTCGCAAAAGCTTGTAATCTCAATTTTTTGGCAGTATGCCAGGAACGATTCCCGCAGCATCGAAGCTTCCTCGGAATCTTTCATCATAATCTTGAGCAAGCCATCTGCGCTACTGCTTCTGAATATCGAAAGAATAGACGTCATAACTTTTGCTGACTTAGCAGCGTCAGTCCCTCGGTGGGGAGTTGCAAGGAATACGATGCCACAGGTTCGTTGAACTACCTCTCCCTCATATGACTTCCTGAATGTCCAGGATTGGTTGAGTGCCTAGCAATATTAGATGTGTAATCACACCATAACAACCACCTTACGTACTGAAATTAAGATAAGACCACCAAGGCCATGACAAATAAAGATTAGAGGCCGTTTTTTTAGCTATCGTAGGTTAGCGAAGACCAAAGGTGACCACTTGTGCCAGTACTTCACTGTCTTCACTACGTTGCATTATATGCTGCAACAGATTTTTGGCAATATCTTGAGTCGAGCTGCGTGATATGGAGAAGAGTTCTGAGTTATAGCCAAACGATAAAATGCGCGCGGTGGGTACATAGGCAGGTAAGAGATCGCGTAACCATAAGACTCCGTTTCCGTGAGTCCATGACTGGAGTTGGTCACCTCGAAGGCCGTGAATGGCAACAATACTACACGGTGAAGACGTCAGGCAAGTTGGTTGAGTAGGATAGGAACTTGCTTACTCGATGTTGCAGATATCGTAGGGAGGGTCAGCTAGTACGGCGAGCCCGAATCTATCAATCTTAAGAACGGCGGTGTCTTCGGAAGACATCTTACAGATAGTCTATAAATTAGGAGACGAGGATGGATGGATGAACGACTAGGTTACATTCTTAGTACTTAGCTACTCATTTATCCGCTAGCATCATAAACACCGACATGCCGCTCTTAGCTCGTAGAAGGAACCATAGGTTTGAATAGTATTGTCCTCGGTACGATCTGGTAAAATACTACACGTGATTCTAAAAATGTATCTACCGATTGGTAGAATTAATTAGTACGCTTACCGGATGAGGTGGTGCTGCCGATCGTGAGTGGAGCAATGATGGGACTCACATGATTTATATATGTCTAAACTTAACGATACTGAAGCGGCAAGATTAATTCGGCCTTATAGCTGTGGTCTAATTATACCTTCTAGAGGATTGTTATTACAGCGTAATTTACTCTAAGTCCGTCCTCGGCTGTTAGTTATGTTCGTCAAAATACCTAATATAGAGGCTCTCGTAGTACTCAGGCCATATTTCACGACGAAGGGCATTTCAACACACCGAAACGTGGATTCCCAATAACTACTTTCGTAAGAAGATTTCAAAAGCTTATCCTATAGTGTCTAAAGCAGCGTTACACTCTTGAAAGAGGATTACGTGTCAGTAGCTAAAGGCGGCAGAACATTACGATGGCACGTGAAGGTTGCAGGTTAGCCTTACGTGGCCGGCAGACGTGATTGTGGCGCGTGCTGTTTACTGTATTGATACCTATTATAATACTCGGGTTCGACCTCGCTGTTCCACGATCTAGCTCGAAGCAACTAGCAAGGGTCTTGAGGACGAGAGTACGGCAACACCGACCGTAAACCATGATGATAGAAGAATCAATAATCGGTCATCAGATAAACAAACGGTTATTTTATATATATATGTATTATCTTTAGCTTACAAAGTAGCACTATTAGCGGCTGTACGAAGTCTGAGCCGGTTTAGCTGATTTCCGTACCCTTCCAGAGATAAGGGTCTAGACACATCAAATCTTGTATGAACAACATAGATAGGTGACCATAGCACAGAGCATCTCAAACATCCATAGATCTTATTATTACCAACAGCAGTACTGGGTGGTGCGCCAGCCGTGGTGGCAGTCGAAGTACCGTGGATATATTTCACTATGCGGGTTACTTCACCAGGCCGGGATGTCGATTAGCCTCAACGTGTGAGCTTCTAAAGCGTAGTACTTCCCTTATTGGATGCAGAGAATACATTTCAAATGACTCAATTATCTTTCCCTCATACCACGGCATTTCTAAGCCTTAGGTTGAAGTCTCAGATCATTGGCCCTTGCCGGGGTTTGAAGCTTAACTGTAAGTGGTAAGACTAGGCTGCAGCGGATGCAAGTGACATGGGTTTTCACAGATTCTCTGTTTACCCAGGGTGACGGCAATTCTACACATTACTGTATGTGCTAAGAGGTAGCGTCATGTATTAGAAAGCTATCCAACGCCGGCTCACATAATTGGGAAGGAATGGCAACGGGTCAGGTCCAAACCGTCCCTTCACTCTCTTGGGAGTTAACGAGACCATCCTTAAGGAATCGATCGATACATTGCCCTGCCTCGCGAGCGGCTCGGTGTATGGTGATCAACACTTGCCAAGCAAAAACAATGCATGTCCTGAGAGAGGTCTGGAGCGGCTCGAACTAGTCATAAGCCCTCGTCAAGCACACATGGGATGGCGTCTGCATTGCCTCCTTTCGTGCATGCCCCTTTTGACCTTCTCTAGGAACTGAAAGTCTCATGTGTGAGCATAAAGTACTCTAGTCAAGCTAGACTCCGTCTCTGGTAATGGCTCTGGTGTCTCCGTAAGAGAGGGAGGACAGATTCATTGCAATCTGGCCCAGGGGTCTGCTTGGGTTGACTGCAGCAATCTGACGTGGAGGCAGCTGGTAGTCACCACCACACCATGATATGATCAGTGACCTGCTAGGGTCAAGGCCCTGGTGAACACCGTTCATCAAATTGGCTCACTTGACCTTACCCATTATGGTATCCATTCCTCTTTCAGTGTATGTACTTGCGGCAGCCTGTTTTACAGCAGTGATCGTCGCACGATCCCAGTCATCACGGGTCTTCAATACTCCCTCAACCCACGAAAGTTGAAGATCCCAAAACTCGTTCTTGAAACGTTGAAAGACGCCAACCACTTCAACCTTGTCAACCTCAAGGAGCTGGACAGTGAAGTTGACAGCTTTCCACTTGGGTTTAATAGTCTCGTTAAACGCATCAGGATACTTTTCAAAGAATGCGAATGCTGCAAGAACGTCATCCCTAAACTTAGCAGGAAATGGTTCACCTCGCCTAAATTTGACACCTTTATTCGTCCGTATTGCTGTCAAATATTGGATCAAAAGACCGTCAGAGAGTTCTTCAATCATAATGTCCAAAAGGGAGGGGTGGAGAACAGCATTATAATCCGAGATGTAGTCGTCGAAAGTAGTGGTAACCCGTTGGATTGCAGATTGCTCATACCACTTTCCTGGCACAAAAAGTTCCGTCAAGATGGTTCGGAAGTCGACCCTAAAGACCAATAGGACGAAGCGATTAATGCAATGTGTGGCCAGATCGACATATCCATCCCGAAGAGCATCCAATTCTGTGGTTCCATTCGTAGACATATATTTGGCAGATGGGGGTGTTGATAGCTTGAGGAAGTCTTCTTTGAAGCGTGTCAGATACCCTTTCTGTGCAGTGGGATCGTCTATAATATCTCCAGCTGCATCATCGACACAGGCAATTTGATCATTTGCAATTGCCAGGAGCGAGTCTTGGAGTGGTTGTAATGTTTCCAGTTGTTCTGGCGAAGGATTCTTGTAACGATCGACTTCTTCATCGATGACTGTCTCCCACTGCTGCTGTCTTGATTTGAGGGCACTGAACATGGCACTCATAACGCCTTCAACGACATCTTCTCGTTCAGACTCCCCTGCTGCCATAGCCTGCTCGTGTAACATTCGCCACATATCACCCAGCGTTTTAGTTCTGAAGTGTCCGTCTGGATCTTGCTCGATCGCTTCCGTTGATCGGGAAGTAAAGTTCTTTCTATCTGTGACATACATTCGGTCAATCCAAGAATTGAGAGCCTTCGTGATGAGATTTCTGTAGTCTCGAATCAGATCTCCTTCCCGTGAATCCAAGACATGTGGTTTCAGCTGAGACTGCGAATAGTCGAGTTTCTTCATTTTCTTGTAGTATACTTCCACATAGTGAACAATAGCAAGCATCATCGGTGACCGAATATTTTCATCATCCACGAATGAAATGAGAAAATCATGCATGAGTTTGTGATAGATGTTCACGTAGGTGTTGTAGATCTTCCACTTTTTCGGAAAGAGGCTCTGCATGCCTTGCTTAGAGACAAACAGGTCATTGAAGTACCATTTGGTGTGCTTGTCCAGATGATCTGGATCGGCCTGAAATTGTTGTCTCGTCTCCTCAAACTTCGCTTGGGCAACAGCTTCAATAGCTTGGAGGAACTTTTCTTTGTAACCACGAATGGTTTTGGGTCCAATAGTGAACGAGGTAAACTTGCTTACTAGATCCTGATGATCCTTCTGTGCATCTTGTAGAGCACGAACTCGATCATCGTTCTTCTCCTCAGATGCGATGACAATGGCAAGACGAACGATCATACCGTTGTTGTCCCTCTGCACCAGCTCGATAAGATTCATGCAAACCTGGCCGATATGATCATCGAACATATCAATGATGCCATCTAGTTGCTGAAACCAATCAAGGAGGGTCTGCTCTAGACTGGCATCCTTGCCTCTCCTTATCTGGTCCAAGGCTTCATCGCGAAAGTCACGTAGGCGAGTCAATCGCATGTGTGCCTCGAGTAGATTAGGCTGATTTTCCAGATCAGCCTCATCATCTTCCAAGAGTCTCTGCACAAGGGAGCAGTCCTTCTCGAAGGTGTCCAGGCCGGCCTGCATTGCTCTTGTTGCCTCAAAGTTCCGGTGTACTCGTGCGAGGTAGTCAAGTTGAGGGAAGTTCTTTCTGATGGCCTGTGCCTGCTCGCAAAGATCATGAATGCTCTTCATCTCTTCCTTGATCTGTCCGACCAGCTTTTGTCCTTCGGATAGGGTCGACATGCCATTCTGAGTGTTGTCGAGATGCTCTTTCAATCCTTCTCGTAATCTTGCATCCACATCGCCTTTCTTGCGGTTGATCTCGGCTTTCAAGCTGATTACTTTTTCCAAGTCCTCTGGGGTGCGTAAGACGTCCTGAATTCGAGGCATGCCAACGCTGCCATTGGCGGTTGCGTTGGGCGCCATGCCGTTGAAACGGGTTCAGATGCTCCGACTCCGGTGAGGTAGGATAGGAGCGTCTAGAAGGATGGAATTGCCGGTTTTCTAATGGGCCAATGCATCGGAGCGACTGCAGGATAGAATAGGGTTTGAATAGTCAAGGAAGCAGGAGTGTTGGGAGGGATGTGAAAGCGTTGTTTGCAAGGTAACAACGCAAACAGTGTGCAAGTCGCGGGATTGGAGTTGTCACTATCCTACGCTGCCTGATGTAAATCTTGGGGCTTATGATGGGTTTCGTCCCTGAGCTTCAGGGGCCGATGGACTTCCCCAGGGCCGATGTCGAATCTCCAGGGGCTGTTCTTGGCTTCGCAGGCGCGGCGTACCGCCTATCGCTCTGTCCCGAAAGGCCCATGTGACATTGAGATTACGTGACAGGCCACAGCCTTGCCCAGCAACGTCTAGAGTTTGCGCCGTAGAGAGCTGATCGGGTGCAGCATATGCACCAAAGTGCAGTATCGTTTTTGTAACCATTGGCAACTGCATGAAATCCAAAGAGCTGTTCTAATTCAATTTCACAAGCCATCGTTCATCCAAAAGTAGCCTCTTCGCGTTTCAACCATCTTGCCCGCCAGCGTCTTCAGCCAGCTACCGCTACCATGTCGTACTTCCGAATCACCCTCATTAGATCCTCCATCGGACTCCCGAGTAAATCAGCCAATGTCCTGAAAGCGCTAGGCCTGCGCAAGCGCATGGCCACTGTCTTTCACCCTGTCACTCCCTCCGTTGCAGGTCAGATTATGAGAGTGAAAGAGCTGGTTGCAGTGAGAGAAGTCGACAAGGCCTTGACAAGGCAAGAAGTCCACCAGGAAAGAGTACCCGATGCTGGATTTTACGTCGAGTCCAGAGCCAGAGATCAGAAGGAGACTTTCTGAACCGAATTTGCAACCAAAGGAATCCACCAAGTTGGAAACCCCTGACTGCGCAGCTTGAAGCTGGCTGCAATTGTCGAGCAACGTCTGAATGCAGCTCACGCGCAAGCAGCTCGTCAATCGGGGCCTTAGGTTAACTGGACTGGAGCACAAGCACAAGCACAAATTATGGACCTCCATCGATCCGGACACAATCCATTCGGAGAGGAGGCTGACATGGCCGTCTCTTCCCGCGTTCAAACAGAGTTACGACAGACATTGGCCAGCACTAATTCTCGCTCGATTTGACCTTCTACCGAATTACCAGGTTTAGCCGATGCTACCTAGCGAATCACTCCTTTGGAAATTAATCGATGAAGCCCGTTCGTATTAATGGGACTTGCTATTGGCACATGGGGTGCGTTTGAGTGCCGGGCGCGTGACACGATTTGAAATGGGCACAACGTATCTCTTCGTCTGATGCCGCCACGACACATGGGGACACGGCCGGCGAGACGACCGGGACTGGCAAGGCGAAGGGAGAAGGTGTAACATGCATTGAGAGTGATGGACGAAGAACTCGTGTGAGACCAGGAATGATAGAACACACTTAAACACGCGGAATGTGAAAGGGGCTTGAAGGTTAGGGAAATACCCCGTGTATTATTATTTGAATACACTATATAACTTGCAATACAATTTTAACTCCGTTCCGTTTACGTTTGTATTGTGACGACTACAAGCAATGGGATAAACAAATTAATGGTAAAGGATGTATCAGTAGAGACGATATCAGCAAAATAGATGTACTCCAGTTGAGCCAATAAGTGACCTCCAAATATTGATTTCTGGGACGTTGCGTCTAAACTGTCGTCATATCTCTGTGAACTATACGAGCACATTTTCCCGTACTCCATTCTCGGTACCTATACTTCCTTTACCATTCCTAAGCTAAGAAGCAAATCCGGGTCTATTGAGTACTCAAGGTTATATGAATATCTAACATACGATGGAAGTAACCCGGCTCCTCTCCCGCACCACCACAGCCACCAGCCGGGCATCAAGCAGCGCGCGATGCCTGCGACAGCACCATCGCAACTACAGCCACCGCTCCCTCTCCCTCATCTCTTCTCCCACCTCTCAATTGCCGATACTCTACAATTCCCGCCCCACCCTGCACCGGCCACAGCAGCAACAGCAGCGAAGCTTCTCCCTCAGCCACCATCGCGCTAAAGGCCTACAACCCGACAGCGCAGACCCATCCCCACCGCAGACAGAGCCCAACGCAAGCGGCTCAAGCCACTCCCCAGCAGCGGCTCAACTCTCCGAGTCCGAGTACCACGAGATCGCGGACGAGTACCTGGACCGGCTGGTGTACGCAGCGGAGGAGCTGAGTGAGAGCTCGGAAAGCGGGATTGATGTCGAGTATTCGGTACGTTGCGTTACGTTGCGTATTGAATCATCCTATCCTACCTCTAGTATGTGTTTACTAACCAATACATTGACCAGGCCGGCGTCCTCACCATCATACACCCGATGCAAGGCAGCTACGTGGTGAACAAGCAGCCGCCGAACAAGCAGATCTGGCTGTCGTCGCCGGTGTCCGGGCCGAAGCGCTACGACTGGGTGGTTGCGGGGGATGCGGGCCAGCATGAGAAGGAGGGGTCTGTGATGGCCGACGATGCTGAAGCTGCGGGCGACGATGGTGCTGGGGGCAGGTGGGTCTATCTTCGTGACGGCTCGAGCTTGTCGGAGTTGTTGCGGAGAGAGATTGGTGTTGTTATTAGTACCGATAGGGGCGAAGGGGGAGATACGTAGGGAGGCAAGTTAGAGGTATTCGAAATGCAGTTCGGTGCACAAGGTCAAAGGGAAGGGGCGGTCGAGCCGCCTTCACGGGAAAGTAAGACATGGAGCAGGAAGACAGAAATCCATATTGACAAGCACCCTGCAAGCGTGTATGGGTACAATAGGTGGATTTGTTCATTATAAACCAGGGATATTACCATCTCAACTGCCACTGTCTAGCAACAAAGAGTATTCTGGGGAGAAAATACAAGCTCGAAAGTGTAACAAGACAAGACAATGCTTTTCCCTTGCCAACAACCATCCCTCGCTAATCGAATGAGTCGCCCTTCAAAGCTGATACAGTCTAAGACCAACGGAGCGCCTCATCCACAACGTCTCTTCTTCACCTTCTCTTCTTCGAGCCGCCAGACTTAGGTGTGCCAGCTGCAGGCCGGGAGGGTGTTTGGGCCTGTTGAGGTGGAGGGGGGGCGGTACCGCCTGTGGTTGGGATTCCTGATGCTCCGCCCATTCTCCTGCTCATGATCTGTCTAGATATAAAGGAGATACCGATCATCATCAACCAGCTGGGCGTGCTACCGAAACCCCACATGACGTACCCGAAAGGTATCAGGAGGTTGAATTGCGCCAGCCAGCCGTCAAACGGGTGCACTGCTCCCTCATATTCTGCGAAGTCTAGGTACCGTGACTTGCTGGCCGATGGGATGGAGATTATATCGGCTGTAGTGACAGATGACAGGTTGAGTGGAACAATATGGAGAGGAACCTTAGCTTGTGGCTCAGATTTTTTGGGGACGCTGAAGTGGTATATCGATGGGAGGGCGGTTCCCCATGCAGTGCACACGACCTCTTCCTTTTCACAATCGAGAATGCCCAGATGTAGAGGTTTTGATGAGGCTGCTTGCAAGGGGACGAGCAGAGGAACAGACAACTGAACGCACAATGTTGGTCAGACTTTGAAAAATTGATAGACGGGAGAGGGGCCGACTTACATTCCAAGTCGCATCAGCGTGTCCACATCGACCGTAGCAACTCTTATTTCCACCAGTCACGTAGATCATCCATTCCTCCTCAGTGTCAAGCTTTGGAGAGAGCTTGCGCTGCCAATTTCGGATATTGATACGCTCAACTCTTTGGTCGGCGACAACGGCGGCACCAGCTTCAACGGGCCCACTGTTGGGTATGTAGCTCTTAGCTTTATCAAGCCATCCTGCCGCCTTTTCCATCAAAGGCACTTGCTCTGCGCCTACCACTAGGCATGGTAGGAAAGGGATGAGATGGAGCAGTGATAAGACATGCATGATGAACGCTGGTATCCTCAAACAACGCACAAGCGATCAATACGTCGGTGACAGCCGAGATATGAAGAGGCCGCACAGCAAAGATGCACGGGGCGAAAGAGATGCAAATGTCGGGATGGAGAGATTGAGTCAATAATGGAGAAGAGAATAATGATGCTAAAGGATACGTCTACCCAAGAGACTTTAGCGAGAATGGGAATGGGAAGGAACGGGGGGTTGGTGTTCAACCCATGGACGGCGCCTTCTACTTTCACGCTTGACCTTGAACCTTCAAGTTTCCTACCTTCCCAAGATGCGTATGGCGTCATTCAGGCTCAACTTTAACCGAAGTTGGGCCTCTCAGGCCACGAGAATTGCCACCATTATTATTAGTGGTGGGGAAGGAGCAACGGGGGCACCCACGGGGACGGTGCAGGCGGGCTGCTGCCCCATGGTCTCTTCATTCTCGACACCCTGGCAACCACGTGGAGTGGAGTTGGCTAGACGAACTCATCTATGTACCCGTATGTACGAGTTCATTCCTAGATATGTGCGCCTGCCATCACCTATCGTAGATACCTCCCTATGTAGCTATGTATTGTGCACCATCTTTAGAATCGTCCTCACACTCCCACACGCCGAAGCAATCAATTGAATGAAATGTTCACCATATTGCCGCTATCTATCAAATCAGGGAAAATAGCCTCACTGTCCAGACATTCGCTTGATCAAATCCCTGATATCCCCAACCTTGACTTCAAATGACCAGTTATCCTTGTCTTGGGAATACAACTCCCACAGCTTGCTTGCAATAAGTTTAGCATTCATCTCCGGGTCACCGTCACTGATAATGCCTCCGATGTTGACACTGGCCACATGTATCCCTTTGGGGCCAGCAATCTGACTGAAACTGCCAGCGAAATTGGTCTGCGCCGCTTTCTGCATCGAAAGCGAGAAGAAGTCGCTAATGGGATATTCATAGATACCGCTGTTGCCGAATAAAAAAGATGGTCTGGTGCCTGGCTCTTGGGCAACGGAATTAAGGTGAGGTAGTGCCCATGTTGCGGCAACATACATCCCAATATTCATGCTCTACATTCTGGTCAGACGGTTGATTCACTAAGTTCACAACTTCATCATACCTTGAAGTCCTCCAGCATAAACTGCGGGCTTGCGTCTCCAATTCTGCTCGGTTGAACCCTGGCAGCGTTGTAGTATACCACTTCTGGGATGCCCATCTCAGTTTCAACTCTCTGGAGAGTGTTCTTCAACGCGACATGATCCCCGACATCGACTTTGAAGGCCTGGACCTTGACAAGCGGAGATGTAACTTGAACAGTCGCGACATCGCTCTCAAGGCGCTGGGAGTTTCGTGAAAGTAATGCAATGTCAAAGCCTTTTGACGCAAATTCCAACGCGGTAGCCAGTCCAAGTCCTGGACCGGCGCCTAGAATGACGAGCAGTTTATAGGCCATGTTTGTAGGCTGTTGAGATGCTCCGATCTCTCGGGTCAAGCGGTATGTTAGACACGGGGCTCTTGCTGAATATATATACCGGCCGCAATTTCCAGTTTCCATAGCCGACGGGCGGTGCTTGACAGTCTTTGCGTCATGCAGAGGCAAATCGGATACTTTGACTGAAATCCGTAAAGGCCACCTTGAACTTGGTCAGCATCCTTGTTTCATATGGCTTCTCCGCGGTCACATCCATAATAGCATAACTAACCAGGATAGTCAGCTTAGGCCACCTCGACTAGCTAGAGTCCGTACTCTCCCCTTATAATAGGGTGAGATAATTAGTCATTGACCTCGTCCATCCTCATCAAGGGAACGGTGCGTCTGTGAAGAGACCTGGTTCCCACCAAAGCATAAAGAAGTTGCCATCACCCGGTGAAGCAGCTCGATCTCTCTCGCACGCGCGCATATGGATCAAAGTACAAGGCACAAAGTTGGATAAGTAATACTTTAGGTAATGTGGCATAAGAGTGCGCAAGTGCTACTGCTACGGTAGTAAGCCGCATGAGGCTGCCCGGTAAGGCTCCCCAAGTCGAATACTCAATCGAACAATGCTTTGCTTGGCGCAAAGTCTGGATAGAGCTCTCCTTGGCGTCTCTTGGCAGACTCGGGCCTCATGATTCGTCTCTCCACAACCTCACAACCTCGGGCTAAGCTAAGGGAAAGGTGAGGACCCCTCAACACCATCAGCCAACCAAACTTCACTCAGTGGCCAACAGTCTTCCTTGCAGAGCCCAAGTCAAACTGTGCGAGTCAGTGCTAAGCGTGCGCTCGTTCCGTCCCAAGGCTGAACTGCATCAATCACCCCGCAAACATAAGGTGAGAGTCAAGATCTCCTGACTGCTCTGCCATTCCAGAGCACATTTTTCGTTACCTAGGCCCATGGGTATTCGGACATCTAAGCCTCAGTGCGTGGACGCTATCATCGAACTCAAATCATAGTTATAAAGGGAAGGGAACTTGGAGACTTTGAATAATCCCTAGGTATTTATTCCATTTACAAGTACTTTCGTTTGAGGTGAATCGAGCTCTTCAACATATCAGGTACGGCAAGTCTCTTCGTATTTCTTTCGTCTCGTTTCCGAGAGGATTGCCACATCTAGATTTCATCATCCACATTGTTGAACACCATACCAGGTAGTGGTCCCTTCAACTACGAAAGACCACGCAACCTTGCAACCATGGCCAGCCCAGAACTGAAATGGACGCACCCAGAGAAACGCGAGCTCCTCGGCGGCGACCTACTCGCACAGACACTGTCGCAGCTCGGGGTAGAGGTCTCTTTTGGTATCCACGGCGGACACCTCGACGCCTTCTTGATTGGCTGCAACCTCGCGGGCATCAAATTGATCGATACCAGACATGAGACAACCGCCGTTCAAGCGGCCGAAGGCTATGCCAAGGTCTCTGGGAAGGTCGGCTGTGCCTTTGTGACTGCTAATAGTGGGTATGTGGTATCTGTCTATTTATCTATCCAGTCACTTTATACTCACCTTTAGTATCCCCCCTTCCCATTCCTCGTCAATCAAGAGCCTTTATATCGGTCTCTGACATTCTTAATCTCGTCCTAGATTCTGCAATTCCATACCAGGCCTAGCAACCGCATTCGCAGACCGCTCGCCAGTGTTCGTAGTGACATCCTCGCCACCACTGCGCGACGCTGAGACGAACTGTCTACAAGGTTTTCACGACCAGGTGGTGCTAGCAAAGCCATTGACCAAGTTCGCACACCGGGTGACCAATGTGGAGGAGATCCCACGGATCACCGCGTACGCGTTCAAGACTGCCATGTCCGGCATTCCAGGGCCAGTCGTGGTCGACTTCCCTATCGATGTGCTATTCCATCCGCCTCGGATGAGCGCCATCGCGTATGGATCCGTCATGCGGGCTCCCGCCGCGGCGCCGGGCCCAGATCCTGCGAGTGTAGATGAACTGGTCCAGCTGTGGAAGGCTGCGGCCAGACCAGTCATTATATCTGGGACGGGGGCCGCGAGGACGACAACGAGAGGCGATGGCGCCACTACCAAAAGCCCTCTGCTCGACCTCGCCAATGCGACCAGCACTCCGGTCTTCTACTCGCAGAAATACGCACCGGCGCTCCCACACTCGCATCCCCTGCGTGGCGGCCCGGCCGGAAGCCTGGCAATGCTACCATACATAGGCAAACAGCAGCCCGACCTAGTCCTCCTCCTAGGCGCTCGGACGGGGTTCCTCCTCGGCGGCCGCTCCGGCGCTATCATTCCCGCGAGCAGCAGCGGGTGCAAGCTCGTCCAAGTGGACATTGACGGGGCCGAGATCGGGAAATCCCAACCCGTGGATCTCGGCATCGTGTCGGACGCAAACAACTTCATCAGCGCACTACTCACCAAGCTTCAAGCCTCCTCGGACGGAGAAGGCGCAGGAATCGGCAAACACGAGTCCTGGATCCAAGACATATCCGACCTGAAAAGCACGCCCTCGCCACACGCCTCGGACCCGGAGAAGAACGCCAGCGACGGGCGCCTGCACCCATACCATACGATCCGCGCAATCTACTCCTCCATCCCTGCAGGCTCGATCATCATCCTCGACGGCGGCGAAGCGTCCGTGTGGGCATCCGAGAGCATGGAGCTCGCGCGGCCGTCCGCAGGCATCGTGAGCACGGGGTACCTGGGCTTCCTGGGCAACGGATGGGGCTACAGCCTGGGGGCGGCGGTGGCGGCAGGGCCCGACACGCTGGTGCTCAACGTCCACGGCGACGGCTCCGCCGGCTTCCACATCCAGGAGCTCGACACGTACGCGCGGCACAACCTCAACATCGTGACAGTCATCATGAACAACTACGTGTGGGGCATGAGCATCGCCGGCCAGGACATCATCTACGGGAGCGAAGACCCCGCGCGCATGGTGTCGAGCCTCTCGGAGGCGACACACTACGAGGTCGTCGCACAGGGGTTCGGCTGTCAAGGCGCGATCGCGAGCGAGAGCATCGACGAGGTGAAGACCAAGGTCAAGGAGTTGGTGGCCGCCAAGGGCCCGGGCCTGCTGAATGCCGTTATCTCGAAGAGTCCGGTCACGATGGTCACGAAGGCGATGGTCGGCAAGACGGACGACAAGAACGTCATTGTCGTGCCGTATTATGATAACGTGCCTAGGCCGTATTATCGGACGGATGAGCTGAAGAATGGGCATTAGGTTAACGCGTTGCAGCGAAGGTCGAATCGGAGGAAATCGAGACTGAAGGTGGTCGAATCAAAGTCATCTTTGCTGTGCCTTCACGCGGCGAAACAGAACAGGGGGATGCGAGCCTTGCGCACGCCCCAGGTCTTGCGGAAGTGGTACGTTGGCCCAAAAAAGGAACGGAATGCATCTTGCACTTCGATAGCAGTAGCGTATATTATATGCATGCATGCCATGTGGCAAAAGGTACAAAATGGCGATTGGTGGATTCTATTGTTGACAATGTCTACCAACTCAGTAGTTACTTATTTATAGGCAGTCAGTTCATCTTTCTCCAACAGCAAGTCTAGATGTATTTACCATACCCAGGTGGGAGCGGGGAACAAGTGTTCATCAGTGGCATTTTTCTGTTGACATCCTCAACCCATTGCTCCCCGGCCTCCCTATCTTGTATCATTCGAACGGTGAAAGTAAGTAGTGTTACAGTAAGGTAGAATATTGTGACATAGACAAGTGCTCGATTGCAACGACACTTTGCCCGAGACCAGACAAGAACCCAACTTCTGAGGGGGGGGAGTATGTACTAGGTACCAGGCGAGAATAATGTCGCCGAGGCTGCAGATGAATTGTGCTTCGCGCTTCGCCCACCTGCTCTGTCTTTGCTGCAGAGGATATATCTGAGTCGCTGCTTTTGACTAGGTCGGCTGTTCGCTTCTCTAATGAATCTGGTTTTTGGGCGAAGTGTTTAGTGTAAGAGTATTTTGTAATATATGCAGGGGTTTGTCGAAACTTTAGGGCAACTCGGTAGCTGAACTAGTAGCCACTGTCAATTTTTGTCAACTATTCGGTCTTGGACTGGTCCAGTTAAGATGCTCAAGAGGTCATGAGCGAGTACTCAGAATTTCATTCGTCGTTGGGCTCCTTTGGCTTCAACATTGGTGAGGTAGACTGGTGTTTTCCCTACCGGAAAATTTTACTGTTTCTTTCACGACGGGCAGCTTCCAATTCATCCTGCCTCTGAATCTCCCACTTCTCCTGTTGTTCATTTTTGATGTTTGATTTTGAAGCGTTTGCCTTCTTGGTCTTCAAATAGGTCGATGTCAAAGGATTGTCACTCAAACTTTTCTTGACTCTGTCAACCCCTTTGTCAATAATACTCCGGTTCGATGTGACCGGGGCGGAAGACTCTTGACCAGGAATTACCACCTTCATAGACCCGTAAGTCGGGCGAGCCGGGCCTTTAGACGGTGCTGTAGCCTTTACAATAGGACGGAGCCCTGCCCACGATCGAAAGACGGCAGATTGAAACAGGGCCATCTGGCCATAATTAAATGCACCATTGACCAAAAAGAATAAATGCAAAGACGCGGGCTGCCAAATCATGATCAGAAATGAAAGTAGAGGTAAGCCGGTTTTCATGAATGTGGCAAGCTTATTGTCTGGCTGGCTTTTGACAGCTCTTGACATGTTGAAATAGGTGAGGGTGGAGATCATGAGGGGGAGGACATATGTCGGATCAGTTGTCGATATGTTGCTCAGCCAAAGCCAGTGCTCGGTTTCAAAGGCAGGTACAGGCAAATTCCCCGCTGCACTCAAAACTCGAAAGGCAGCAAACTGAAAAGGAAGTTGGATCATAATAGGAAGAAACATCTTCCCGAAGCTGAGCCCAAATTCTTTGCGCAGAGCGCCAATCTCGCGTTGGACTTCCATAGCGCCAATTCGATCGCCTGAGGCTAGCGCGGCCTTGCTCCTCTCCTGCAGCGGCGCAAGGACGGGTTGCATCTCCCTCATTTTTTGGGATTGTTCATTTGCTACAAAAGAGGGGCGTACAACTGCCAGACGGAAGAGAAGCCCCAGGACAATGATAGAATTTGCCCAGGAGAGGCCCGCGGTGAGGTGGAGGTGCTCCAATGCCCATTCCATCATCGAGGAAGGACCCCATCCAAAATCCAAGGCGCAGACTTCTTTCAGGTAGCCAATTCGTTCAGGGATTGACGCCAGATCAGGTATATCGGCCAGTTGCTCAGCAGGAGAAGGGGCATTATGGGGGTTTACGATGGCATTTTCGAGCTTTTGGAGGGCTTCAGGGGTGTGCTCATTGGCGAGATGTGGGTGTACACTCGAGGGATCAGGCGCGGTCGATGTGTCATGAGAGGCCTTGACGGTTCGTACAGTGTCTGTAGTTGTGGAAGAGGCAACCTGTGTTGTGTCTGCACCTGTGATGTTCGCATGAGGCTTTAAGAAATCATCGGAGGTGGATTTTGAGCCCCAGCCAAACAGAGATAGAGAGCGGGATTGCTGTGTGAGGTATGTATTTCCTGCTTTGATACTCCGCGTTGATCTAGAGAAAGACAGGGGTGTGGAGCGTGTATTGAGTGAGTACTAGACATGGTCAATCATCTTAATTGCAGGGCAAGCATATCCAGTCACTTACATGGCGCAGGCTAGGTTTGCCCAGGTACATTCGGTGCCTGCCGTTACCAACGTCCCGAAATGAACATCTAAGTCCTTGGGATAGCGACATAGTGGGCGTAGGTGGAAGACAACGGTTCTGCACAGATCGGCGGAAGCTTGCGAGGTGAGTGCCAGTAAGACTCGGATGAGGTACCAGATAGTCCGTGAAAATGGAAAAAGCAATTGCTAGCATTGATCTTTGGAGCTAGAGGCGCTAGTGCAGAAGCTAGTGAGGCTAATCAGTAAACTCCTGTATGAGGCACCTAAGCCGAGGACCACCGGTTTCTCAGCAGTCTTCGAGTGCTGTCTGCACGTATGATGTTTTACTCGTACGCTCACAAGCTATCTATGCTGAAGAATTGTATTGTTTCAATTCCAGCGCCATGTCCATGCAAGTCGAAATCTCGAGTCGTGTATTGCAGAAGCCTTTGGAATCACCTCACAGGTATTTCTGCACCACTGCACCTCCCCTTTTGAACTCGGCAATATCACCCAATGCTTGGGATTTGTCCTCGTATTCAGTTGTGGGAAAGGTTGTCTGCAACACAAAATCCCTTCCTCCAGGTTCTGCTCGTTGTACAAAGTCGTAGACATCACCGATGGTCTGGGTTGTGTTGAAGCGCGAGGTCAACCTAGTTCCAGATCCTAGGCTGATGCGGAGTGTCACTGTTGGTTTGGATTCATCCACCTCAGTGCTTGGAGGGGCACTCGAAGGCGTCGCACTTGGCGGGACCGATGGTTCTGAAGTGAATGCACCTGGCATGGAAGGCATTCCGGGTGTAGGGCTACCCAAGCGCTGACCTGAACCGTCGAATGGCCGGAACTTCTTCTTGGGTTTGACATACTTCTCTTCGTGTTGTTTAATCTCGACATCGACCTCTTGACCAGGTTGGACATTCATGATATTCAACGGGGCTCGACCTTGCCTTATGAGGTTGAGAATTTCGGAATTTCGAGGATCGTCAAAACGATATAAATCCCCATCATCGATGCTGAAGCCATCTTGCCAGAAGTGCAGGACTCTGTCCACACGGTCTGCTCTACCTCTGGGCTGTGGGGCGGCTGCAACCTCGCGCGATGGTTCATCATCACCCCCAAGGGTTCGTGCCGAGCCAGTGAAGTGGGATTGTCGGGCAGGTGCTTCTTTGGGAGGTGGACCACGCTTCTGAGCCTTTTCAAGGATTCTCTTTTTGAGATCATCTGGGTTCTGCACGGCCAGTCCTGACTTTTCACCGCCAGTGAACAAGTCATGTTTGTCGTCATCGTCCGAATCATCGGCATTTCCGGCGGCTGAGTTGAAGTCGCCTAATGTAGCGAATTTCTTCTGAGAAGAGCTCTGTTTCGGTTGGGAAGGGCCGGAAGAGGAAGCAACTGGGACGGAAGGGCTGTCTGAGGAAGACTCGCCCAGTCTCCGACCAGCGCCATAGGTGGAATGTGGTTGGGCAGGAGGAGCATTTTCGGAATCTTCTTCTTCATAATCTGAATCATCAGCCGCGTCTTCGGTGTGGTCTTCTTGGGCCTGGTAGTAGTTGGCAATAGCGAGGTCAAGATTCCAGCCGCTGGCAGCGAGGACTTGACGGGCCTATTGTTAACTTAGTCAGTTCTGAGTTGTTGCACACGTGAAGCAGCACGTGACTTACAAAGCGCTCGCTGGAACCTGCAACTGCAACGAATTGTGCGACCAGAGTATCGTGATCGTGATCTTGGGAGTCGGCCATGGTGGGCAGAAGGGAATGAGAGCAGAAAGTGGAAGGTAAGGCGGGTTGAGAGAGAGGCAGAACGAGGAAGGTTAGGCGGATCAGAAGAGATAGAGGTATCTCAGATCGTCGGTAACAGATATGTGAAGTGAGTGATGAGTAAAAGTGGTGGTGGTGACTGAACAAGACGTCGCAATCACAGTAAGTATCGTGAATCGTGATGGAGCGGGCACCAGCGAAGGGAGAATGAAGGAAGAGGCAAGGCAACTCTCGTACGTCACTTGCTGAACCATGATTTGCTGGGTGGGGAGCTGTGCCTGGGACTTTATTAGTGAGAGGCTGTTAGTAGCTACTAGTTCCTGTTATTTGAGTGGGGCTGCACCCAGATTGCTCTTTTGGACAGCCACTACCAGAGCCTAGTGCTAGGTCAACCACTATGGACTTTGTTCCGTCGTCCGCAGCCTGTTCCCTTGTCCCAGACAGCCAGCCAGTTGGCCACGGAAACTTTGCTGTAGGCAACTCACCTCCATCTACAACTCCATCTCCATCTCCATCGACTTCTTGAACTGCACTGCTATACAAAACTCAAGCTCCCTCCAAACATCCTCAAGCCCTTCTCTTATCCCCTCTATTCCTGAAAATGTGCCATCGCCAGAGATCTCCCTAGTTTTCACTTCTCTTCTCGCCGCAACTCTCGACAATCTTTCGAAATGGCTTCAGGAACTGAACAGTCTCCCTCACCACCCCACGACCTGTCTGGCTCCCAGCTGACCATTCCTTCCGACTCGGAAGCATATTCTTCTCTGTCCCCTCCCTCATCTTCTCCGCCGCAATCCTCAGACAACAATGGTGGACGACCCGTAATAATATATCAACCTCCCACTTTCTGGGGCATCTTGAGAGGTGCTGCCATCAATTTATTGCTCCCTTTCGTCAACGGCTTGATGTTGGGTTTTGGCGAGCTCTTAGCACATGAATTTGCTTTCCGCTTGGGTTGGAGTGCCACAAACGTAGCACATTCTGGTATTCTCCTTGTTCCAAAACTGACATTCTGCAGGTTTGGCCCCGGCATCGAACTTCTCATTCAATCGGTCCTGGTGTGGAAGTCAGACAAAGCCCCAGCGAGGGGAGGAGAAGGAACAGCTCGATAGACCAGGATCTGATAGACACTGCTGCTTTGGAGTAGCTCAGGCCCGCCCCTCGGACGACATTCATTCTTCAAAATTACAGTTGGAAGCTGCAAAAGAGATTGTACATATCATGACCAAAAGGAAAGAGCAATGTTATCGATTGCCAATGATACCATTAACATTTTGGCAAGCGCCATGTTCATTCACACCAGTTTAGATTCTCCTTCCCCCCCCGGTCCTCGCCTCATTTGGGAGTTGTCGTCCATGTTGCCACGTTCATCATTATATGTTTGCTTCGGGTCTGCTTTGCTTTTCACTATCTCTATCTTAACACAAGCACTCGTTCAGCTGTCGTCAGCAGAGGCAAGCAACTTGTGCAGCTTCTGTGTATCTGAACTAACGAATACAGTGTCTTTCACCCTCTTCAGCCAATTGCATCAACATGAGCTCCTTTGTCAGCGCCAGCAGTCCGAACTATAAACTCTTCCTGGTCATTTTCGGCGGCATCGGTGCCGTAGGCCTTGCCTCAACATTGGCCAGCTGCCTCACCTCCAGGTGCTTCGAAGCCTGCCAAATCAAACGCAAACGGGTCCATGGTGATGTCGAGCTCGCCCTTCCACCAGTCACCAGATCAACAGCCACTTCTTCAGATTCAACCATGAGCCAAAATGAGCTTGATGCTCAAAATGCTGTTCTTACTCAAAGGGTGGAGCATCTGCTTGAGAACGATATCTATTTCGGGACGGAAGCACAGGACTATGCAAAAAGGGTCACCAAATCCTTAGGGTGTACAATTGTACTACCCATTCTATCCACCAAATTGTCGAGAACGAAACGAAGATCGCTCTCGAGTGAGAAAGGCTCTGATTCACAAGTGGTGAATGCTGTTGAAGCAACAGACGGCCAGGGACAGGAGGATGTCTTGGAAGGCAATCGTGTGGAGTGAAAAGACTGTGTCGTTTGAGTGTGAAGGGCTCACTATATTCCATGGGTGAGCATTGCACCCGGGTGGTCCAGACATTGACGTTGGTGTCCTAGTTTGATGAAGGTCCATAATTGTCACAACTACCTACCTTGGTGATTGAATAACATGATTCTCACTGCCAACATCAAAACTTCCCTAATATGCAGACTAGTGGAAAACTTGACAGACGCAGACCAACCTGGACATCTAAGTTATTGTACACAGTAGCGTCGGATCCGATGGAGTCAGTCTCGTTCAGAGTTCCGGAAGCGAGCCGTCCACACCCTCTTTCGAGGACAATTTACCGAACACTCACACTGCAGACAAACTCGGAGAAATTGCATGCACTAGGTCGACGATTCTCTTGTCGGTAAGTACCAATTCCCTTTACAGCATGTACGAGAAACAAAAGTATTCAGAAGGAGAGATAGGGTGATGTTAAGTACTCGGGATACCACTTGAACATGTACCAGAATTAAATACCGACGGAGGGGTGATCCTCCCAGCTCTTCTGTACTCCGGGATACCCAGAAAGTTTCCCGTCGAGCCTCATTCCCTCAGGTACTCGCTTGCAGGCTCCGGTGGACGTCGGAACAGAGCCTTGCCCGGGTGACTGGGGTCCCCCCATCGGCCCCGTCTTCCACTTCTATTCCTCCCCCTCTCAGGGAGAAGAGCTGATAATATAGCATACTAGGTATGGTATATATTAATTATTAAAGATCTGAGGTGTCTCGCCAGCTCTCTTACCGCGTCTAACCGAGCATGCAAAAGAAAAGGCATAAGCATAAGTATTTGTGAGTTGTTGCACCCTCGGGTGAAGCACCTTAATTCTTTCCCCGGAGACGAGATATGGAAATCGGCGGGAAAAGGCCACGGCATGGACTGGATCCTTGCTCCTTGTCCCACGATGTACTCGTGCACACTGTACGCCACCCATGTATGTATGTAATGCTGGACTTCGATAAGAGAGAATCAGACGGAGGACGGATAGATTAATACACATGAGTAAGGATGGTGGGACGGACTGGCCCCCGCAACACTCACTTGAGTTACCGAGGCATCAGAATTTAATTTTACACGGACGAGTAGCCACGAAGTATCTGGGGATAACCGCAATCTTGAGTAACAGACGTACGCTGGGTCGGAGTGCACACCGTGTGAGTTATCCCGCCCTCTCTTGCGTACTCCGATCACGATTAAGATTCTACTGTGATACTAGTAGTGCCATTGCTGCACGATTGGAGCCCGTGGAGTGAGGGACTGACTACTCCGGACTCGTAAGATCAAAACGAGACGAATTTGCCGGCCCTTGGTACGATACCTACCAGCCTTCTTCCGTGCTCGAGAGTCCAGCTCCCTTGCACATATCGCCGATCCGGACAACATCGTCGTAATTTACCGGAGCTCCAGTTGCCCATTGAGAAGGTGGGCGAGAGCTGGTGTCAAGACGACAAATTGAGCTACTCACCCACATTTTCCGCCTTCTCTTCCATTATTCTTCCTCCGCATACGCCTCTCGATAATCGGTCCATCTTTGGGTACGTACAGACATACATCGTACATTACATTGGGTGTCCAGTGTATCAGCGGTGCTGCCCTTACCCGACCAGATTAGCGAACTTTTCCCGGAAACACGGCATTCGCGGCCTTTCCTCCCTCCGACGGTGCTTGTGGCTCGACGCGGAGGATTTCGCACGGAGCATCGATTTTACGCCATTGCGGGACTCGCACTACTAAGACCCGGGCTAAACCGTAGCATTGTGGGCCGTGGACTTACAGAGGAGATACAAGCTAACGAGTACTTGGGTTGGTCAATATCCTCCTTGTGAGGAACCAACGAACGAACGAACAAGTCGAGAGTGGGAGTGGTTGATAGCACGGGTTGTCGATCCTTCCCAACACGAGCTTATTGTGTTTGACCTGCTAGGAGATCACCGTTGGATAACCACTTAGATCGGCCTGGATTTACGTCTGGGCGAGTTTGAGCCTTTCTTCTTCTTTTGGGAGATATAGAATTCGGCTTTGAAGCCTTTTGCGACGAGCACGACTTAGAATGGCAGACCAACAGCATCCCATCCCACGGAAACTATGGGAACACCCAAAGCCCAAGAGCACCACCATGTGGAAGTTCTGGAAGAGCTTGGACAAGGCTTACGGAGTGACTTTGGAGGTGAGTTTGGGTCTCTGAACGGGGTTTCACCATCTTGATTATTAATTCATGTCATGGAAATCGGCGAACTTTTGTTGCTCACCCTGCTTCTTAGGACTGGGACGCACTCTACCAATTCTCTGTCACACGGCGGTCCGACTTCTGGAGATACGTGGTTGAGTATTTTCCGATTGTGTACAACGGCAAGATCCCCAACCCAGTTGTCGACGAATCTGCACGCATGGACTCCGTACCACGCTGGTTCGGCGGCCTCACGATGAATTTCGCCGAGAACATTTTGTTTTCTGGCGACCAGCACGGGAATCCGGTTATCAATGCGGCGAAAGCGGATGATAAGATCGCTGCCATTGAGGTCCGTGAGGGCTGTTTTCTCGAGCCCATCCACCGTGTGACGTGGAGAGAGTTGAGGCAACGCGTTGGAAGATTGTCGCAGGCTATGCGGGCTCATGGGGTCAAGAAGGGCGATCGCATCGCGCTCGTGGCGAGCACGAGTCTTGATACACTGGTTGTGTTTTTGGCGACCACGACTCTCGGCGCGCTGTTCAGCTCCAGCAGCACTGACATGGGCGTCAAAGGGATTCTCGATCGACTGACCCAGATTAAACCCAGGTTCCTGTTCATGGATGACTGGGCCTTGTATAATGGCAAAAAGGTCGACCTCCGGCCGAAGATGAAGCAAGTCATGCAGGGCATGAGCGCCGTCAAAGAATTCGAGGGCATTGTCAGTCAAGTCCGCTTTGCACATTCGCCCGCCGATGTCTCGTCTGTACCCAGGGCGAAAACCTGGGCGACGTTTATCTCTGCAGCTAAGTCCACCGTGCTGGAGTTCGAGCAGTGTGATTTCTCCGATCCTTTCCTCGTCGTCTATTCGTCCGGCACGACTGGTCAGCCCAAGTGCATCGTCCATGCTATCGGCGGCGTGGTCATTTCTGGCCACAAGGAATTCAGGCTTCACCGTGATGTTGGCCCGAACTCTTGCATGCTCCAGTACACGACTACCGGGTGGATCATGTATATGGCCAGTGTGCAGGCTTTGCTTGTGGGTTCTGCTATTGTCATCTATGACGGTAGTCCATTCACACCCAATCTCACGAATTTCATTGAACTTATCGGTCAGGAGAAGGTCACCCACCTAGGCATTAGCCCACGGTACCTACAGACTCTGGAAGGAAATGGTGTTATTCCAAAGAAGGTCACCGACCTAAGTAATTTGGAAGTCATCACGAGTACAGGCATGGTACTCTCCGATAAACTGTTCGAATGGGTCTATGACGAAGCATTTCCCTCGAGCATACAGCTGGACAATATCTCAGGAGGTACGGATTTGGCCGCGTGCTTTGGCACAGGAAACCCTATCCTGCCATTATATGTGGGCGGATGTCAGAGTTTCTCCCTCGGTGTGCCTGTCGCAGTCTACGACCAGACCATCGAAGGCGGAAAGGGCGTCAAGGGCCAAGAGCTACCAATTGGTGAGGCTGGTGAACTAGTCGCGTATCAGGCTTTCCCAACCATGCCTGTCACTTTCCTCGGGGATAATGGACCCCAGAGGTACTTCGACAGTTATTTCGCTCGCTTTGACAATGTCTGGACGCACGGCGACTTTATCTCGGTACACCCAGTCACCAAGCAGGTTATGTTCCTCGGTCGTGCTGACGGCGTCTTGAACCCCAGCGGCGTACGATTCGGCTCGGCGGAGATTTACAGCATCATCGAGGCGAAATTCGCTGATAAGATCAGTGACAGTATCTGTGTGGGGCAGAGGCGGCCCCAGGATCAGGATGAAAGGGTTGTTTTGTTCTTGTTGATGAAGCCTGGCCATAAATTCACTAGCCAGCTCATCAGAGAGGTCAAGGACGCCATCAGGAAAGAAACCAGCCCCAGACATGTGCCCAAGTTTGTATTTGAGACCAAGGAGATTCCAGTAAGTTGTTGTGACGCCTCCCTCTTTCCGCGCTTATGGCTTTCAATTACCATACTAACCACCCGTTTTGCGATTGCAATAGACTACCGTTAATTTGAAGAAAGTCGAATTGCCCGTGAAACAGATATTGTCAGGGAAGACCATCAAACCTTCGGGTACACTGTTGAATCCTCAAAGTCTGGATTACTATTATCAGTTTGCCAAGGATGAGAATCTGGTGGATTTGGCAGACCCTAAGGCGAAGTTGTAAATACAATACCCTAGATCGTTAGAAGTGGCAGAATTGGATACGTACATGGGATGGCGTTGCAGAGATTGACTTTCAGAGCTGCGAAAATGAAACGGAATTTCACCTATCTTACCCAATTTCTACTATTGGGGTAATTGCTGACCGGTGCTGGAAGTTTCACTCAAACGCTCTAGAAGAATGTACTCCTGGAAATTGCATCAGGTTGATCAGTTGTCTCAATGCTCCGGCATGGTGGTTCGCTCTTCCATTGAATTCTTCTGATGCTGTTGAGAAACGCCCAGTATGCCATTTGACTTGCTTATGCAGCCGAATATTTGGGGTGTATATTGGCGGGAATAGTGAACCAGTTATATTGAGAGCAGTTTCGACATCAAACACGTTTCTGCCGTCAACGTCAAAAGCCGCAACTGCTTACAACAATTGAGCGTCCACAACGACCATGACTTCCTGAAGAGCAATTGACGCAGATTCGGCGTTCTCTGATGCTTGTTCTGCGACTCTCGATATGCATGGTGATTGCCTCAGGCTTGCGACGTGTCGAAACACACCTGATAAGGGTTGCTAAGCCCCTCATTGCCAGTTGTCATCCTTGCCGACCATGGCCTTGGTCGAGAGTTGGTCAATCTCTGCAACATAAATATCTCATGACACAGTTGATCGGCTTCAAACACGGCATTGCTCAATAGGTCATTATGAAGTTGGCCTGAGGCGCCGGTTGATTTTGAACGAAATGGTTCATTTCAGTCTGGTGAGTTGCGCAACGAGTGAAACACTTGTGGCCGCCAAGCCGGTCGACGCGTGACGCGTTGTCCAAGTGAAGGAAGGAGCGCAGGGTTGCAAAGGCAACAACCACATTCAGCTTGTAGATATTCCATATCATGCAAGACAGTTACAGTCCAAGTGCCCGTCCTCCAAGCAGTATTGCTCGGTATTCTGGGAGGAATGATCATTGCTATCCTTTCAGTCCACAGATCACAGACCAGGATCGAATCTCATATGACAGGAAACTACCAAAGAAAGAAGCACTCAACGCGTGGACCCGTTTGACGTACGATTCCAATCTAAGACGCGCCTTTGACGCGTTGCCGCCCCTCGTCTCCTTGGGTTTAAGGAACAAGGCAGTGCTCCTCGACAATTTGCACGTCAGCTCTCCCTTCCGGCCTGTACTCAACCCAATCGCTGCATCTTTGCTCCTGATTTTCAATCATCCACATATTCAGACCTGCAGTAGTCCACTGCGCTAGATCATCCCTCGTCAACCTGCTTCCACTTTCAACCAACTTTTATCCTTTCCAACTGGCTGGCTCTGACCTTCACTGTCACCCTCAACCAGGGTCTCGCGTTCAGCGCCCACCCCACCAGAACACGACCCGCTGTGTCCCAGAGCTGCACCGACTTGGTCATAGCACCCGAAAATCTTCCCATATACCCTCTCCTCCCATCGTGGCAAACGTCCATTGCTCTTCTCTCTGAGCCTCCTGGTAGAGTACTCCGCTAAGCTTACTTGCTCACTCCATCTTGGACTGACAAACCTCGACACTGCAGACCTTGTCTTTGAAAACACATATTCCTAAATCCAATCGAGCACATATCTCCTACGCGAGGCTGTACCAACGAGATCAAGCCCAACCGTCTGCCCTTCGACACAATGGCAACCCTTGCACCAGTCAGCACGGCCATGAGGCAGCCTTTCGGTGTTCTGAATGAGTCTAAGATTCGTAGCATGCAAAGTCTGAAGAACAGACAGAATGGTAATGCTTCAGCTGAACTAATGCATGTAACAATTGAATCTGACTCTGAGTAGCACTGACTCCCAGCTCTACTTCTCTTAAACGACGTGCTCCATCTCCCGAAAGTTCAGATTCCGAAAACGTCGACCCAAATATGCTTGATTCCCTACACAAACGCAAACGATCAATGTTCGACGACGACGTTTCCGTTTCAAAACCCCGTTACAGCTTGAACACCATTTCGTCTGTTCCAAAGCCTTGTCTTGCTACCCGGAAATTATCTACTCCACGGTTAAATACATTCGTCAAGCCCTCGGTCACTCCAGCCTCTGCTCCAGCAGCAGCCGGTCGATCACCAACTCGCAAGCGTCAAGGTCTTCTTGAGTCACGGAAGCGCTTCGCTCCCCCATCTTTTGGCGTAAAGCCTCCTAGCCTGTCAATGTCTGCAGCTCTCTCTGGTACATTGGCAAACAGAAAGACCAAAAAATCCCGGCCAGTAGCTACTATTGAGGACTCGAAGCCCAATTCGTGGTTCTTTGATATCTACGAGGAAAGTGAGGAGACACAAGACTATAGGATGAATGAATGGACGATGACCCAATCGGCGTATGGTTTGGATATTTCCGACGACGAGAGCAAATCTGCGGAGCGTCTCGATCGAGGAAAGGAAAACGTTGACCCCAATGAGATTTCCGTCCCTGTCACACGATCTATGGCGGCGGCTGCTGCTGCTGCTGCTGCTACTGCCTTAAATACCAAACCCATCTCTAGGACCTCGAGGAAAGGTAAAGATGATATGTCTGACGATGAACCAAGAACTCCTCTTGGCGATTTGAATCCTTCCGAATTTTATGCTGAAGGGCTTGATGCTACCTCTGTTGTCCTGGTCCACGACGATGCTCCTGAGTCGGAGGCAGTTCATCAAGAAGATGTGACCCAAGAGTCTGAACCCAAGTCGACACAACAGTTCACCTTTTCGGCGACTTCTACTCTCACGGCCAAAGCTATTGAAGCTCTCGACGCTCCTTCTATTGATCAGATTCTCAGCGCTCCGACGCTTGAATGGGATGGTCTCGTCGATGACAGTGCATCTACCGTCGTGGATCTCGACATCAATACCGAGGCAACGTCTCAAGATGTCGAGATTTGGGAAAGTGAGAGTGCGAAGGACGAGAATGAGAAAGTCGAGTTTGGGATTCTTGCAGAGTCAGATCAACCACGGACTCCCATTGACGATGAGAACGTTTTTGCTCTCCAAGAGTTGTGATATGTCCCACCTACTCATCGATACCACGCTGATCCTGCTATGAGAAACCCCTACATTCTCATCCAGATCTCTCCAGTAGCAACATCTGAGAATTTCGACTTGCAGTTCATACACAGAGAAGGTTTACAATGCTGGGTGGCCCGAGGATGTCAACTTTCCATTGCGTGTTACAATTAATGTGTGGCTGTGGTGTCCCTCTGACGATTCTTACAATGTTGTGTAGGCTGACTGCCTTTTTGTGTTTCGTGGGCCCCTTTTCAAAGGCGTCTCGGGTTTGCGATATGTGCTTTTGGTGTGTATGACCGAGATCATTCTCACTATTGTTTGAGTCAGCAAACACAGACAGTACTCGGAAAAAACGAAAGCAATCCCAAGTTTTTAACCGTCGAGTCAGGAGTACCTTCCCTGCGCTGTCCTCGTTTCGTAGCGTGAACTCCATTCCGCCTTCAGAGGGGTGGTTAACCTGACTCCGTCCGGATCTAGGTGACAGGCACCCTCGCCATTGATCCAAGGCGTGTTGTGACAGAACAGGATACAAATCTTTTACAGACGACCCTATCCTCGCTAGCACTGACACCTCGCACCTTACACCTTTAGTTATGTACGACAGGCTACGCCGGAAGTGTGGAAAAGTGAGTGTAGACTATTTCCCTCACGTACCTAAACTGCCCATATGCCAGATGAATGTGATATTGCGCCGTGTTTTCGGTATACTGCGTCCCGCCTCGATGCGGCTGATATGGAGTACTACATATATATCTAGGCAAGCATTCCTCCGCTCATCCCTGACAATCGGTTGAGATATATACTGGGGCAAGGCAAGAATCTTGCAGGTCTTCAGCCTCATTCTGGGCCCTTGCTCCTTATATATATTCCCTCCACCCACCCTAGTTTCCTGTTATGTCTTCTCTTGGTTTAGTTTCGTTGTTTGGTTAGGCTTCCCTGTTAGCATCTACTTTGTTATCTCGTCCCTTACCCCTCGAACAAGGCCACTGTCGATCGACCCTCGGCTATGTAGGAAGGAAACGCCGTCCAGACCGATTTATTTGCCCTGGTCTTCGACCCGCGCTCTGAGTAGGAAATGTTCAATAGATGTGAACTTTGTCCTGAGCCTTTGGCGTCTTGATTTCTGAGGAACGGCCCAACAGCACTGGCTGAGACAGTCACCAACGAAGTCTTATGTGAGCCAGTGGACTGAATCGACTGGCATCGTCCGATTCAGAATCCATCAGCCTGTCAATCGGGGAGTCGTTCTCGTCACCATCACCATCGCTATCGCCGCTATCGCTGCTGCTGGAGCTGCTACTACGGTTCCCGCTGCCACTGCCATTGCCACTGGCACTGCCGCCGTCGCCCCTCATCTTCAGTGCGTTACCTGCCGATGCATTGGGGGATGGCTTGGCGGGTGTCTCTGCATCGTGGCTGTGTCCTTGGGAGCCAAGGTCATCCGCACTCCGCTGGTTTGATGCGTCGCTTTGCTTCCGCTTGCTGTGGCCTGCTGCTGCTGCTGCTGCGGCCGCATGCGGAGAAAACGACTCAATTTGCTGATGTGGAGCGCTCGACTTGTTGTTGGGCGTGTGATGGTCCTCTTCTGCGGGCAAGCGTATGCTTGGAGTCGCGCTACTTAATTTGAAGGCCCCCGTACTTTGATTCTGCTGTTGACTGTCGCTTGACGGGTTGATTTGCTCGTTTACATTCGGCTCTGTGGCTTCGGACGTTGCACGGCCTTTACTCAGACGGGTGCTCGAGATCATCGGGCTCTCTGCATTGGCACCGTCAACTTGCTCGGTGATAGGCTCTGAGGTACCAGCCGTCTCCTGCAGTGAAGTACTCACTCCTTGCCCTCTTCTCTTCTTCGCCAGTTCCGCATCGCGCCATGCAGTGACCTCAAGTACCGCTTGTTGGGGGCGATTCTTTCGCATGAGAAGGAAGCCCTGTATCTCAGCTGGTGAGAATGTCAACTCTGGTAGAGCTTCCGTGAACGCATCCGCGAGGAGTGCCATATTCTCGAGTTCTTTGCGCTGCGATGGCAGATCATCTGATGCCTGTGGTTCTCTTTCGGAGGCTTTGGCTTGAGGTTTGATCTCGGACCAGGATGTAGAAGAGGGTGCCAAAGAATCGGAACTTGTAGTGGTGAGAGAGGCAGTTGATATTGACACTGGTGCATCGCGAGTCTGCTTGATGCTTTCAGTTTGATCTGGGAGGATCTGACTGATTCTGGTCGGCTGCCGAGCGATATCGACTGGGTCTTTGTAGTACATGCGGAGGAATAAGTCCTTGATCTGCTGCATGTTGGCCAGATCGAACTTAATCTGCAAGTCCACACGACCAGGTCGGATCAACGCTTCATTGAGTCTGTCTGGGTGGTTGGTCGTCAGAATGAGAATCCTGCCTTCTTGGGAAGCCACGCCATCAATGGCATTGAGTAATCCAGAGAGTGTAATTGTATTTGTCTTTGGTGGGGCGTCTGGATTCATATCGTTTATCTTTGAGCGCTCAGCTCTCTTTAAATTTTTCTGCCTTTTTCCTGCTTGTGGATCAGATCCCTTGCCAAATTCCTCTGAGTGCGGATTTTTCTTGGTCTCTTGGTCTGATTCCAGTTGCGGTCTACCCGCAACCCCCGCGCTGTCTATGTCTTCAAGGAGAAGAATGCATCGTTTGGGCAGGCTATTGAATAGTAGAATGAGATCTTCTTCGGTGAGAGAAACCTCTGATAAAGCAAGACAATAGATGTCGAGGCCGAACACGCCTGCAATAGCAAATGAAAGCGAGGTCTTTCCAGTCCCCGGGGGGCCGTGAAACAAGTAACCTCGTCGGTACGGGATCCCCCTGTTGCTGTACCAACGAGCAGTCCGTGGATGAAGGAAGTCATTGATGTCCTTCAGGACTGTGGCTTTCTGGTCATTCCCGAGTACGACCGTCGCCATTGATCTGCTGGGCCTGGTAGCAACTATTGTCCACACGTTTCTGCGACCGCGCTGTGCTTTAGGAGTTGGCCGTTGGATTGAAGTGGTAGAAGTTCGTTGTCGTAGGTGGAATTCTCGAGCTTCCTCAATCAAATCTTTGACGGGTTGCGCGGTCAACGACAGGACCAATATATTCATCCATTCTCTCTCATAGAGGGCAGGACCCCAATCACTAGCTACTCGTTCTCTAGAGCGAGTAATGCGAAATACCCGCCGCTTGTGCCAGAAAAAGCCCGAAGATTGGTGTGGTTGAAACTTTGGTGGTGCACGAGCGGCCCAGTCGTTGAAATTGAAGATGATGTCTTCGGACATCTGCTCATGTATCCGTAGTTGAGATTCGTCGCCAAGGTTGACCTCGTCGAGGTCATCATGATATTGCCGAGGGCTGTGGGCTCGAAGTACGCGAATGTCCTGAAAATGTTTATATTCACTCACCCAATTGAGCATGTCGTTGAAGATGGGATCGAATTGGTCCACAGTCACCGAGGAGCTGATCGCATCTAGGAGGAACGAGAAGACTGGGCTAAAGGCATATCGAACTGCAGTCCATGCACATACTGTGAATACAGCGAACGAAACAATGATGGAGATATCGACACCAAGACTGAGCAAAACCTGGGCAAAGAACGAATATCCAGGGATAAACGTGTCGATCAGCGTTGCAGGTAGATGCAAGGATGCTGTAGGGTCCATCGTCCTGTTCATGCCAAGAAGTAGCTTTAGAATCGACCATTGCCTTCCTGAATGAACGCTTCGCAGATAACAAAGGCAGACTTTGCAGCGAAGACACAAAGATGATAACAACAACACCACCTGGTAGAAATGGCAGATTTCTCTAATTGCGAAAAATCCAAGAGCAAGACATAGTATGCAAGTGAGACTAAAGGAGAGTGGAACGTGACTTTGTTTGTGCTTCTGACATTGTTAGACTAAAGGCAATAATACAAAACATGCCATATCACAAGCAACACAGAATTGGTTGGATATCAAGCTTGCACAGCCCAACATGGAAAAGGAAAAAGCTGACAGGAAACTCTCCATGCAGTTCCTCACCATGGATTTTGGACTGGGTACCGTCTGGATTGTTGCACTCCACAACGAAACGGGTTGGTAATTCAGTAGTGAGCCTTGCTTTTGTCTCGGCAATAGGCCGTCACACGGCCACCCGCTTGAGTGTGTGACCACTGACCACCGTGATGATTTCCTTGAAGCAGCCAGGCGTTATTGGAGAGAAGGAGACTCACTGAGAGTCGACTCCAGATGAGTAGAGCAAGCAATGGAGCCCGTCAGGCTGACAAGCTCCACAAGCGGCATGAATCGCTCCTTCAACAGGAGCTCCTTGCCTCGCGTGCCCACCTACCTGTCATTTCCAGTAAAGGCTGGTGCTGGGTCGGGGCCAGCCCGCATTAGTCACTGTGTCTCGCTATGTCTGTTAGTCCAGCGCTGAATACAGAAAAACTGAGGCCACGTTCCGTCGCGAGGCCGTCCACAATACTAAGCACTGATCGGCCGTAAATTAGAGGATTTTGTTGGGCGGAGTTGGTTGCTGACTGACATGGTGTGTGTCTCAGGCAAGAAGAGACGGCGGCGTCGGAGCTTGGATGATGTCCTGTCAGCAACGGCACGTGCGGGTCCATAGCCATAACCAACCCAGCGGAAGGAAGGCACCACCCACGCGTCAGCCGTACAACGATGAACTATCATGCGACTGCCTTTTTCCGTTGGTTGTGCGTCGCAGGTGTGGCAGGTGTGGCAGGTGTGGCAGGTGTGGCATGGCTTGGCTACGGTGACGCACGCTGCCCACAGACTGCCCCACCCCACCTCTTGCCCCGCTCCGAGGCTGCCACCCCCACTTTTAGCCGAGCATCCTCCATCTTGGTTCACGTGATGCTCAACGGCTGCACAACTCGGAAAGGGGAAGGGGAATCTGCAAACCGGCCGCCACGCCACCTCGACATCATGTTGCAAGGGGGCCTTAAAACGGCTTTCTGGGGAAATTCAACCGTCAAGGTAAGGCTTCTGGGCATGGATTCAAACGCTGTTCGAGGCTGACTTTCCATGCCAAACCAGCCATTACTATTAAAGCTTGACTTTCCGCCACAAAGTGATAAAATTCTAGTGTGCTGGGACTTCAGGATGAACCGATCAAGGGGACAATGCTATTACTATGTGGCTGTGTAGAGATAAGAGTTTGAAAATCATAGAACCCTCCCAATGTACCGCTCCTGAAAACGTGCTGTCGCTGTGCTGTGAGCCTCTTTGGGAAAAAGGGGGTATATAAAGAATGCTTCCCGTGCTGTTGCCAACGGTCCAAATGCTGATCAAGATATCCCCTCCCTGGTTTGCGCTCTTCTCTCTTCTTGTTCTTTCTGCTTGCTCTCATAAGATCATACTTTCGTTAGCTCCTTTTTTTGTAGTTCTTCTTTCGGTGCTTGTTGGGGGTCGTGCAGGAAATCATTTCACCCTTTCATGTCGTCGCACTGATCGCTGCTGCCGCCGCCGCCGCCGCCTGCTGCCCATCGAGCTGATGGAAATCCCCATCGCTGTGAATTCTATCCACCCACCCTAATGCTTGGAAATAGCGCATGCGCGTACATCCATACACAACGTCCAACTCTGGCCCAAAGAGGCTATGCATGGGTTCGCCGAAATAATATGCCCCGTTGAAATCAGATGCTCGCTTCGTTGCGTTGAGCAACACTTTCAGCCTCTCCTTAGTTACCTCGCGTTGCAGGCGTGCACTATGCCAGTAGTCCGTCAGGCGCTCGAGAGCTTCAAGACCGATCGAGACGGAAGACATCACCCGGCCTCCACCGTCCATGAGATCGTACAAAGTGCCTGCTGCGGTAATGGTGTCCAATGCCGCTATGATGGCAAATCCTGTCACAGGGCTGGTAAGTGCAAGCTTCACCATCGGAGCATCTTTCCTTTCCTCGTTGCTCACAAGCTGCACGTTTTCTAGGATGCTTTGTGCATGCCTGTAAGCCTCCCTGATATGAACGACGACTGTTTGCTGGTCCATGTTTGCGTGGCGAACGTGCCGATAGAGAAGCATCGCAGTATAGTGATAGAGAATAAGAGGCCCACTAACCGGTTCTTGTGTGTTGATTTCTGTATCGCCTTCAGCTCCGGAAACGGACTTCGTAATGGATCTTTCCCATGTCTCCAGACGGGCCATGATGTTGTGGCAGAATGCCTTCAACAATCCGTTGTAGCCCTCCACTGACTGAGTCTTCGACCGACTGATTCTACTCACAACTTCATTGAAGATAGTTGCCATCTCCACCATGTATCCAAGAAGGCCGACGTTGCCTCCTGACCCTGATCTTGTCGCGGCCCGACTGCTATTAGCGTGAGAGTCTAGATCGTATGCAATCAGAGGGATGATTCCCTTCTCGAAAGGCACCTGCTCACATGGCAAGCGAAGATGACAATCAGAGCGATAGACAGCGCGTATGGCAGGTGAGCAGCATCCATTGAAACACTCCATAATGAATGCTGTCCAAAAGGTCCTTCTCCTGCATTCAATGGTCATTGCTCGATCGAATCCAAACACCAGTTCGTCAGGACTGGTAATTGCACAGACTCCCTCCTCCATATTGTAGTTCAATCCACATGAAGTGATCCTAGCTGACCCAGAGTATTCCAATGCTCGGTTGAACTGGCCTTGTGAGAACGCGATCAGTGCAAGAATGAGTCTGGTGTGGACCAATTGAAGGCTGAAGCAGTCACCGTTCTTCAACACTGCCTCTTGCACAACACCATTAAACGCCAAGTAATGAGGCTGTAGATCACGTCTTCGGCTGAAGAGTGCACCCATGGCCAACATCGCATAGATCAGCATTAGGTCGGCTGATGATTTGCTGGAAGAAGTGGTGACCCAGTGCGTGAAGGGTTTCCGCGGAATGGTGCAGTCGGTGGTGCATCCGATGTGAGCAAAGTATTTGCTGAGCAGATAAACGGTCAACTCACGATCCAGCTTGTATGGGTCGACCTTCCAAGAGAAGTTTGCCACGGACGCTGGCGATGTTATTGAGCCTGGCAATGATTCATTCACTACACAATCTGATGGGTGTCCGTCCGAGAGAGGTCGAGGCGATGCTGAAAACCTGGCCTTTTTAGTTGGTGGCAAAGCATCTGCCGCCTCGTCTTGGGCTGAATCATCCATTGATGCGGGTGATAAGAGGCTTTCTACAGGCATCGACGACTTTGCACTGTGCTTTGATATGCTTTGGTCATTGAGTGAAGGCTCGGTTGACGCAGTCGAGCCTCGTCGTGGAGAACGACCTTGCAGGAGGTGTTCTGAAGGATTGGTAGAGGGTGGTGACTGTCCATACATAGACTGCTTGACACCGGTGCGGTTGCTTTTCCCATGTGAGTGGTCCAGATCCAACGATGCAATAGGACAGACTTACGTTGACTCGAACTTGCATTCTCGACCAAACTTCTGACACTGTGCACATTTCGGTACGCTTGGATCACATTTGATCTGAACGTTGAGTCAGCAAATGAATCATGCAGAAACCGGGGCGCGGGATTGACAAACCTTCTTCTCTCTGCACGTATTGCACGCTTGGCCAAGCCTCTTTCTTGGTTTCCCAGCCTTGGTTGTGCCCCATTTTGGATTCACAGCATCGCCATTGATGATCTTCTGGCACATGGTACCATCATCGTAGATATAGCAGACGCCTTTGCCTGGGATGGTCCTCTCCCCGACTACGAGACGTCCGTAGCCGTGTTCAGGCGGCGAGATCTGAGACAGATGTGGAGGCAACGGTGGGTGTCTCTCCAGCGATCCAGGGCTAGAATGAGGCCAGAACGAAGGCTGTACAGGCGATTGCTGGATTGATAGCCGTCGAGAAACCTGCTCCATATGCTGCGCAATGTTCGGATCGGGAGCGCCATACGTGGATTGCGGGGGTATGTGATGGCCTAGAGAACGATTGTGATTTGGTTGGTTTAATGGCGGCTGTCTTGGATCGTTTCGATTCGAGCCAGAGCTTGGGGTTGCGAAATTCAAGTCTGGACGGCCAGCGCCCGAAAGGAAATTGCTGAAGGATGGTAATCGAGGCTTCTGTGTGACCTGGCTACCCATAGACTCACCGTCCATGGGCGACCGGGCCATAGAGCTCCGTAGAGATGTCGACGAATCTGGGTGGGTTGAACAGAATCCTGGGGAACTTTGGTTACTGTGCCACTGCTTCGAACGAGAGTTAAAAGGTAGTGCAACAGTAGTGGCCATATGGTCCGCCTATGCCCGTAACGTGTGAGTTGCTCGACTGTCGAAATCACCTCTGTACCAACAACCCCCAGCCGTCGGAAAAAGTTGGGCAAGAGCAGAATGTTTCAACTTGAGGATATCTAAGTTAATTGCAAGTTTTACCGCTCCCAGTGATGAGTTGGAAAAGATTGACTTGGCGTGAACCTCCGCCGTCTGGAGTTCCAGTCAACACCTTTGTCCTGAGAATGTCGACTCCACAATACCTTGGAGACGCGCTGCATTGCAGGGCCTCAAATCGACGAAGTCCAAAGCCGTCTCGCAATGTCACTGTCGGATGGCTAGCTTTTATGTTGCCAAGAGCTCTCGTAGAACAGCATCGGTGTATTCGTTGACAAGAGGGTCAGAAAATGTTCGCCGTAAAATCACTTCAACTCAACCAGATGATTCGGCCAGGCGTTGAAAATAGAGCAAGGCGGAAGGTTGATGACGGTTGAGCCTGGGACTTAGGGTTGGGTGACTTTTGTCCCCGGGGGGGGGGGGGGGGGGCAAACGAATCTGTCTTTGACGGAAGTTGAAGTCGGTCCAGGCGGCAGGGCGAGCAATGAGGTTGAGCAAAGCAGGTGGGTGCCGGCTCAGACAAATACGGGGGTGGGAATGGGAGTAGCGTGGCAGATGATAGAAACTGGGGTGTCATCAATGCATTCCTGTCCTAGAGAGTGGCGTAAAGCAGATCAAATGAGATTCGAGGAGCAACAAGGGACGGGTAGAAGAGGCCTGAGCCTCTCTGTTCGCCCGTGGAAGTGGAGAGCAACACTTGTGGTTCGCACAACATGGAAAGGTCTTAGGGCGGGCAGGGATGGGTGGCCAAGGACCGGTTGTCAACTGGGCTCGATATTGGAGGGGTACCTCAACTGGGCCCTCGTGGAACTCCCATATCCGGGAGACCACACTGCATATTGTACCATTCTGACCCTTGCCGGATCGCTTGCGGCAAGGATGGCGATTTCCACAGGCGGAAAGGAGCTAGTCTTGGGGTGGTGGGGTCCTCGGACCGGACAAGGCGTTCAAACAGGGGGTCCGCATGATGGGCATGATATTTGTGGGGAGAGAAGACACCACGGGTGGTTTTCAGACCATGCTGCTGCTAATGCATATCAAAAAACAACGACGTGCGTGACAGGTCAGGAGGCAAACAGCTAGCATCAAACCAAAACGATCGAGTTGCTGGCCGATGCGGATTGGAACTCGAGGCACTTAGAGCAGCCCACGCTCGTCCTAATGGAAGAGCGTGGAGGTGCAGTCCCAACGAAGACCCATATAGCGTGCTCGGCTAGTGACACGAGCCACCAGAGATGGTGGGAAAGAGAGCCTCGCTAGGGTTGAGCTAGTTCAGGATGGTTTGGAGGAGACAGGTGGGGATCTCTTTCGAAGTGCAGAGGGCTAGGGAATAGGTGGGAGGTCTTGATACACACAGTACGGGTATCCATGCTCCATACCGATCAGCCCGTTTCGACTCGGCATCTTGGTGTACTGCATCTGTTGTGGCGGCGACGACAAGCTGGACGCTAGTTTGCTGTGCCGACATTTCGTGCCAAGGGGGCCTTCCAAGTGCATGGCATATTGCACCTGGGAATCGGAGCGAAAACGACAACGGCCAGCTCCTGCGACCCAGGAGGGCCCCGGATCAAGTCCTACAGAGCAGTAGTGCGTGCCAGGTTGCAACGACTGCAGCAGTGCCTGCATCTTGCCGCGCAGTGGGGGCAGTCCAACGGGGAGTCAACCCATGTTTGAACCAATTGGTCTAATGATGATTCATCTGCATGGTCAAGAGCCTCAGACATGGGCGAAGGATTCCCGTGCAAGCGCAAGCGTAAAGGTGCAGGCCCGTTTCTAGCTGCCTTGAAGCAACCCGTGACGCGGTTTCAGCGAGGCTCATCGCTATTGAAAGGACCCAGTGCATGGTGTCACGAGTCGGAGACTTTCAGTGGGACTTGAAGAGGCCGAGGCCGCACCGGGGGTGTTGTTGATCTCAGGCACAGGGGTTGGAAGATGGACAAGCCCAAGCTACAGTATGTCTAACACCCTGTGCTACTCAGGACTATAGTTTGATCAGTTTGCGGGGTTGAAGATATCTCGAGCCGTCCACCAGCCAAGATGGCGTGGAGCTACGATCGGGGAGCATGGCAATGAGATACTAACGAAGGGATTGTCGCCTCCAGATGATGCCCGAGGCGCGCCTCATCACGACGAGTAGTATGAGAGTGCTCCTTGACTAGTGGGGACCGAATGATCATCGCTAAAACGTACGAGTACTGTCTACTCCGTACTCCGTACCCCGTCCAGTCTAGATGTCCTCTCCAGCAAAAGGGTCGAGGATCGCACACCTCTTATCATCCGCTTGTCCTGTTCACACTAATTCACAGTAGTCTTCAGCCATCCACAACGTGGTGTTCCGCGTACGAGGTAGTCCGGCGGGGAACAAGCAACACACCGTGCCCATCGGGCCCCAAGCTAGACTGTATCAAAGGGGCCGGAAGACCCTAGAGTATTCGGAGCGATGGGATGGATATCAACACTAGAAGCACATCCGGAATGGTCTCAAACTGATCAGGACTCTCCGTTGCAGATTTTAGACCTAATCTGGGATTTGTGGCGCTCAATTGGCGAATTTGGGTAAGAATATTTACGTGATGTCGGCTACAGCCTACAGGCATGTAGGCATGTTCCCACCACGCTGTGGTGTTCGAGCTTGAGCAGATCCAATTATTGAGTCAATCTTCCAGCGTTCGAATTGCTATCTGCGGTCTGGAGTAGTAATCTACGAGGCGAGGTACTCAGTAGTACTTGGCAGTTTCGTTGTATGAGTGATCCTGGGCTGTAGTACGGAACATGTACAACATCGCCATTGGTGGTGCTTGATCCTTCGTCCCAGGAATGGCTCTATCGCATCCGGCTTTATTTGATGTAATAAGATACTTCCTGGGGTTAGGCAGGGCTCCCCAGTTGGCGGAAACCTCAGTACTGCGACATACACGTTCAGCCTGGGGAATAATAGAAGATATAGCCATTTTGCACTTCATTCCGCCAGGCTTTGTGGTATGTACTGCTCACGTTGTTTCTTACTCACGCGTTTGCACACCTACTCAGTAGTACCTGCAGGATCGGGCTTTCAAGATTAGGGGCCATGCTAGAGCTGAATCTCAAAGTTTAGGTATGTAGCAAGATCGGATCTCCGGAGTCAAAACAAACTGACTTTTGATCTGTTGGCTTTTCGCCTTGCTTTATGTCTGCCTATGGTGTCAAGCCGTTATCTGTGCTGTTGTGTGAGTTCTGGAGGCCCAGCTCTAATCGGTCGACAGAGGCCCTTGTCCCAAAGTTTGAACCTCTGTTCAGCCATGTCATTCACAATGCTGCTCCCAAAAGGTGCATCCACGAGCCAACCCATTGCACCGGCCGTACCAGTAGGCGTCAGTCCCAGTGCACCCATTTCCATCCTTCCCGACATGGCATTGCTGAAGGTTCCCCCCATTGCGCTACTGAGAGTGTCCGCGCCAGGGAGGCGGTGTTGCTATACTTACTTGTACTCCGGCGAAGTTTAATTCGCCTCGCCTCAGCCCGCACTGTCTCTTCCAATTGGGTCAATGCTTGGTATGGGGTCGGTTGGTTGGGTGGTGGAACAGATTGGGTCGAAAAACGTGCTTGGATTCCCAAAAAAACCGGGAATTCCCTCGCATCGTCGATGTGCCCAGCTGCACAAGGATGTTAACCACGAGCAACTAGCCATTCCAACAGCAGGGTCAAGTCACATGCTGGCCATGTTACGAGTGTCCTGCATGCCTTGGTTAATTTACGTGCGGCGTTATCCCAGGAACCGAGGGAATCAATGAAAGCAGGTCTAGAACTTGGTTGACAGAGGTGTTCTAGGCTGCATCGGCCTGTCAATTTGGACTTATTTACTGCTGCATATCCCGGTCTCCGGGGAGAAAAGAGTTGAAGTCATGTCCATGTCACACGAACCCAGCCGCATGGAAGCCATCTCTTCGGCGGTGGCTTTTGTAAGCGGTTTCTCGAACAAGGGGCATGTCACACCTTCCCACCTCGTCGTCACCATGCTCAGAATCGGCGGTGCGCCTGACGATCAGAGCGAGAGCTCTGTCGGACAACAACTTGACCCCTGTGAGAAGCAATCCACGGCGTGGGTTCCTGAGGTTGACAGTCGAGCGCTGCCCACTTGAATTGTGATGGCACCCATGGACCGCATGCAAGAGAGGGGACGGCTGCTGAAGCACATCTTAGCGTGAGACAATCAATGGGAAGTCAGACCACTAGCTCTCTCGGGTGACCGTTCCGATTCCAGAGGCGGCCCGTCCGGTACGGAGCACAAAGGAGCCCCCCTGCAGTTCACCAGTGACCAACCCTGGGCTGTCCCCAGCCCCGGCGTAGAAATGACACTCCGTATACGGGGCACAGGTTTCTACGATAAATGAAAGCTGATGTGCTGGCAATGTTGGATCGAAATCTAAGCCTTGTGAACGTTGAATGCTATCACCCTTGCGAAGGGGTAGCTGAAGTTACCTTGTCCTAGAAAGTAGTATCAGCACACATGCTCACTTAGGCCCGAGTCCTGTCAACACACAGTGTCCCTGCGTACGGTAACATCCTCCCTCAATTATTAATGCCAAATAGATGGTATTCAAGCTAGTCAGCTAGCAGCGGTGGATCAATTTACTCCTGTCGCTCGCGGCCAAAATGATCCATCGCTGGTCTGACAGCAAAGAAGATCTGCCAACAACTACTCAGTCCAGACCGAGCTATATACTTAGGCTTGGGACTTGCCGACGATGCTCGCTAATCTACTGTGCCAGATACATACTGTAGCCATTGCAGTG